CTTTTACATATCGGTAGGATTCGATAGTGCTAAACAAAAATTCACTTAAACGATGAGAATGTTAAGAGCAATAATAGTTTGTGTGTATAGGAAACGCCGAATTTTGTTTCATTAATCGGCGGAAAGGGAAGTTCTCTTTCACTCATTCACTCTGGTTAGACACGAATTTCATTTGGAAATCGATGTTGAAAATGTAATGTTTTTCTAATGCTTACTCGGTATAATAAAATAGTTACTACAAAATTAGTTACTCACACTTATTTGGAAATTATCAGTCAGACTCTATTAGATTCTAAGGGCCCACAACAATATCAGTTCTATTGATAATATAATACATTCTTATTATAGTTATCCTAGTAGACAAAAGGTGAACAAAAACCATAAGATGAGATAATAATCAGTTTTAATTACTGTTAATAACTTTATTAATAATTCAAAATCTATTAAAACAATTTGAACAATTATTATGTTTAAAATTGTAGGTAAAAAGTTACAGGGAAGTAGCAAAGTTTATTGACTTTTTCTTCTATTTGATAAGGATAGAATTTTTATCTTAAGGAAACGGTTTAATATCCGGATCTTTCTTACAATTAGTTAAATTATAATGAAACAGTTCCTTTGCAACAAGTACTTACTAAATAGTAATTATTACCTACTAACTTACACTTTTAGTTAGTATTTAACCCTTTTTTCGGTATCTGCAAAATACATTTCGCTATTTTCGACTACAGTATAACATTTTATATTTATTCAGAGAATGCAAGATTTAATTTGGAGAATGTAATGATGTATTTGTTCATTACTTTTGCGTTATCTAAAAAAATTATGTATCTATGTATATTGCGAATTTTAATTTGATCCAAAAATCTTCCTTTTTTTGCCAATAAATCAAGAAACAATATTAAAAAAAATGTGTACTAAAGCATTAAATCTAATGAAGTGAAAACTTGAAATGTATTATACATATTCATTTCTTCGTTGAAAAATTGCTGTAATTGAATCCGTCCACGAATTACTTGTATTTTTTCCGCTCGACTATTAATAGACTTTCCTCCCATATAGAGCCTCACTTTTTCGACATACCTTTACGATTCGACGCCAAAAGCTCAGATAAAAGATAAACGCGATAGTTTTGAATGTTAAGTCATAAAAATCGCTTTATCGGGGTCATAGAAGATTATTTTCGAATCTAGACAAGTCTATCTCGAATTTAATTAGGTATACATTGTATGCATTTTATAATGAATCGCTTTTCCCTTGCACAATTATTAATTTGTACAAATACTGATAAAATTCATTGGAGAGGTTATTAAAACATTGGGGTTCTTATAATTATATTATATATTACCATTTCAATTGTGAAATTTAAAAAGAGATATTTAATTCGATTTTAAAATGTATAGGGAGTACTAAAAAGTGTAATTAACGTTTAATATCTGATCTGCTTCGAATTCGAGCATAGTTACTGAGAATAAAATGATACGAGCAGTTTATTTACTTAGATTGTAGTTATACCATTTCCGCTCATTGCGAATGTAATTTCGTATCCCTATTTTTAATTTTAATTTGTCAATGATTAGTAATCGGGCTAGTGACCTTTGATTTTAATTTAGCCGATTGTTTGTGTAATTAGAGCCATTCTATTAATGAACCTTAAATTATGAATGTACATCTCTTGTGAAAAAGATAATGTTATATCTGCTGTTTGAACCAAAACAACCTCGATTTCGTCATTCCAGCCTTATTTAGGTTGGCCAGGAAGTCCGAATATTTACAAGTGTAATTCACGAGTGATTCCCTTCGGCCTATTTTCTCACCATTAAATTCCCTAATAGCTTCTCGAGCTCCTTTGTCGTCGATATCAATAGACCTTCTTTTTTTCTCATCGATGGAGGCGTTTGGACACGGACAATGATAATAAATCTGTTGTGACCCAAGTACCGGGAAACGTTCTTAGAAAGCACCGCAAAAGGACTTTCTTGAAGCCCGAAGGAGATAAGGAATTTGTCACCTTAAAATGCACCTTGCTGTCGCGACGACTTGTCGTTTTCCCACAACATAAACGCGAAAATTTCTGTCTGTTATCTTGGAGCTATTAATCGAAAAATTAGTTTCTTCAGCTTTCACAGGCGAGGAATAACTTTAGTGGCAATTACTGGCGTTTATTGAAATGAAAACAATTCTATCATCTCGGACCACCCAGTGCATTTTTATGCGAATATTGCCATTAAAAAAAAGGAAACTTAACACAAACGATGTTTACATATAACTTACATATTATTTTTGTGTAGGTAAGTAATGGGAAATGTTGTAAGGTAGAATGGGGCAAATCGGTTGTAAAATTTGAATAGTTCAAATTAAATCCTAAAATGTGGCTTTATTTTTTCTCTTATTAGAAATGATGATACCACATTAAATTCACAACTTCCTAAACTAAAGAATCGAGGTATTAAAAAGTTTTTTTGAAAAAGGAAGAAAACGATTTTACATATTTTTAAAATGTTGACAATATGTTACATTTACCCCATGGTACGGGGTAAATGTAACAAACGATTGTAAAGAGATAATACAATTATATAGAAAAACATATGGGGCAATTGTAAATACATATTTGGTTCCTCTAAAATTTGATATGCTGTTTATTTATTTATTTCAAAAAATAACAGAGCTACAAAATAATAAAGAAAAACATTAACACAATAAGTAAAAATATTATATTTACCCCATTTTTACATTTGGCCCAGTCTACCTTACTAATGTTGACTCCAACTCATTTCTATTTATGAATGTAATCTATAAGGATATGGCAGTAACACTGATAATTTAATTAAAATTCCCATAGTAGATGTTATTTGTAAGGTTAAAATTTCTCATAATATCTCTTATACGTTAAATTTTCTATACTTGCCTTGGAATGCAGGATCTTCCGTAGGTAAATCCCCAATATCCTTGAGACAGTAGTACCAACTTCAAGCCGGTTTGAATTAGAAATTCCCTACGTTATAGTAGAACGAAAAATCGAAATAGGCTGTCGGAAAAATCCAAAATAGTGTTATCAAAATTCGATAATCTCTCGACCGGATTCGAGAGGGACTTTTCGATTGCCGGGCGAGGACAAGAGAACAATATCGGCAACGTTGCCAAATCGCGCCGAGGAATTTCACGCGTATGCCGCATATGTGCCCGGCGGGAGCCAAAGAGTTGGGCCCGAGTTGCCGAGCCGCATCAGCTGATATTAGTGTGGAATTTGTATGAATGGAAAATTCGAGGCGGCCCGACGGCTTCTCTCTGCCTCTCCGAGCACGCTGAATGCTGATGATGGCGATGATACACATAACTAGCGTGAGAAATTGCGCCCGACGCGGTTTTCGACGAAAAAAAGGGTCATTGTTCAAAAAAATTATTGTTTTAAACCGCGAAAAATATGAACAAATATTTTTAATGCTTGTTTTAAAGTACTATTTGATGTAGTTAGCACTCTATAATAATAATTTGTACCTCCGAATGTTTTCTTAATGCAATTAATGATGATGAACTGTTGATAGATAACTTAAATCGTATAGGGTGAAAAATAACTAAAAATGTCTGTTAATCCTAATGTATTTCCGAAATTCCTGAAGATGAAACAAATTCTAGTGAAGAGGATGGGAATAGAACATGATGAAACACCATGTGGAAAAAGCTTCGTAAAAATATCATTTTAATTACTCATAAATATGTTAATGAAGAAGACTTATTTATTTCGTATCTCAGAAACTTTATTTTAATGCTTTATTAACTTGAAATCATCCACTCTTTATTTTAAGCACTACTTAATGTAATTTGCAACCAATCAATCGATTATATTAGTCCACAAACCATCAATTAAATGAATTAACAGGATTTTTTTACAATTAGATTCCTACTTCTTTATAAATAACTCATATACTTTTATAAATAACTGCAATTTCGAGAATAAACCACTAGTGTGGTTTTAAATTTAAATACCTCGTCATTTAAATACTACGGGAAATCCACCAACAATATTAGAAAGGTATGCATTTTGGAATATGCAGTAAATAATTTTATTACATCTATTACATACATTTTTGTTTGCTGGTATTTAAATCGTAATTTAATTTTTAAATAACTAAATAAATAAAGAATTCTCTTAAATTTTTATTATTTTAAAAAGTTTAAAAAAATAAATTTTGTATTGCTGTACCAAAGCTGGGTAATGTACTTAAAATAGTCATTAGAAAATTGGAATTACTCTAGTTTTTGTAATTGTAATCTGTATTTGTAATTGTAGCTACTTTAGTACGTTTTATTCTAAAACTAATTTAGAATTGTAATTACAAAGAAATATATTGAAGGAATTGTAATTTGTAATTATTTACTTGCGTTTTACAATTACTTTAAAAATTTTACAAAGATATCCTGCAATCTTCAATTATGTAAATGTTTTATATTTTATAAAAATGTTGACTACAAATTTTTGAAACAAAATCTAGTATACGTAGTTTAGATATATTTGCACAATTTCCACCCTTTTATATGACTTGTAATTTTTAATTATAAAATCAATTACTATTTCCGTTTTTAACAAGTAATTATAATTGTAACTTATTACTTTAATATGTGTACTTTGTAAGTGTTTAAAAATTAGAAGGAATTACCCACAGCCCTGATTACTACAGTAACTTAACGCAATTATTAATTAAAATTTGATTTCCCACATACACTCGCAGTAAAGTCAATTACGAACTTGCTAAAGCATTATCTAGCAGGAAAATGAACGATAGCAAAGGCGGGAAAGCGTTAATAGTTTGTAGGTTATCACGATCGAACGCCGAAAGCGCAGAAAGCCCAACAATCCCCGTAGAATCGACAACGTCGCGTGAAATTCTGTAAAAGAACAGGTTAAAAGCTCGTTCATAAGCCCGGCGAATGGTGGGGGAAGCTCATCCACAACAAGTCCTTAATCTGAATGACGACAGACCTCGTATTGCCAACTCCACCTCCGAACGATCAACAGACAGCGAAACAGCTGACTGACACCGAGCCAGGCACTTTAAATCAAAATTTAAAGGGAACCAGATGAGAGAATAGAACAGACTTTCGCCCGTGTTGTACATAATTTTTCTCTCGTAAATCGCCAAGGTTAAGTAGTGATCCGAGTGCAGTGATACCCGTAGGAAGGAACATGGACTTGTACTGTTGCGAAACCGCAGAAAATGAAACGAAAGCTTACGACGATCCGACGCTGTTGCAGGAGAGAGTACTCAAGAATCTGCTCAAAACCGAGGATAGGTACACGCTGCCCTATCCCGCCTCGCTAGACGTGCAGAAGGAGGTCACGGCTGAGATGCGGAAGATCGTCGCCGAGTGGATGCTGGAGGTAAGATTCGATTTGATTTTACCCTATCATCCACATTAAATATCTCTCATTACATCCGATGATTCCTCGGAATTTAAGGTACGATTATTTGTTTTATACGTTTTTGTTAAATTTTTCACCCCCGCAGGAATTGCCGCATTTTTATTACAAACTATAATTGTAGATAGACATTTTTCTCTTACTGGGTAACTGCTCGGTTTAATGGTGCCTTTTCGCTTTCATGTGGGTACCAAAGTTCGCAAACATTCCGCTAATAACGATCCCGGTTTAGTCAGCTGTTGGCTCGTGTATTGACCCTACCGAATTTAAATAACCCGCACGGTTTTTTCGACTGAAACTTTTCGCCTCTCGCTCGAATTTTTCCCATCCGCCGCGCCGATTAAATAATATAACTCAGAAACGTGTCGTTTCCTTTATCAATCGAACGCTTATTGGAGATAGACGTTCGATTGCTGTATCAATATTGGAAAGACAAAGTAACACAACACCGAGCGAACTCTCTATTTCGTCATAGGATATTTAAAATTTAAATGGCCGGGCGATAGATAAAAACGAGGTGATGCTGTTGCTCGAAATTAGATTCATTTAACTACCAAATTGTGTTTTGATTATTTCCAAACACTTGTTTCTGTACGGTATGATAATGCTGATAGAAATGGGCTTTCTCTAGCAATTTGGATGTTTCGTAGATTTAAAATCCACAGGTGGTGTATTTTTTTAATTTGAAAAATTAATTGCACTACACAACGAGACGCATGCAATATTTTTTGTGAAGCTTTTTTTCGGTTTATTCAATCGCGATAAGTCATTTAAATTAGATAATTTGAGCGTTTCCCGACGTGTGGAAAGCGTGGGAGTGTATGTATCGACTTCGCCTGGTATTTAAATTTTAAAATCCACTGTCGAGCTGCTGGTAGAGGTATATAATTCTTTTCCAATTTTCTCGTTGCATAATCGGCACATATTTTGTTTATATTTTGCATCATGTCGTTATTGTTTTGGTTCTAGTTAAAATAGATTCTCAGACGTGATTTATTGTTATTATCAATTACAATATTAAATAACGTCAAATTCACGTCAAATTCAAACTCATCCAATTATCGATTATCCGATTATCGATTTTAGTTAGGTATTTATAATTGTAGTAAAATAGAAAAAAAATTATTTTATATATTGTTAATAAGCTTGATGATTATTTTTTATATCAATTCATTTAAAATTTAATTAGATACTATTGATAATTTGATCGCCCTTTAAAAAATAAATTTTTTGGTGCTTTTTCGAAATGGTAGTAATGTTGATAATCAAAATGTATTGTCGCTATTTTCGATTCGAGTACGCGCATATACCTTTAGATTAAAAATTTGCGCCTAACGCCGACGAATTATTCTATTATAGTTGAAATATTGTAATCGGCGAGTGCGATGGCCTTTCGCCGGTAACCTTGAATATCTGGTGCTCCTTACCGGAAAAAAGAAGGGGGCCCTTTTATTTTTAAAATGCTAATTTCGCGTTATTGTAGGTGTTACGCCGTAGTAAGTGGTTACGGTTGTCTGGCTTTTAAAATTTAAAAACCACCGATAATTGTTTTTATTATTTTTTCCTTTAATATTCAAAACGTTGCATAATTTACAGCGTACACGTCAGGATTCGGTATTTATTTTTATCGCTATTGTTTTAAATTTTTAACTAAGCAGTCGCCGCCTCGTTAACGCTTTATTTTCGCTTTATTTTTTTGTGGAATATTTTTCGCGAACGGATTTAATGAGTTCATACTGTAAATGTGACATAATTTTCTCGTATTAAATTTCCATTTACAGTAAATTTTATCTAGGTACACAGAATACATGAAAATACCCATTAAATTACAATAAAATATTTCTGTAAACTTTGGTGAATGCACTAAAATCTCCCCATTACTAGTCTATTTTACATAAAAGGTGTGTCGAAGTTAGAAGAAAAAATTCACATAAAATATGCCTGGTAATTAACTCAGTTATGACCGGTTTGTGAATGAAACATAAAATCATAAAAAGTTTTATGTTCGCCCGATTTTGTAGAGTTAACTTTATAAATTTAATTTTCATCTACTTTTAGGAAGCTTTGCCTTACAAACCTTATAACTACAAAATGTGAAGCTTCTACTTGTGATATTTAGAATAAATTTCCAGTTTTTTTACCGTCTATCGATACAAACACAGTGTGAGAGAATAGCCTGAGGAAATGGCGTTTTTCGGGAAAACAAAACAAACGGATTTACATAACCCGACCTCGTTCGCTTTAGACGGCGCTATTTCAGCAGGCCGATTTCTTTGTATTTTAATTTATTTGGCTGATTTATTGCCTTCGGGGAAGTTTTGGTCGAGCTGCGGAATACATTTGCATTTCACAAACGAATCGACCGAAACGTTAAGGTTCTATACATAAAAACCTAAATCGAATTTCGGAAATTTCGGTGCCGAATCTGATACACGAGTCCCTTTAACATTTAAAATCCACTCGGCGACAAGTAAATACCAACGTTATCAAAATTTCACTAATTACACATATATGTATAGCTAATATATAAATATTTCCACGATTAGATAATATTTTGGCTCCAGCATATGACATTGCCCTAATGACGGTTGGAATTTTAACCGGCGCTTTAATTTTGTTTGTTGACTTTTTAAAATGTCAACTTCTATTTTCCGCTTCTTTAGATAATGCAATTTAATGAGAACCTACTTTCCTGCTAATCGCGAATTTATAATTACTATCTAATTATTTATTATATGTATACAGTAAAAAATAATTACTCGCGACACACGTGCCTGGCCGAAAATGTAGGTAAAATTTGTCAATTTTGATATACCTATGATAATTTCAAGTTTTTTTTACATTGAGAAGTGTAATTTATACGAAAAGTAGCTACAAATTCGGCTCATTAAGTGGCCATTTTAGGTAGATTTTTTAGGGAATAGATGAAAAACGTAAAATTTAATAAATTGAGATCGAGCTCAAGTTATCTAACAAACTCGATACATCTAGGTGTCACCGACTAATCAGAATTTATACTATGTACATATGAAAAGATAACGTTGATAAACGAATTATTTCTTTTTCCATTTTACGTCATCTTATTTGCGGATTTCCTACCTGAATTCCACATTCGTATTCCCGAAACTGCAAATTCCCCGCAGTTTTTAAAGCAAAATTAGCGAGTAGATTAGGAAAAGTTCGCTCGAAATTTTGGCGGACTCGCCGTGCATACGCCAAATTTTAAAAATCGCTTCGAAGGATTAATGAGGATGGTTTTGGTTGCTTTCAGGTGTGCGAGGAGCAAAAGTGCCAAGACGAAGTTTTCACCTTAGCAATGAACTGTATGGATAGATTTTTAATGTGTTGTTCGATTATGAAAAACCAGTTGCAATTATTAGGTACTACGTGTATGTTGTTAGCGTCGAAATTAAGGGAATCCCAGCCTTTGGCCAGTGAAATTTTAGTGTACTATACGGATCACAGTGTCACGAAAAAGCAACTCTGGGTAAGTCGATTTGATTATCTTTTCTAGTTAGTTGCGAAAAAGGAAAATAATTAATACTCGCTGGTACACAACGAGAGGTTATCACAATTTTAGTGTTCTGTTAAATTTTTTTATAATTTCATAATTTTGTGTGTACGAACACACTGACTCGACGAATGTTTAAGTTGAAATATCTGCGTCGTTGTGAAATTTTTATTAAAATCGAGTTATTGTATTACATTGTTTAGTTTATGACCTACTTGCGTGTTATTTATTTTCCTTTCAGGTATTTAAATTTTAAAACCCAATTGCTACATCACATTTCGCTGCCTTTTATACTGTAGACAACGTTATTAATTCGAATTGCTAATGGTATTATTAACTACTATACTTCCGGCGTATAAAATTACTGTTACACTAATAGATATTTAAAATATTTAAAAGTCTACTGCACGATAAAAAAATTGTAACACCGCAAAATATCGTATTTTTTTTCGTACGGATTTTTCGACGTTTCGCTCTGTAATTAGGTAATAATTATAAGTTGGTAGGTACGAGTAATAAATGTTTTACGAGAACCGGAACGAATTTTATTAGTTTTTAAATAAACGCAACATTGTTTGTGTTCTGTATTTTAATATTGTTGATGCCTTCACGTTTTTCTATAAATTCAAATTTTATTGTAGCCAATAAGCGTTCTTCGAAAAATTTATTGCAAATTTATTTTAATCGGGTTTAATTGCTGCATATACGAAACTTCAGCACTTTACAAAAATTTGAATAAACGTCAATAACAGTTATCTGGATTTCAAAAAAAATATAATAAATTACCTAATGTAACAATTATTTAAAAATCTTGATAAACTTTATGAAATACAATTAATAAATATTTAAGAAATAGTAAATTAAATTAACTTAAATAAAATAAAATTATCAATATTTCTTGATATTACTTTTGATTTAAGAGATAATATAGTAGAGTGTCAAAATATTTCGATTTTAATTCACACGATAATCTCGAAATTTCATAATTCAAGAACATCAAAAAACGATCCTATTCCATCACTTAAAGGACTTGATTAAACACAAATATCTTGAAAAATGCTTCAATAAAAGCACAACCGAAGCACACCGTTAAACATAAAATAATTTAAACGTTTTCCACGAGTATGCAGCTTATTTGACAACTTTTTTATTATTTGCAAAAGCAGCCCATTATCTTCCAGTCTAAACATCGGGCGGGCGCGTTTAGGCGCGTTTCTTGGTGCGAAATTGAGAGCGAATCATTAAACAAACACCAATATCAGTTCGTTAAAATTCGTTAACAAGCACAGCGCAAGTAAAATCGTAATTTTAGACCGGATTTTTCTCGGCGCCGATAACGCGGTATAAGGGTCAGAAAACAGCTGTTTTCGTTTTATATTTAACCGGCCCGTTATCAGTCACAAAGTTTCATTCACGGTTTTCATACTGAATTTTATCGTGATTCCTCGAAATGTTTGCTCAAATTGTTCGTATGTGCGTACGTGCCAGCCTGGTGATATAATAAGCGGATCATTCATTCATTCTTCAGCCGGCCTCACTGGCGTATCTGGCGTCGATTTTTTTGAAACCCCTTTCAGAGATTACTTCAATGCATCAAGAAACATTGACAGCACTTATTTCCCCAAAAATTAATTGGTTATTTGATCGATCTAGCCAACTTTTTGATGCTAGTAAAGTTGGCTATACTGTGGTTTATTTCTGAGGTATTAACTAACGTGTTAATAAGATATTTCTCGGTTATTAAAGGGAATTAATTCGTACGATTGGCGCTGGTTGTTTTTTCTATTTTCGCTAATAAAGCTAACCGTGTAACCGGATTTCATAATAATTTTATTTTTATTTCTCGTTTCCTCCTTAACGTAGTTTAATTGATTATTAAGGTACTTACCTTGCCTTGAATTGGTTCGTTATACGCCTATTTTTATTGCATTTCAGCGTTTTTTCCGTCTTTTCGTAGTCTCCCCATTTGCAATTTTTTATCGCACTAATTCGCTTATTAATTTCCCCCTAATTTGTTAGTCGATTCGTTTAATAAACTAACGCGTTTTTATCTTTTTAAAATTTAATATCCTATAAATTATGCTTCTAACACCATTTTCCCATGATAAACAAATAGAAGCCAGAGATAGTGGAAGTACAGGATGTTATTAAATAAGGAATACCGGTAGGTCCTATCCGGAAATAATAAAAAAAACGAATAAATCAAGATAATAAAAATTATACCTACTCATACGAAGGGAAAGATTTTTATCGCAGAAACCAGGGCTTCCAGTCGAGTAAAAACTCTACCGCGATTTTCCGCAGTTCATTTAACTTTATCTAAAAATGACACACATAAATTCATCCTTTGTCTACTCACGAATCAGCGCGTAAAAAGCTCGGTATCTCGCTTTATTTATTAACGTCTCGGGGAGGCCTCCAGATTTTTTCCTATGAACATCAGCGGGATAAGAGAGAATGGGGTCCGATAAGGTGTCGTTGGCTCTTTCGAGAGCTGTGCTTCCTTTAAAAAACGCCAATTATTATTTGTACATCATAAATTCGGCAAATAAACGAGCCGGCGCGTTGGAACCCGCCGCAGTGGCGTATATTAAATCGAAATATTAGCGGGAAAACGGACGGAATAGCGATAAACTCGGAACGAAAAAAAGCAACAACGCCGTATTTTGAGACAATCAATTAATTTTTCGCGGAAGACTGAGGTTTGATATCGCCAACCAGCGCTTGCCCACACGGAGATCTATATAAACTCCGCTGATAATTTATAATGAGGTGTGCTTTTCCGGCTTGTTTAATACACGTAATTACGGTCATTTTAACGCTCCTCTACGGAAAAATCCAGTTTTCTGCACCACTCGGGTTTTTAGATAAGGTTAGAGTCATTTACATATCGTAAAGTGTCTGTTATACGCCTATGAAAGTTATTTATTTAGCTAATATATTTAAACGCAGCATATTTTATCTGTTTATAGGAAAGTTAATTAGCTAATTGTTCAATTAAACTTAAGAAGAGTTAATTATTTACCTAATAGCCTCAATTAATTAAATAAGTGAGTCTATTATATTATACAACTAAGTTCAATTATCTACCTGTGTATATGTCTTAATAAAGTCATTCAATTTTAACGCCGAAGAGACTCGATTTTATACCTAAGGGAGCCATTTATTTATCCAAGAGAGTCAATTATCTGCCCAAGAGAATCACTTACCTAATCAAGGCAATCAATTATCTACCTAAGAATGTCAATTATTAGAATGTCTTACAATTAGATACAATTTGTATAGATGAGTCGTAGATAAAAAATGTGCTTAAGGAAATCATTTATTTGCTCAAGAGAGTCGATTATCTGCTCAAGAGATTCGATTATCTGCTCAATAGAGTCGATTATCTGCTCAATAGAGTCGATTATCTGCTCAAGAGAGTCAACTATCTGCTCAAGAAAGACAATTATCTGCCCAAGAGAACCGCTTACCCAATCAAGATAATCAATTATCTGTCTTAGATAATCAATTAACTACCTAATAGAGCAATTTATTTCCACCAAACTCAAGCTATTTCTACTAATGATTAGTGCATAAACTTCTGCCAAACCAATCAACAAATACAATAAAGAAAAGTAACTCGATGTTTAGATTTAGATATTATACAAAAGTAATCATATCGATGTGTCCTCGGGATAGATAGGTTTCACTGGAATCGAAGAGGAAGTTCACGTATCGGATTTATCGATGTCAAAAGGAACCGTCTTGTGACAACATCGTAAACATCGATGGCGAATTTCCAAAGCTTATTGATATCACTAATCCAAACAAGACTTTCTTTACGGCGGCCGTTCGAATAATATCGCGTTCACAGGAAGTTTGTTAAGATTATTTTTCAATTATCAGTTGTGAGATTGTGGGTGCCGATATACGCGTACGTAAACTGTGGGCATGCCGGGAATACCGAGGGTTTTCATTTTTAGATTCGGGTTACCAAATCGAATGTATGCTTTGCTAGAGTTTCTGTTCTCCGATTAGTGACAAGGTTGTTGTAACCATCACATCCGTTCGACATAATTATTTTCATTCATTTATTATAGAATTAGGAAATCCGAAGATAAACTTTATCTGTAGATTTTTTTTAGAAACTACCTATTTTTATACAATAAAATTTTGAGTACTTAGAAAAAATTGAGTGCCAATTTTACGGTTTTTTGTTTATCAGATGATATTTTTAGCAATCTAAAATCTATTTGGAAGATAAGATTTTTGTTAGAAACAATTTGCAAAAATAACGTATTTTTCCAGCATATTTAATGGCCACATCGTGCCTCGTTAAAAATATCTACGCAAAGTGGAAAATTAAAACGGCACGCTTTATATTCATTAATCCTTAATGGTAATTAAAAAAAATTGCATAAATAATTAATTGGGAAAGAAATTAGACGACATTAACATTTGATTTAATGAATTTCATAATTAATTCGGAAGATATATCCGAGGCTAATTAAATTGTGGTTGTTGGATTCGTTCGATCGATCCGAATTATTATCATCAGCTGACTTATTGCGTGTAGCTGCAAAAACATTGTGCATCAAAGTATTTATTGTTATCATCAGCATTTCGCGATTCCGAATTATTTGAGGTAAGCACATTTTTCGAATATTTTTACTCATGCAACAAGCAATCAATATCGATGTCAATAAATCAGTAACACTGCATAAATTTTTGTACTTTTTTACAAATTATGCAATTCCAGGCAAACAAAGATTTTACACACTCAATTCACGAGCAAAAATAATGGAAATTTAACCGGTAATTTCTGATAAGGAAATTACTAAACGGTCTGAATTTAACAGTCCGAATTATTTCAAACGGACCCAATTTACGAAATTTTGATAAAAAAATAAGAGCTACACGAGCCGTGCACAGTTCATTGCCCCACAATTAGAATGCCATGATTAGGTAAATAAAAACATTTACTAAATACAATCAACCGGCTGACTTAATAAATGACGTTTAAGTTGTTGTTTCAGGTGAATAATTAGTTAATTATCATACGGGAATTAATATAACAGTCGGGGTCTTTAAATCTAGAGTGAGTTACGAAGGAACACCACCAGTATCGGTTCCCATTGGAATATTTAATTCGATAAGAATTTTCTCGCCTCGTTCGGATCGCTCGAGATATATAAATATTAATTAGGGTTGAAAAATTGCTTCATCGGAATCACACCGGCGATATCTACAGAATAAACTCGTCCCTGTTACATACGAATGATATAATTGCGGCCTGTCAGAAACCCCCATTATCGCCGGCCCCCGATAAAGAGCCCCGTTACGTTCGCCCTCGCTCCGGGTTGACAACGCCGGCCGATTTTCGCCCGGGTACCTGTTGATTTTAATAAAGGTACCTGTTAAAGTTGGAATTCCACCAGATTAACAGGTAGGTCAGGTCTCTCTCTTGCTCGTCCTTCCGAGAATTCACAAATGAGAGGCCGCCGGCCCCACTCTCGGGACACCTCGCTCCGGCTCGTACGTGTAGTGGAAATTCTTCTTGGGTCGCCGGAGCGCCCGCAGCGGCGTTCTTGCGACGTTGTACGAGCGGCTTCGTACGTGCAAATGCGAGTGACGGGCCGACGCGGAATCTTGGTGATTTTTCGCCGGTTGGGTTGGCACTGCTCCGTCATGACTTCCTCGATTGCCTGCTTCTTTTAGATTTCCTTTGTAATGTCTTATTTTTTTCTTAGTTATCGCTTTTATTGGAAAGTTTCTGGCTTCATTGCTTTGTTCTAGTTTTCTCTCTACCTTTTTGACAAACCTATATTGACCAGTAAATTAATTACTTTTTTGCAATTTTCTCTGATCTTCCAGCTTCAATAATATTATCTCTTTCTTTCTAACAAAGTTTCAGTTTCATTAGTTTTCTCTCTACCTTTTTGACAAAATCCTGATCGTTGAATTATTTATTAGTTTATTTCCGATTTTCTCTGAACTTCCAGTTTTATTAATTTTCTCTTTACCTTTTTAACTTCCTGGAATTCATTTTTTCATTAGTTTATTTATAATTTTCTTTGATCTTCCAGTTTCAATAATTTACTCTCTACCTTTTTCCTTTTTGACAAACTTCCTGATCGTTGAATTCATTATTTATTAGTTTATTTACAATTTTCTCTGAACCTTTAGTTTTATTAATTTTTTCTCTACCTTTTTAACTTCCTGAAATTCATTTTTTTATTAGTTTATTTATAATTTTTTTTGATCATCCAGTTTCAATAATCTACTCTCTACCTTTTTAACAAACTTCCAGATCCTTGTATTCATTTTCCTTTACTTTATTTATAATTTTCTCTGATCTTCCAGTTCCAACAATTTTCTCTACCTTTTTAAGCTCCTGATCAGTAATTCACTTTTTTAATAGTTCATTTATGATTTTTTGTGTTCTTCTATTTTCGTCATATTTCTTTCTACCTTTTTGTCAACACCCTGACCAGTTTATTAACTTTTTAATAAATTATTTCTAATTTTCCCACATTTTCCATATTTATTTATCGAATTGGATCCGCCGCTGCTGGAACGAATCAGTACAAATCCCATTGTGAAAAATCCCGGTGGGTCGTCTCCGTGGACGCGGTTCCTCGCACATCTCTTAACATGACACTAATATATCTAACAATAAAGACTTGACGGATATGCCTTTTGTGCGGCGTGGCGCCGGATCGCCTTCGAGCGTTACCTTTTGCCTTCACCGATAATAATGGAGCTAACCGGGCGGCTTTTGCGGGCCCTTCGCGCTCTCACACTCCCTTTAATCGTCAATCGTTAAACGGAAACGTTGGAATAAAAAATACAGTCTAATAAAGTAAACGAGTTATGCGTTATGGAGCACAATCAAAAGGCGTAAATTATCTTGTTATGTAACTTCATTATCGCCTGGTAAAATTACGAGACGCACCGAACAATTATGAATGAAATTTTATTGGCAAAATAAAGACGAGCCAAAGGCGACACATTAACGAGAATAAGCCAATATTTAGAGAAACGTGCAATTAACCAATTATCTTGGGAACACAACGTTAATTGTTAAGCTGGTATTTTAATGATTCGCTGTCATGCAGAACCGTAGTTACGCGAATGCCTAAATAAAAATTTGTGAAAAATTGTGCACAAATTTCGAGAGTTAAAAGTATGCTTAAGCATAAGGAAGCTTTAAGATAAAGTCTCTTACTTGTACAAGTAGGAGAGGTTACTTTAGAAAAAAGTTAATCTACTTTATACTGAGACTGAAACTTATCGATCTTAAGATTAAATAAATGATCGTATAATTATGTAAAAATGTAGCATGTATTCGCTGGCTCTACATGCGTTAGCAAGCAGTTAGGGATAGGCCATTTCGCGAAAACCCCATAAACCGTTTGAATAATGCGATGCTCCATACGTCGAACCGCTTAAACATATGTCGTTTCGCATAAATGAAGCCAGTTTACTTCTGGTGACAATAAGCTTAATTGCTTATTAACACTAGATCGAGAACCTGTTCTGACTACTTAAACCCGTTCTATCGGCATTTTTTCGCGATGCGATGCGGCGGTATTCGGCCAGAACGTCCACGTTTTCCTAATGGAAGAAGCCGTAAAAACGGAAATATGCAACTAATATCGTTAGACGGATGGATATATTCGATTACCGGCCGAGCGTGGTAAACTTTAAACCCCTTTTTTTATCGGATTCCGCAAATTCGATTCGACCGGACAATCGGTGAGATAATGAAACCGACGAACAAGACGAACGGGTCTACGATTTCGAAGTATACGCACGCGGACATTCCTGACGAGAAAGAGAAAGACTCGCCGGTGTCGGTAACTCGACCTTCAACCCTCCGGTTTGCCTACAAGTCATTCTGGCTTTTCTGCACACGTACGAGTACGCGTACGCCCGGCCTAATCCGTTCTGAAAAACTCAAATGCCGAGGAACTCTGCGCCCTTCCGCGGCTTCCACTTCTTCGTGTCAATCCGATAAACCGAAATTAATATATCCACGAATTTCACCATCATCGTTTTTGAGCGATTGTAGAGGAAGTGCACCATATATGTGATATATGGAACACCACAAGCAGTTTTCTCAATAAAAAGTCGAATTTTAAATTTTAATCAGCTTTATTTATAATAAACAGTTTCTTAACCATTTTGTTAAGAAAACCTCATAAAATTCTCCAAAAAAACAAAATGTATTAAACAAATAACATTTTCTAAAGTGTATCCTTTTTATGAACTTTCAGAAAGTGAACATAATATGGACCACATCCAGATTTTTCCAAGTCTAGAATATAATTGACTAATTCATCTTCCAATTCACTCGGTAATGTTGATTGTCTCACAAGTTTTTGGGTGGTAATATCATTAAGTGATTTATTTTGGGTGTATGTTTTGGAAGCATTCAAAAAGCCTATTTTCTTTTTTCGTGCATTTTTAATTGCCTCCGCTCATTGCGTTTCTTATCCCATGCTTGTCTGGTCTTCTCTATTGTTTTAGAAGCCATTCTAGAACATCAAAATGAATTTTTAGCCACTCCATATTTAAAACGTGCCACTGGTCCCTATTGTGATACTCATTTTGAGATTATCATTTTTTTCAGAAAATTGGAATATTATAGAATATAAAAACTTAATACAATTAATTGCAACATGACTCACCTTCCTCGTGGTCTTATCCACTTATTACATAAAATAGTATTTTTTGGATTAAAAAACTTCCAAAGTTCGCTAGAAAATTAGATCGCGCGTTGCAGAAAATTAAAAAAGGCTGTCGTAAATATATGCCTGCATCCTGGATCACTGCAAGCTTCAGATGGGTCAAGAAAGGAGTGATGCTTAGTTTGAGATGATCATTTACTCGATATAAAGAACGTTCTTCTTAAAATTGCGGTGATCCATATTATAAGACCGGTCCATATTCGCTTACTCTACTATAGTAAGGTGAAATTATTGAATTGGAATTAAATCATGTGATTTTCTTTGCAGAGTTGGGAACTTCTAGTCTTAAGTAAGTTAAAATGGGACGTGTCCGCGGTGACGCCGCACGACTTCCTGAAGCACCTGCTCAAGAGGCTGCCTCTCGAAGAATGTGGAATTAGCGAGGATTCGGTGTTGAAAAACGCCAAAACGCTTATCACTCTGTGCGCGAGAGGTAAGTTCTTTTCTATGGCGAATTTTTCGATATGTTGTTGAAATTTACTCGGCCTTCGATTTATGAGTTTCGCAAACAGACCGCGGTCCCCGCACATGTACACGTTGTAATACAGAGATGAATGATTGTGATATACTTAACTGCCAAGGTCCGACTCGCTTCCAGTGGCGTAATTAAATTATAAAAAATTCCCCAAAAGTAGTAATTCAACGAAGTCGTGGCAACGCTGTATAATTTGAGTTGACAGCCTACTTGGAAAGAAAACCGCATAATAATACAGGTAAAATTAGAAAAGTGGATAGACAAAACCAAGGTTAGACCCCGAAGAACTTATACCTTTTGTTAAAAGACTTTGTGTGGGTAAAATATAATGTACATAATACTTATTGTTCAATCACAACGGCACGTTTTGACAGCTTCCAATCATCGAATCACTTGTCAAATTAGACGAGTCGCTGTTGCCAAGTTTCGCGAATTTCCGGGAAAATTGAAAGAAACCTAGCTCGAGAAATAAATTGTGTATTTCGTTGATCCCTATCGTGGGTTTTGGAAAATTTTCGCGCGGCCCCATCGCGGGCGCCGCGAACCGTATCGAATTCGCCGGAGGATGGCGTAATTTCATTGTCAATGTAACAGCGGGCGCGAGCACAAAACGATTCGGAATTACGCGATTAGATAATTGACATTGAACTAGTGTGAACTGTTCGGAAAGTGTAACGACCCAAAGCAGGAAAGCGAAAAAAACGGACGCGGACGGTTAGGTTTTTTAAAAATTAAATGCCCCTTGTTGATAGTACGCAAATCGGATCGTAATTAGCGATGTTACGTGTTTTTTTTACTGTTAACCTGTTAGTCAATTGTTGGAAAAATTATCGGTCTACATTATCGATTGTTGTTTGTTTAAGAATATTTAGTAGCTCTTTAGGAGTAAGAGAGCAATGACATCACGCTTACAATATAATATTGTTAAGTATATGCTAATTTTTAGATAACACAATATCGATTTTGTGAGAAGTAATACAGATTTTAGATCGTTCATTTAGCTTGCCTAAAAAGAATCCTAAAGTTATTACAAATAAATGTGAATATAATAGCCCTATATTAGCTTATGACATCATGGTCAAATTAACATTAACTTTATTTACACTTTTCGGTTTTGTTAGGAAAAAATTGGGAAAAAATATGTTCAATTGGCCCAATTTTTAAAATTTAAAATTTTGGTGGAGGAAATCAAACTCTCTCTAATCTACCCCGAATTCTCTAGCATTTTTGGTGGAGGAGAGAGAAATTCGGACATTTAACTAGTCATGGATTTTAATTGAAAAAAAATAGGTTTTCTATAACTTCCTATAGAACTACCTACCATAATACTTCTTCTTTCTCACTTATATAAATTTGTTTAGGAAAGGCTGTTGTTTTAAGTGCCTATAATATGCATAGAAACGAGTAATGTTAGAGTATAGGCACCAATAATGAATTAACGCATGCAATTTAATTATTATGGAGAAATGAATGGTACAACTAGGCGCGACCACCTCGTCGCGGTCGATGAAATTAGACCAAACGGGGTCCAGCCGCGGAACCGTCGACAATCCGAAAATCCGTGGGACCGAAAACCGCCGGGCGGCGCAAAAAACGCCGCTGCCGGCCGAATCGGCCGGTGTCGATGGCCTTGTCGGAGTTCCGACTCTGCATGACGTACCGGCCGAATGCCACACAACACAAGAGAACCTAAGTGTGGCCCCCGGAGCCCGAATGGAACTCTCGATTTCGTCGGCCCCGACGACGCAGCCGAGTTGAGATTCCCACGTGAGTGTGCCGGCTCGTCTGACGCTAGTCTGGTTATTTGCGACCGTTGGCGTATTCGCATTCAGAAGAGACGAGATGAGGCCGGTTGGATCTCGCACTGCTCGCGGCCCCGCCAGTAATGGACTCCAAAACTTCTCCACGCTCTTGAATCGTTATTTTTATTGTAGTTCTATCCAGAATTCATTAATGTCAACCATTAACATTTATGATATTACGCAAAGTTGTGACAATTCTAAACATTTATGAGCAGCTCTGAACAGTCCTGAAGTCATACTACTTCTGCATAAAACTGTTTTTATAGCGCTAATTAGATGTGGTAAACAATTAATTTAGAATGAATATTGTTTTGTGGTGATTTTGTGAGGCGATTATTATATTCCTGTCCTGTACGTTTAGCGAGTCGGCGGCTCCGTCTTTGCAGCTTACGATTCACAATACGACCGAAACTATAGAACATGGTCAAGGATGACATCAGATGTTTATTGTTGTCGACTGAGATATTCATTTCTCTTCGGATATTATATTATGATTGCTATCTGAATGAGAGGCTTGTGGGAGTTTTTGAGATATTAGGGTCATAAGGCGCTTCCGTCGCGGCTCGCTTGTTTAGATTGCAGAAGGTTCCTTTTGTTTTAAAACGGCGAAAACGCACGGTTCAATTGAAACGGTTGGTTTCGTAATATGCTAAAGGAGAACCGAAAGTGCGAAGGTCGACCTAATGACATCCTGGCCAGGTCGCGAAACGCTAAATACACAATCGAGAAGTGCGTAGGTTATGGTCGCAGGATTGACCCGAAGAGCGGCGATCGGCGAACAAACTGCACGAGTGCACGCGGGAATTGCATCGCGGATCGCGGATCGCGGGGCGGATGTGTGTGTGTGTGCGAGCGAGCGATGCGCTCGGGGTTCGTTCGAGCTTCGTTGGGGGTTCGCTTCGGCGGTACGGCGGGCGGGCCACCCGCATAAAACCGTTCCACCGGGCCCCACCATCGCCCCGGCCGGAGCGAGACGGACGCGCCGGTGCGAATTGGCGCTCAATAGTCTGTACCACAACAGACCAATAAACTTATTATGCGGTGTCGTAAGCACACTATTAGGGTGCGAACGAATGCACTCGGCTCCTCTTGTTTAGACCTATTTATTTCTACTTTCATGCTAGTTTAAGTTCATACTGATTTAATGAATAAATGATAAAATTTGAGGTTTTTCACCATTGTGTATTAGTGATGATTAGTTGTGCCATGCTGTATAGCTTCAAGAAGGTTTTTAACTATCTCCTGATAACGAATGGAGTATATTTCAATCCTGAGGTTCACATGTTTTATGGGTATTGACTGGGTGAAGATTCAAAAGATCTCTTCCTTTTCAACATCATGTTTATACCAGTAAAAATCCAACACAAACTAAACGAAATTTCCATCCTCTAGATTCCTCTCTATATGAGAACCATTGTTATAGGTACTCCCTATTAGTTCTGGTAAATGTATAGAGAGCACAAAAATCCCGCTTATTCGAGATGTGCATTACATCTTAAACATGTAGGGTGGCACTTTATCCGTCTGGCCGTTGAGAATTCGGGCGCAAGATTGTACCCGTCGTGACGTCGGAGGTCGTCGAACCAAAAAATTTGAAGGGGTCTTGCGAATTAATTTCGGTCATATTGTAGAATTGGCACGAATTAATATAAAACAATCGACATCCGCCGGGCTCGAAGGATCCTTTCGCAGAATTTACATCAAGAACAACATAATGGTTACATTATTTGTTCGAAATGTTATCACAGCTGTTTTTAACGCGTTATTTGATACGCTACTTCCTTTGTATTTTTTTTTCACTACTGTAAAATCGTACCCCATACAGTGATACGGACGGAAATTAACGTTACGTATAATACACATGTTGATTGCGAATATTTCGCTATTGGTACGTTTACCTAAAAAATTCCTAATGGTTTTTTAATACTCGATTAAACGATTGTATTCCCCTCGTCCGCTCGTATATCCGGAATTACTAGCGAATATTGCGAGGCGTCTATTTAAATGTGCTAGTTTATAATAAATTTGCATACAGCTGTTTCTAGTTCCCACAATAGGTACTCACTTACACGCACTTGAAATGTGCGAAACATGAGAAGTTCAATATCCTTTTAATAAATCCCAACCTTACGACATTAACAGAAAAAAAAATACCACACCAAATGTTGACTACTAACGAATTACCTACTAAATAATAGGCTAGCAAGACCGTCTCCAAGGTCTCGAATTTCCACCGCATTACACGGAGGAAATTTTAATAACAGGCAGGTACAGCAAAAAAATAATTAGTACACCGTAAAAGAATCCAGAATGAAAGCCTATTGTCTACAGAAAAAGAAAACTATAACTCGAAGAATGCTGTGGGTGTTGGTATTCGACAAAGGGTCGGCGCAATTGCACTCGAGAGACCATTTCATAATGAAACGATTTTTTTCAATACCGATCGATGCGTCTTCACCGAACCCGTTTATTTTTAGAAACATTTATTATTATGTTTGCCTTCTCACAGTCGCTTTTGGCGTTTTTTTTTGTTCTTCATTTGCACTTCGCGTTAGTTTCTTAAACTTCGAGATACCTATCTTTTCGATTAATTTTTTTCCATATGGAGCTGTAGGTACAGCGGAATTGACAGAACAATTAAAAGTGGGTACCTAATTATCATAAATAGGTGGGAATTTAATAAAAAAATGGCAACGCCGCAATATTGGAGGTGGTGACGTCACAACCGGGTTAGCTTGAACGGACTATATTAAGAATTTCGAAAATTTTTTACGATTAAATTTACCGAAAGGGAAATTTCTCGGTTTCTCGTTTTGAATATTTATTCAAATGAGCGACCTATCTAGTCCTCCCGAACGAATCGCAACAAATTTAACTGAAATTTATTCGCGTCCAGATTATCATGAATTATATATGGGGCCTAACCGCAAATATTTACTAGGTGTGCCCATCATTCTTGAATACGATTTTCGCAACGAACTGAATTGAATCGCCCATTTCTCGTGCGGTTTCGGTAATTACACGCCCCGCCAAGAGGTAATTAACGTGCGCAAAAATCCAATTAGGCGAAAACGAAGAGCGGAAAACCAGGGCTCGTTACACCGGCAGAGGGACACGTCGAAACATTTCTTGGTCTTGGCATTCCACGGATGCAACTGCGAGTCAACAATCGCCGAAATCGAGCCGCGCAGCGCCGATTTTCGCGAACGTTCCGCCGAAGAACGTTGTAATTTGAATCGATTCCGTGTTTGAAACCGCTCTCGATCGGCGCTGGCTATTCGCCATAATAAAAAGGACCTTTACTTGCTCATTGACTTGATTATAGGTATGTGCGGTAGCTATAATCGACGTCGGGACCTCTAAAACTAGTCTGAAATTTCAGGTATAAGAGCACTTATTGTCGATTTCGCGATATCCTTTGTCGGCCAATCGAGAACCGCATTGGAAAAAAAGTCGATGATAATTTAACGCTGTTCAAAGTTATATCGCTTTGTTTGCGAATATTCTGCAATATACACATTTTAAAGTTCCACTACACTACACTATATTACAAATACACTACATCTGTGTTCAAATGTGTGTTGTCCTTAAGGACAATGCCAAAATTAACCTGACTAACTTTAAATTGAACATTCTAGACTAGAGGGTATCAAAAATTGGTTTATTATTGTATTTGAGTGAATTATTTACTAAAATTTACGTGATACACTTTAATAGCTATCATTATTTATTACCCTATTTGATCGAGTTATTGAAAATTTGCATCATATAAGAAACTTGGGGAGTTAAAATATTCTTTGCGTGCGATTTAGCTATAAAATGGTAAGTATCTGCGGGCCGACTGTAGAGATAAAATTCCACTTTTCTTCGGCTTGATAAGTCCATTTCGAATATTATTTACGGTTTAATAATGTAAAGTGTACTTAGTGTAAACGCCTGGTTAATTGGCTCGTTTTTCGCGAATCGAAAGTTTGCGAAGCGAGCCAAGGCGAGGATTTTTGCAGGAGGAAAATACAAAAAAAATATTATTTTAAATGTGTTTGTACAGGTTTTTGAAAAAAACAACAATCCCATTAATTTTGCGATATTTTCAACGGGCGAATTAAAAAAAAAGTACCGGTTTCCGGTGGGTAAAAACTTTCCGAAGTACTCGCTTACACAATAAAAGCGTCCTTATCTATAAATAACGCGAATTTCGTCGAAATCTTTATGAAAATTCATACGAGTCTCGCGCAGGTATATATGCGTATGCACGGGGTTATGTTATGGGCAGTATGACAGACAGAGAGGATGGGCGCAGACCTTGAAAATGTGCCCAGTTTGGATCGTGAGAAATGCTGCCAGCGCCGAGATGCATTCCATTGGCGAACTTCTACCAACAGACTGCTTGCTCGTTGCAACTTTTTATGGCCTATTTAAATACGAAGGGAATCGCATTTACCCTTATTTGTTTTTATTATAATCCGCGATGGCTGGATGTCGGCTAGAAAACCTGTACAACTATTTAATCCGAGAAACTATATCGTGTTGATTCGAGTCAATTGTATAATTGCACATATTTCGCTTTATAAATAAGCTTTACGGTCGTAATTAAATAAACATGTCGTATGGGGAACGGGTAGATGGAACGTTTCGAACGTTCTTTACGTGCCGTTTTTTTCTTTCGTGGACTATTTATTTCTTAAAAAGTCCGGCCGATTCGTGCCCAGACAAACTTTAAATTTAAATGCATGTCAAAAAATTCACGTGTGTTGTGGGGGAATTACCGGCAATACTGTGAAGTTAGCGTATGATTAAATGTCATATTTGGAGGTTAAAAATATCTGTCAAAACTTGTATTTTACACGAAATTTATTTATATAGTAGTATTAAAGTTTTTCTAATGAAGGCTAGGTATTTAAGTTTTTTTTTTCTCGACCTATTAATTTCTCAAAAAGTCCGGCCGATTCGTGCCGAGTCAAATTTAAAATTCGAATGTAGAAAAAATTCGCGTGTCAATTTCGCCCGATTGCTTTAAAATCGAAGGCTGTTTTTTTCACAACATATAATATGCGCTCGTTGGGCGCCCCGATGGTATCGGTTTCACCTTTTAACTCTTTTTCCGTTCCTCTTTTTCAGAGTTCATTTTTTCGAGGTACCACCCAAGTATTATCGCATGTGCGAGCATAGTGTCGGCGCTTTGCGGGGCCGGATGGGTCTACAAAAGCGGACACAGCCTTCAGGATCTTTTGCAGAGATTAACCGAAATCACCAACATAGAGAAGGTAATTTTGACAATCTTTTTTTTGGGGTTTCCAGTACATAAAGTCAGTGTTGCCAGATTGGAGTTCTTTATTGAAATTGTTAGAGCTTAGTAAAGCTTCTAAATTGGTGTATTTAAGCTGCTGCAATAAAATTGTTTAAGGTTTCAGATTGAGATTAATAAAGCTTCTAAATTACAATGATTAAACTTTTCAATTGAGTTTGTTCAAGCTTCCAAATTAATTTTAGTCAAGCTACTAGATTGAAATTGTGCAAGTTTTACTAAATTTTCTCTATAGGTACAGAATTTTCATCTCTTTATTCAAATTTTGGTTGATTTTTTGTGATAGATTCATCTTTTTGAAACTTTTTTTTCTGTATTTAAGCGATTTTTGCAAACTTCTCCACTTTGACCTGCAAAAAAACCCACTTTTATAACATTCTTAAATATCCTTTATATCACATTTTAAATTTGCTTTAGGTAACTTGACCCTGAAATATCACGCTTAGCAAAAAATTTCCTAATTTTTTTTGATAAAGTACTTATTAATATTATTATCTCGGTTATACAGTCGCCAAAATCTAGCTGGCGCGTACGAAACTTTCTCTAAATTTACACCGTTTACACTCAACGTTCACCCAATTATCAACAAGTCGTAGAAAAACTACACCGTACAACCCCCGCGAAATTTTTCCATGAATATTCATTCGGTTTTTTCGCCGTTTCCGACGTTTGTGACTTAATCAGTGAAATGAGCGAAGTTTATTCCATTATAGAAACAGAAAAAAACCGTTTTATTGCCGGGAATGTTAAAGCAAACGTAATTTCGCGAACTTTACGATTTTTTTATGCGCTGCGACCGTCTTATGGCTAAACGAACGCCTTCGGCGCCATTCTTTCAAGACCTCTTGAGAAGCCGCTTAATAATCCACTTAACCCGCAGTGGAATAAATCGCTTTCCCAGTACAACCGATAGGATGCTGATAATCCCTGAAAATGAAGGGAATTTGTGTGAATGTGTATCGGTCAATCCCCTGTAAGCTTGGGAATTACCGGCAATACTGTGAAGTTAGCGTTTGACTAAATGTTATATTTGAAGGTTAGATATTCCTGTCAAAATACTGTCAAGCCTGCGTTTTGCCCATATACATATAAATATATATACTGCTGGAATCGTTCAGAAAGCGTACCAATTATTAGAGTGCAGATATATAGGTCGGCGCTCTTCTGGACCAAATAGGGTTCTGCGCTTGCCCCGGTCATGTGATATTGAGCCGTGATAACGATTGGCTATCGTTTCTTAAAAGTTGGGTTATTGGGTGAATATCTTGTTTACGTTTTACGTTTACATGCTTCGTACTTTCGCTTCCGCCATTGTGATTGATTGTTTATAGTTTTAAGAGTGTTTTCCTTAAATAAAAATCATTATTAAATAATGATTAAATCAATGGATTTATTTTTTTTAATTAAAATATGTTAATATTATTAATTATTTGCTTCCAATTAACTAAATAACTTTTGTCAGTCAAATATTGTTTTTAGTTCCCTTATTTAAACATTCTCAAACAAATCCAACCCATTTTTAATAGCTTTTCATTCTTTTAAGCAGTATAATTTATGTTTAAATAATGGTGTTAATTTAAAATTATTGGCATTTGGCGGTAAAAACTGTACTTGCGCGCTTTTGACAAAAGTCCAGATGGGTGCAGAATGTTCATCGGACCTCTCTCTTTGATTGGGACGCGACTAGCTCACGGCTGGGGTAGGGAGCGAGCAGTATATATATTTATATGTATATGGTTTTGCCGGTTGTTGTATTTTATTGCATTTTTAGTAATAAACTTGAATTTTCTAATGAATGATGGTAAGAATGTAATAGATACATACTATCCTTTAAAGTGTTCTTAGTAGAATTTTGTATCAATTTCACTCGTCCTTCAGTGTTGTAACTAAATTTCTATTTATTTACTGAAAATCACTGTAAATCTAGAGAGTTTGAGTAAATGGGTATCGGTGAAGCACCTGCAAATTTGGGAATCACCGGCAATACCGTGAAGTTAGCGTTCAACTAAATGTCACAATTGGAGGTTACAAAAACCTGTCTAAATACTGTCAAACCTACACTGTTGCCGGTTGTTGCGTTTTGTAGCATATTTAGAAATATCTTGATCTTTTTTTGTTGAATTATTCATCAATTTTACCAATCTTTTTGGTCTTCTGGTAGCTAAATTTGCCTTTGTTTCAGGAGTACGTGGAGCAGTGCGTGGTGCAGATGGAAAAGATGATCCAAGAATCGTCCTGCGGCGATCAAAATTCGTCGGCGGGCGAGGCGGGGGCGCTGCGAAAAGAACAAATAACGCCGCCGCCGATGGGCAAGGACCAGCAACACCAAACGGCGGAGACGCCGACGGACGTGCACTCCATAGACTTTTGACTAAAACAGTAAAAGTGCAAGTGATAGAAAACTAGAGCTTCCAAAAAACAATTTTTAAATTTTTGTCTAATTTAGTACCTTAACGAAGAGATAAAACACTTATTTTTTATAATTTTTCACGCGAAAACCGCTATGAATACCTAGGAGAGATGTAGAGAGAAAGGGGCATAAGAAGAAGAATATGAACGTGTCGTCATGATGAACTTCGGGGGAAGGCAATACATTACGCTTTAAGTCATAAATAATCTAGTATGTAGTTTGTTTATTGGTTGTTTCGAATTGGAAGGGCCGAACTGAAATAGCTTTATTGTTTAGTAGGTGTCTTATTTTGAGGTTTCTAATGGGCTACGGGCGAAATAGGTGCAATATTTTATAAGTTACCAACTTAAAAAAAAACTTTTTAAATTACATTTACAGGATTCAAAAAACTATGGCAATAAAACAAACACCCGCTTTATTGAAGGGTGTATGATTTGTTGTGAAGTTTACCCACCCTGTATTTACAGTATTCAACATCTGGAAACAATTACAGCAGCTTTTAAAAAAAGCAATTAAAAAATTTTAATCGATCAATTTCTACTCTGCAAATTACAAAAGATATGTAAATAATCAAGTGACTTGTCGTTTTGCATAGATTTTTATAGAAAAACGTGGTAATTGATAATAAAAAATGCGATTTTCAGTGCGGGCCTGCCACTTTGATTTACAATATTTGGGTTAATATACAGTAACGTAAAAATTTAACCTTTATAGTCATTTGTAAATACACGATTTTTGTTCCTGATTTTGATTATAGAGTTTGTAAATTATTTCCTATAAAATATGAAACGTTAAACTGTTCTGATGCACAATTTTCAGTAATTTTTTCGAGAGCTCTGAAATTGAGATGTACTAGTTGAAATTTGTGTAACAGAATTCGTTTTAAAGACTGTGCTCTTTTTGAGTTTAAGGAGTATATTCATGAATTATGTAAGATTTATAGTGAATTTCGTCTGAATGGGGAAATTGTAAAAAAATTCAATACAAATCCTAATTTTTGAATAAACTCCTTATAGTTACGACTTAATTTAATCCTAATTTAATAATTATGTACAAAAAATAGGTTTTCCTAATTATTTTTAAATAAGTTAATACATGTATTTTTCAATGCAAAACTATTCTACGTTATATCATATTCATACCAACATTTCGTTTGACTTATTTAAGTAGTCCTAGATATTACATTATATTTTATTGTGATTGCAATGTGAATTACTTTATTTTGTGATTTTTACGATTTTAATTTGGAAAAATGCGAAAATTTTATAAAAAAAATATCTAAAAAGAAAAAGCCATATAAGTAGTACCTAATTACTTTTGCATAAAACATATTTTATGTAAAACCAATGCTTTTATAAACGTTAATTGTAAATAATTGTACATACAAATCACCAACCACAAATTTCACTGCCATATTGAAAAAAATCTTACATTGCTCATGTTTATATACAATAGTTCAATATTATATACCTCAAACTCAGTCCCAACGAATCAATCAATAGTGTTTATTGTACATTTCAAATATAATCATATTATATATGTATGCTTTTATATGTAAATAATTATATATCTCTAAGAGAATTTTTATAATAAAAAATATTTACAGTACAGTAGAGAGCGTTTCTGTGATTCCCCAAACTGGAAAAAATTATAACGTTTTTTTCATCGCCAAAAGTAAGCAGAAAAAATTTAATCAGTAAGAATAAAATTAATGAACTTGGAGACAGAATAGGTATTATTACTTGTATATTTACAATTTATTTTATTCAGTAAATTATATGCTGAATAACCCTATCTTTAAAGGCTGAAACTATTAATTCAGATCGCACAGAACACAAAACTTTTTTATACAACTTTTCTGACATTTATAATTGACTAATGAAAAAGAAGAAAAACGTAATTATTGTTTTCTCGATAAATTAATAAAACAAATATTAGAATAATAGATGCTTGAACAGACGAAAGAAAATGAAAAAGAGTAAATTAATTAAAAAATTTCTAATTTGACAGAATGAACTGTCAAAAATGTCACTGTCAAAGTCAATACAAACTAACCTAAAATTATAAAAAATGGCATTGAAATGACTGTCACGTCACATTAACAACGTCAAACTAAATGAGACCGACTAAAAGTAAATATTCGTGCGAGGAATAACTGAAAATAATATGAATTAGTAATTCTATTTGGTTAATTGTCATATTTACTATTATTGAAATAACGCTACAATGGGTAAGACCGGAAACCACGTATTCGATCCTAAGGTTAAGTCGCCTTGTTTTCAGGGATGTTATTTAGCTATTTTAAGAGCCTCATAGGTACTCGCGAAATGAGAATCCTGATTTTGGGTCTAGACGGAGCAGGAAAAACGACAATACTATACAGACTTCAAGTAGGAGAAGTAGTCACAACTATTCCAACGATAGGATTTAATGTTGAACAGGTCACATACAAAAACCTGAAATTTCAAGTTTGGGACTTGGGCGGACAAACTAGTATTAGGTATTTAACGTTTTGTATATCTTTTAATCCAATTGGCCTTTACTACAGAACTTACATAGCCAGTCGAATGTTGAGGTTACTTATTGCTGTATTCGTTTTAGGCCTTATTGGAGATGTTATTACAGTAACACAGATGCTATTATTTATGTAGTGGATTCCGCAGACAAAGAACGAATAGGCATATCGAAAGACGAATTAGTTCCGATGCTTAGGGTAAGTACTTAGGGTACTATTAATTTAAATGTAACACTTATAATACGATTAATGTTTACAGGAGGAAGAATTATCAGATGCAATTTTAGTGGTTCTGGCGAACAAGCAAGACATCCCGGGCTGTATGTCTCTGAAAGAAGTCCACCAGGCCCTGGGGCTGGAAGCCTTGAAAAATAGGACCTTTCAAATATTCAAAACGTCTGCTATTAAAGGGGAAGGTTTGGATATGGCGATGGAATGGCTGGCGAATGCTCTTAAAAATCGAAAATAACCCCCATTCATTGGTGTTTTCTAGTCCTTTCATTTTCCTCGTCATTGTAAATTATTTTTAAAAAAATGTATTTAATATAATTTCGTTATATTTCTATCCGTACATAATATACTGTTATTTCGAGTAGATTAAAATATTGTAATTCGTACGTTCTAAACCGTTATTTTATTAAAGTCGTGATTTTTAATACAATAAATTACAGGGTGAAAATTTTTTGAATTTGATTAGAAGTACTTGTATTATGTACGGATTTTATGTCCATTTGTGAACTCGTGAGGGCCCTCAAATACTTGCCCGATACAGTATTGTTTGTCACAAATATATATTTTAAATGTATAAAGCAAAGGTGATCCTAGTAGTATTAATGGTGACTGATCGGAAAAACCTAGGCATGATTTTATAAATGAAATTTTCTACTTTCAAAAACCACTTAATTCATTTAACATGTACAGAATTTACTCATACAAATAACGAAGTTAGAGAATTAGAGCATGAATCAAATATATTGTTAAGGCCTCATAATTAAAATACTGTTAGGATCATGCAGTTACTTCTAATTTTTTTCTTATTTTGTAAGTGTAGCAGGAACCTCAATTCGTTTCGAATCTATAAGTAACCGTTGCATATTAGCTTGTAAAATATTTACATTCCTAATTTCACTTCATCATGGATTTATTGCCCACTGTACTTTTTTCAAAAAGATTAACTTTTGTAATTAAATAAAATGTAAATGTTTTTTTGTTTGTTTCATTTACCTCGAATTTGAATCTAAAGGATCCGTAACCTTGTTTCTGTGGTGAGAAATCAACAAATTGTTAAATTATTAAATCTTATTTAAACGATACATCTACTAACATTATTACAAGTTTTTCTTTTCGAGAAAATATTTAATAGCATTTACGTGGTCTCCGTTTATCCTAATGATGCCCGTAAGTTCGTTTACTTGACTCCTAATGGGCTGAAAAGACTCCTTCTGCAGGAATTCCTTGAGTTCTTGCTCAAGCAGGTTAATATCCCCTTGAATCTTTCTTACAAACGTGTGCCTTCTAACTCCTCTTTGCGATATTTGCAAATAAACTGGGATCATGTGATTTTTCGTCCTTTGGACCAAATACGGTAATTTCTTCACATCTTCCGTTTGTGGTTTCCAGCCCGAAGGATACGATTCTTTGCGTATTGGCTGCGGAACAATTGTTAGAGGCAGCGCCCTTTCCACGTATTTCCATTCTTCGGGGTTTTTAGATACTTCATATTTAACAGTAGGCTCGATATCTTCAGCAAACGGCGAAGCTTTGTAAGTTGCATGTCTCACAGAATTTTTGTACTAAAAATTAGAAATAAATAAACTCTATTTAACAGGGAATGAAACTTACTGTATTTGAATGTGCTGATAATCTAGAACGTAGTAATTGAGAAAAATAGCATCGCAAAGACATTGTAAATTAAAAATGTTTTAAATAAATTATTTTTTAGGTTAGTTATTTTATTTTTACTTCTTTCGTAATGTCATAAATGGCCTGTTACATTTTTGTAAAACATTACCGTGTAAAATAAGAAGATTTATAACTGTCATTATTGTCAGGAATGTCACATATGTCGAAAGTGAAAGATCGAAGATTGAGTAGTCAACAAAATAAAGGCATCAAAATATTTTGAATTCTATTAATAGCCGATATATAAGAAAAAAAAGCTGTAACAATGTCAGTTCCAAATTTAACAAACAGTCTGTTGCAACAGCAGAACATTGTAATAAACCAGGTTCCTATAACACACACAATAATGACCAATGTGTCCAATGGTGTTCCTATCGTAAATGCAATCCAACATACAAACTCCAATGAACAAAACGAAGACATAAAAACGGGGATACCGATGGTAGAAACAATTCAAGGTAAACGTGCGATAATTCGATTTGTTTATGATTAATTATAAATGTACATTTTAGGAAACGTCCAAAATATTCAAGTACAAAGCATACAAATGCAAAACGCGAATACGCAACAGCAAAAAACGAATGTGCAGCAGAACGTTTCTTCGGGGGAACCCCAACAGGTACTCACGAAGCAGCGCCTTCAGGATTTGGTCAGGGAAACGGACCAGACCCTTAACCTCGAAGAAGAAGTGGAAGAAATAATACTCGGTTACGTCGACGAATTCGTCGATAGGTGTCTGAACGGCGCCGCTTTGATAGCCAAAAATCGCAATAACAACACGATCGAAGTGAAAGACGTGCAACAGTTTTTAAACAGGAATTACAACATGTGGTCCCCGGGTTTCGGCACCGACGAGCTGAGACCCTACAAGAGGAGCCTCACCACCGATGTTCACAAACAGAGAATCGCTCTCATACGAAAAACTTTAAAGAAATATTGATGAATCCGTTGGTTTTTAATGAACTTTTTTACCAAGTTGTATGTACATATTTGATCTGTTTATTTCTTAATTTTTGTCTTATGAACTTTGAAATATATAGAGAGTACAAAAATTATGTATTCTTTGTTTTATTATATGGGTAAATGCAAATGTGTTTGCAATATGGTCAATTGTACGAGTTGAAGATAGAAAAATTATTAATAGAAGAGTGGTTACAGTGAGAAAGTTGCAATTCCACAGTATCACTCTTTTTTCCTTTATACAGGTTGTCCCCTTAAACCGATACATAGCAGGGGTTTGTAGGGGAGCCTCAGATGTTAACTCAACTTGAACTTAATACAGGCAACTTTTGAAATATCGACGATTTTAAGTAACATTGATAGTGTATATGACTTTATTTTTTAGCGTTTTTCATCAAAACGACGAAGAATTTAAAAAAAAAACAAAAGAATAAAGAGAAAAAGGTTTTAAAATCAAATTAAATAACCTATGAGATGAACTAATAATTTTTAAATCATCCATCAGGTAAAAACATTCTGTAACATTTTAAGGGAGCATCTCTTTCATCTCTGATGAAGAGAATTAATATATATTTTTGTAAATTTGTAACACCATTTTGAAGACCACTTTATCTTCTCAGGAATATCGGGGCCAGCCTGTATACAGGTAGATGTAAAATTGTTTGTAATATAGCCAATTCAATGAGTTGAAGAAAGAAAGATTATTAAAATAACAGTGGTTAGAGATAGAAAGTTGCAATTCCACAATATATCACTGTTTCTTTTTCCTTTATATGAGAGACTACTGGGAGTTGTCTTTGTTGCACCCATAGACCATATATTGCGTACAAATTTGCACTTATGTGTACACTTTTGTATAAATTGTACAAAATGCTCGTATATTTGTTAATATTATTAACATTGACAAAAAAATCAATTGTAAATTTAAACTCCTCTGAAATCCATTTATCCCAAATTAGCAGCTTTTAGTGTAACTATTCATCTACATAATTTTATGTACATAAGTATTATCAAAATGCTTTCGAGGTCTTCAGGTCATCCACCTAGTCCATAAAACGCCATACTCCTTTATTATATTGCAGTTCTGCTTATACCAAACTTTCTCCAACTTCCACAATTTTCAAAAATTAAAACTGTTCTTCGAAAATTTTAGTTTTTTTTTTATTTCCGTGAATCGTTAAGCACGCCTCACCTACGCGCATTAGTAACTTTGTTGTATCCTGCTTCGAATTTTCTCCTCAAACTCGTTTGCTGGCTCTGTTATGAATTCGGTTAAATAATCCAAAATTTCTACCGTTAAATGTTTACTGTTTGCTATTGAATCAATTAAAAATGATTTTCGCTATTCTTGATATAAGTTAGTTAAATATTAATTTTTTTAACACAGTTATTTCGAAATTTATCGAGAAAAAAATGCAATAAATTATCACGAGTATACTGTTGAAGCTATGTAAGGAGGATCTGAAGATTTAAATGACTCAAAAATTACGAAACTTAGAAAGATTTTGATAAGATCTACTAAAAACTGATTATTTTCTCTACAAAATGAAACTATTTGCAGTTTTCTATCATTATTCATTTCTGAATTATAAACGAATTTATCAAGAGTTCCATTATTTTAGTATATATGGAAAAATCTTAAAAACTAGAAAATTGCTGATGCAATCAAACATGAAAATCTCGTCTAAAAAATCCACCAATACTCAACTTTCTACCACTATCCATTTCTGAGTTACAAAACATTTTTTACCATCTAACAAACAATTCAATCAACTTCATAAATACAATACTTCTTTACCTAAACCACAAGCAATTGAAGCTCAATTATAAAACAAAGAAACATCTGCAGCAATCGAGCAAATCCTCAACCTTAATGCACCCCTGCAATCAGTGATATCTGGTACAAATCGGCATAGAAACAAATTTTTATCGGATTCAATTCGCACGTCTTTCGTTGGATCGCCGACCCGCTTTCTTGAGGTAGTCCACCTCTGGCCAGAGCGCTAGGAAGAAGAGGTAAGTGGGTCATGTATATATACTCAAGTTCAAGGTATTTTAAAGGCATTTGGTGAAGACTTCCATTGGTGTGCACAGGTGTACGAGAGTTCCTCGATTAATTAGTGTCATCTTAGTCACCCGATTTCTAAAATGTAAGTTTCGATTTTTTTATTATTTTGAATATGCATAATAATAAAGTAGGTGTTTGATTTGATTAAAAAATAACTGGACATTTGATGCAGTTGAAGGTTTGTTTTTTAAATTTTATTTTAGTTTAAAAGATTCACCCTGTACCTAATAAGTCTTTTAAGTACATACATAAAGATATAAGGGGAGTTGACATTTTGATTCTTGCATGGGGGATATAGTGCATTTATTTTGCATACAATTATGAATTAAATAAGCTAAAATACTCTATTGAACGCCCATTATAATTTGTATTTGTATAAATTCTAGGGCTGGTATACATTCTTATAAAGTTCTAGTGAAAACTAAGAATCTTCTATGAAGAATCTACTTCATTAAGTTCCTTGAGCAATATATTTTCAGATTCATCAGCGATCAATTTATCCACAATATACGTACTATTACTCACAATTTACACGAATTAGAAATTTTCCTCATATCCGCGACATTTTCATTTCACCAGGTACTAAAATGTTTTTCTTGTTTAAACAGAATTCCACCTAATAGGTATTTACATTATTTCATTCTACAATATCATTCTTTCTAATAACATTTGAACACAAATTTTCGATTAATTCACATAAGAACTATTCCTACAGGGTGAATTAAAGAAGCAGGATACCTTTCTAGCAAGTTATCAGTATTTTCCTTACAACACAAAATATACTTTAATTTCTACTTCAATTTTTGGGAGTCTTCTACAATTTTTGATTATTCAATAATAAACTCGTAATCCCCATAGTTGTTGAGAAAAAAATTAATTTGTCTTGATAGCCACGTCAATAAATCACCTCGTATAATTAACAGCAATTCAAAACCGTGCAACTGGGACGGATTTTTTAAAAAATTAGCACCAATAATTAAAGCAAGCAACATTACCTGGGTAATTGTGAATTCAAATACTTAACGTTAGATCGATATGCTGTTAATCGTACTTCACAATATGTACTTAACGGATGCATCTTCGGATGGTTCGTTAACCCGTTAACTTTTCTACGGGTTACTGTTATTAGAACTCGTTAATTTAACGAACGCGTTACAGCAATTTGGGCGATAGCCGAAAAATTGGCACTCGCTTAATTAACATGCGTTTGAACTAACGCGGTTTTCAAATTCTCCTAGCTCGACTAATATCTTAATTTTACAAATTGTCTTGAAACTGTAGATGATAAATGGAGTCTTTGTTTTTAACAGTTTTGCTAATCCATTATTTATAGTTAATCGAGTCTGTTGTTTTTTGGTTTTAGCAGGTAATTTAGGATGATGAATAAATTAGATGAGGAAGATTTTAAAGTGTTAATTAACGAAACGATTGAGTTGATTTAATGTTCGTAGTAATTTGAAGTTCATGACCTCCTATGTTGTGCATTCTGCAGTAAAATGATGTAATTTAGTAAATGGCCTAGTATTATAGCGAGTTTACGTGGCGAGCGCATATCATTATATTCAAAAAAGTCTAGCACAAACTTTCTTATTAGATTATCATGGAAAAGTATTCACAAAGATTGATGTATAACGGTGCATTGTCCTACTGTTACAGAAATCGCAACCCAATAACATTCCATAACACAGATAATAGAAAATTATAATTCAACTTTTAGATAATTTTTATGCATCGAAAATTTCCTTTAAAGTGCTCTTTTAACATATATTTGATCTACATTGTGATACGGCAAATGCATGTAAATGGATTCTAGTAGTCTGTTGCATCAGAATAAATAAAGATCCATTTGCGAGAAAAATCGAAATTGTCAATTAACTTATTAAAAAGTAAATTTCTTCGGTTTTATAACGCATTTCGAAAGAAAGTTCATCGCTATTTTCACTTTAGAAGAATTCGAGATAATTGTCGGCGAGTACAAATTCTATAATGTTGAATTTGTCCAAGTAGGTCACCGCCATGATGGTCACTCGCGTACTTTTCATCGACTTTATTAATGAGGCGACGTGTCGCTATTTAAAATTAATATCGAAGAGGTGCAAGTTTGAGCTAGAAATCGCCACGAAATCGTCGAGCAATTCACGAAAAAATTACGTCATTTTGTCGATGCTGAGGTTTCTGTAAAGTACCCGCAGATATTCTTCTTTTTTTTCTAACATATTGATAACGTAACGTTCCGTTAGCGTAAAATGTAAGTTTTAAGGTGAAAAAATAACACCATGATTTTCAAAATCATCGAGCAATAAACGAAAAGTATATGCCATATTGTTGAACGAGATATTTCTGTAAAGAACCCGCAGATATTCCTCTTTTTTTCTAAAATATGGATAACATATAGGTAGAGTTATTCCGTTAGGTGTATAACGTAAACTTTTTTGCGTAAAACGCTAATTAAGGTGAAAAAATAACGCCAGTACACGGAAGGTTTTTATCACAGCATCAATTACAGTTAATCGAAGAAATATACGCAATTAAATTGGCATAAGGTCGCTTCAAACGAGTTTATCAAACCTGAACCACCTGGGAAAAAGTGGTAGCGAGATGAAAAAAAACCGAATCCTCCGGCATTTAAAATTAGAAAACTTCAACAACACGCGTTAATATCAGGAAATAGTTACACTCTTTTTACAATACAATAGAGTTACATCAAAACAACATTACTCAATAATTACCGGTTAATTTCGACCCTATTTTATTCCAACCAAAACGGCATACGTTTTATCCGATTGTCGCAAAGACAATGCGGCTTTCTATTATTAATTTTTATTTAACTGCCTTACGACATTCAAACCCGGACCAATTTGAGATGGTCGACTTCAGAAACACAAAACGCAAACGTCGATGTGCACGACACTACAAGGATGTGCTAAGAGATGTGCTTCATGTCTTCATGCTTTCTAAACTGCGCCTAACAGTCGAAAATCCTCGTTCAATGGAATATAATAGAACGGGTGACCCGATTAGGCGAGGCCGTGCGTTTAGGCCTTTTATAAAAGATTTCCTGCACGACAGTGAGGCGGAAAAATCTTTCATAAATAACGACAAATTGTAGCGAAATTGTTTAGATTCTTCTAAAGGTAGAGAGAAGAGATGTGATGCAAATAGGGGTATAAGATTAGGGGAGATAAATCATATAAAATACGAATTTAGCACCTCTTTAATCGAATTAGTGGAATACTTGGTTATTTTGAGGTGTATTTTTTGACATTTTGATCATTTTTAGATATTTTATTGAGTGTTTTCGGATGCTTAAATGCTTCAAAGGATTTCTAAGATTTTCTGTGATTATTTGATTGGTTATTTTGGTGTTTCTATAATAAGTTTGCCGTATTTTAATATGTATCTGTAACGTATAATCTGTAATCTGATGTGCAGGGTGTTAATCAATTAGGAAAACATGAAATTGTTTCGTGTGAAAAGTATCATTGAGAAGTACAATGAAGAGTATTTATTTTAGTAAGATCATTTGTACGTTTCTAAAGAATATTTGGTTCATTTTTAGTTTTCTGAACGATTTTTTAATCTTCTTTGGGCCAAATTTAATCTAATTTGGCCAAACGCGATGTCCAAAAAATGCTACAATTAAAGTGAACCCAAAAAACCGTATCATTTCACACGAATCACGGTCGAAAAATCGCTTAACGAGGAGAAAATCGAAAATAACGAAACGGTGTCGTTGGAATTAAGCAAAAAAAGCGAAAAAACCGTCCTCTTTTCTAACACTCTACTTCCGACAAACGACCATTACAATGCCACGATAAACAAACCGAAAATTAAAAATACAAGCAAATGGAATATGTAATGTAACGGTTAAAATTGGTTCGAAATAAACAAGCAAGGCATGCTCAACTATGTCTGATGACCCGCTTTTGATTTGGGCTAGTACCGGACCAGTGACGTGCTTTTATAAGCTCAAGAACTCAAGAACTTATTCTACCATTTCTTTAGAAGATACATGTAGACCCTAAATAAATAGTTCATCCTGAACTAATAGGTGCTTGTTTTGGTACCAAAATGTAACTTTGTTGCCAAAATTAACCTTATATTTTTTTATTAAATCCTGTAAATCCCAGGAGATTCTTATATAACTTAGCAGGATTCCTACAGATATCTACAGCCCTCTATTGGCAATAATACTATAGGTTCCTGATTCTTTGCTACCTCTTCCCCAAGAAAAAGTAAAAATGCGAAGTACCAACAATGACCAGAAGAGATATTCAGGTTCTAGAGTCCGTTTCGACGACACCACTGGCTCGCATGAATCGAGTTTCGCTTGTGCAACTGAAGGCCGCGTTTACTCGAATTTTTCCAATGCGTCCCGTTACTTTGCGCGTTTAGCCGGAAAAGAGGATAAGCGTATTCGATGTGGGCAAGATCAAGCTCAAGGTCGCTTCGCCAAGAACTCCCGACGGTAATCGCGCCCGAGCCGAAACGGTACTGCCTATTTAACCAATTAACCAGTGAAATCGATGTTTGTCCTCTTCCACGCAAACGTACACTTCGATAATATCTTCATTTAACTCCTCAATTGGTGGGTCGCGCTGGCCTGTATAATAAAATTGTAAACTTTGCAGAATGTACAGAGCGGCAGTAGGTTGGGCGTTCGCGGCCCTGCTGGTGTCCAGCTCGCTGGTGGGCACGTTCTCCTACCCCAACGTGCACGTGAGCGCGCCCGCGGCGGCGTCGCCGCAGCCCCAGCAGGCCGGGGCGGCGCGCAACTTCTACCCGGTGAAGGGGCCCCGAGACGTCCCGGAGCAGCGGGTCGAGCGGAAGTTCGCCGAGAAGCCCAACCACGTGAAGAAAGTGGCGCTCGACCGGTTGGACGACATCGAGACGAACTCCATAGGCGAGAGCTCCGCCATCGGCGGCGGCTTCTCCTGGTCGAACCTCTTGGGTTAGTTGTGGGTTGCATTGTGTGGCGTATTGACTGATCCGGGCGGGTTTCAGGCATGGTGATGCAGATGATCTTCAACCCGGGCGGCGGCAACAACCAGGGGCCGAGCAAGTCCGAGGTGCTGGAGGACGGGCCCATCCAGCCGACGTCGCCGTGGGCCAATTTGCTGTCGGTCGGTTTGAAAATTCTCACCGCCATTTTGGGGGGCGGCAACACCGCCAGCGACGGTATCGATAAGGTTGACAACGGAAACTCGCCGATGCAGGTAAGCTAAATCGAGGACTGTGAATGCTGAGAGTTATTTTTCGAGAATCGTCATGTTTTAATGCGTTTGAATGGGTGGTTAGTTTACTGTTATTTGGTCATTTTTAGTGTATACGAGGTGGCGAAATGTCGAGGTAATATAGCTGATTTATTAAAGGAAAATGTGTAATAGAGTTCGTACGTTTTAAAATCACAATAAGGTAATTTTTAGTAATTTCCAAACGATTCAAAATTTCCCTAGTGCCAATGTTAATTCCGCCATTTGACTAGGGAAATTTTACTTAGTTCGGTTGAATTGCCGATGCATTGTTGCCATATCGTTAGTCTCAAAATTCCGCTATTTGTAGTCTACACGTTTTGACTACAATTTGTTGTTTTTCTGACTTTCCCAGCGATTTTTGTCTTTTTCTGGAACGTTGTAAATGATTATAGACAGTTCTAAATGATTCTGAAGTGTTCTAAATTGTTATAGACAGTTCTAAATGGATCTGGATTTTATCAAGTAAAATGTAAAAACAATGTACGAGATTAGTATTGTAAATGCATAAAAATCAGATACAAGCATTTTTACCTATTAATAAAGAAGTTATCTTACTCATTTTACACATTAAACCACCCTGTATATCTACTCTAATGTACAGAAAAATTATATTTCTAATTTTAAGCGAAATTCCACATTTCGAAATCATTAATTTGAAAATAAAAACCACCCGTTCACAAATATTGTAAAATAAACGAGCTTTGCTTTTAGTGATTATTAGTTTTTTGTAAATAAATAAGCGGCACTAGTAGTAGTTATAAAATTGCACAGGGTGTTCTGGAAGCCGTGGTCTCAGCTGTGGTGGGAGACAGGGATCCTCAGCAGGTTAACAAGATAGCTAGGCAGGCCGGTGAGGTACGTGAGACAATAAAAATTCTAACACCGAAGGTACCATTTTCAAAATCTCCACTAACAATTTCTTTCAATTATATGTTGTTTCCGAGATCTAAATTGTAAATAAACCTACCCGGTGCAATCTCGGAAACAACAACCGCACGTCACGTCTCTAAATCTCGGTTGAAAGGTGGTTGAACTAGCGAGAATCCTAATCGATCGGTCGTTTGCAGTTCATTAACATCGTGGTGAACCTGCTGGACGCCCTGAAGACATCTTTCTCGCACCGATCCATGATGGCCAGACACTTGGGCAGGAAAGACTCCATCAGCGACGCCGCGACGGCCAGTCTCACGATGGTGAAGGGGTACTTGAGGTCCCTGAAGACGGGAGACACCAAGTGCATGGAGAGATACGTCTGCCAGGCCAACAGCGAGTGCTCCAAAGACATCGGGCAGAGCTCGCTCTACTGCCACCTCGGAAGGTAAATCCTCGCGCGAGGTTCGAACCATAAATGTACGAATATGTTTTTTTTAGTTACGCCGTGAGTTTCATTCTGGACAAATCCGTCGGGACGCCGTCGTTCGACGTGTTCTACGAGGCGGGCCGAAGGGGCCGGTACGGCGACAACTGCCAGGAGAAGTACTTGGAGTGCAACGAAGTTTGAGCGCGTCGACTAACTCTCCTGTGAATTAGAAAGCGGACGATCGAGAATTAATCGGTGGTTAATTTTGTAACTGAAAATATCCTGGGTTCGCGATTCGGTAGATAATATTTTAAGCTACAAATTTAAAAACGGACCAAAGTAGTTTTAGATTATTTCAGTTTGTTGGATTGTTATAAACACTAATTACTTATTGTTAGCGTACTACTTAAAGCGTTATTGTTTGGACTGGATACATTCGACTGTTTCGATTAAAGTAGATTTTGAGAAAAAACTTCCTTTGGCACAATTTCTAATTCAATGCGTATATTTTAAATACAAACAAAATTAGTTCGAATGAATATTGCATGCCTGAGCAAAGTATGATTTGATGAATGCGTCTCGATAGATATATTTATGAATATCAAGTATCAGTTATTATATTTGTAAAGATAATTCGTTTTGTATTAATTGTATTTGCAAATGTAGATCTATTTATTTAAATACATAGCATAGTATTTATTACAACGGCGACTTTGTTCTCAATGATGCCTACTTAAAATCCAAAAATGCACGTTTAATACGAATGCAAATTGAAATTTGACAACTTAAATTAGTAATCAATTAACTTAATTAAATTTTTCGCTTCAATCCTCGTGGATCGTAAACAATTTAGCCACCTCGTTTAGGTCCTCGTACTTCCTGTGATCCATCAGCACCTGTCGGGCCACGCCGATTTTGTTGAAAACGTTCCACATCACCACACCCACGACGATATCGTCTTTTAAGTAAAATATCACACCTTTGTTGAAATCTTCATCGCCGCTCTCCGACACCTTCACCGATTTCGCCAGCCTTTTTTCACCTTTCTCGGTCTGTTCCTCTTCAACGACGGCCTAATTAAACACACAATCAATAACAGTACATTACTCAATAGGCAATTTTTATAAAAAGAATTATAACATTTTGCTTTAAAAAAAGCGAAGGCATTGCTTCAAAATATATGCATAAAAAGAAGTGAAGGAAGAGGTTTTGTTTCATGTTTTCCTTATTTATAAAAAGAAGCATTTGCTTAAAAAGACAAGGATTTGCTTGTAAAAATGGAATCTTGGTGCATAGCAACTTTTCACAATCTTTTCAATAGTTACTCGGCCACCCCACAGCTTGTAACTTAAAATTTTTGTGTATTTTTGCTGTGTTTTCACAATTTGTTATGGCTGAAAGGGTGCATTGACCTTAGAACAGCCTAGAACCATTTAGAACGCTCCAGAATCATCTAGAACTGTTTAGAACCATTTAGAACGCTCCAGAGTCATATAGAACTGTCTCGATCAATTCAGAATGATTTAGAACTGTTTAGAACGCACCAGAATTATTTAGAACTGTCTAGAACAATCTGGAATGCTCCAGAAACATTTAAACAGTCTACATAGAACCATTTAAAACTCTTTAGAGCCATTTACAATGCTCCAGATTCATCTAGAACCGTCTAGAATCATTTAGAACTATATAGATCAATCCAGAACGCTCCAGAATCATTTAGAATTGTTTAGAACCATTTAGAATGCTCCAGAGTCATCTAGAGTTGTCTTGAATCATTTTGAACAGTTTAGAATCATTTAGAACCCTCCAGAATCATTTAGAACTTTTGCTTGTACCTTTTACTTCAAAGTAAATGCTTCTGATTTTTATAAATACGAACTATTACCCTGATTACTCACGTTCTCTATCTTAGCATCCTTATTTTCATTCTCTAATGTTTTCGAAGCGGTTTTCTTCTCACTCTTGGCAAACACTGCGACTGTAGGTAACGTAGAATCGACGATACCGATGGCTTCGTATCCTACATCAGGTCCCAAATCAGACCAAAACATGCTCTGGTGCAGGTAAGGTTTCCGGGCTCCTGCCATATTCTCGCCGGCCAGTCTACCGGTAACAACGGCGTGATCGTGATGCTCAAAGCGCCTTCTGCCCAGCTTCGTGTCATAGAAACATGCGCAATCTCCGGCCTATAAAATAAAATTTGATCTCTGTATGTGATATAATCAATGAATTCATTATGTCGTTTAGGGAATATATTTATAGAAAATCCCAAAACGTCAACGTCAAAATGTGAGCCCTATCTTCAACCCACTTCAAAGGACAGTCACAACCCCGATTTTTAGAGACCTTTTAAACGATATATCACAAGCCTAAACTTCCCATTTAAAAACATAGGGAATGTAACTGTCATTCGAAGGGGGTTGAAGATAGGGCTCACATTTTGACGTTGAGGAATGTCAAATTATTAATAAAATTCGACGTGTTTCGGGATTTTCTATAAATATGTACAGTAACCGAAATAATGAATGCATTCCATTTGGCGTTTCGATCCTGTATAGTCATCTCTCGAATAAACTTACAACGTATATATCGGATCTAGCCTGGAGTTCCGTATTAACCAAGTAACCTCCTAATTCCGGATCGACTTCCAGGCCGGATTCATCGGCTAAGTCCGTATTGGCTTCGACACCGACCGCTATTACCGCATAATCAACTAGTAAAGTGTTGCCGTCGTTTAAAGTCAATTCTAATTTTTTATTCTTCTCCTTTAAAGCAACCACTTCGGAATCGGCTATAACCTACAAACGGATAAACGGGCTCTAAAAATATGTAAGCCGATTTTATGAGATTACGCGTACTTTCACCCCTTCGTTTTTAACTTTGTTAGTGGTCCAAGCCGACAGGTATTCCGGCAGTATTTTACCCATGTTGCCGCCTTCCTTGAAGATCTGGTACACGTTTTTGTTACCTTTCGCGTCTGAAACGTGATACATTTGATTTATTCGTTTGTTAACAGTTTTATTACGAACCTTTACGAGCCATAGCGCAAGCCAATTCGCTTCCCAGGAATCCGCCTCCCACTACAGCCACGTCCGCTGATTTTTCGAATAAGTTGTAGGCATCCTCGAAATCGTGGATGTCCCTGTAGATTTTCACCAAATCCGACGTTTTTTCGTTGAGCTTAGCCGCTTGGAAAACTGGCAGTAATTTCGGTTTGGCACCTACAAAAAAACGTTCGTATTATTGTATTTTTTCCATAGCAGAGCGGCTCTGAAGGATCACTTTAATGTGAACAAAGTGCCTAGTTACTCCCTAACAACAATGTACAACTATTAAGTTAGAGACGCGACTTTAAAGTCGTGTTTAAGCTCAAAGTAAGGCACTGAATAAGTTGAAATTGAACTGGTCAAAATCTTCCTGGTAAACTTACAATAAAAAAGATTCTCATATGTTACCAACTTTTTCAGACATACTGTCTATCTGGATGGAGTTGAACTCTATCCAGAACACACTCCATATCTATCTAACTCTAATCAACTCTATCCAGGATACACTAAACATTATGTTTATAATGGTCTTTACAAATAGTATTATTCGTTTAATAATACCTGTGGCTAGTAAACATTTGCCGAAACGGATTTCCGTCCCGTCATCTAATGTCACGAATTTCTCATTTACATCTAATTTCTTGACGGTCCATCCCCTAGCAACGGCGACTCCGCCGTTCGGAGCTTCCATCAGAGAGGTGCAATCGGTGTAAAATTCTTCGGGCTCGTAGAATAAACTGGAGGAAATCTATTAGTAATCGTGCAAAATGAAAACTGGAATTACAAACCTTCTTTCGGAGCCGTTCCATTGCTTGAAAGCCTTCTTCTTAACCAATTCCTTATCTTCGTTGAACCAGATTTCCTTGGACAAAGGAGGCCTCATGTACGGGTAGAAGTTTTCGTTAGTAATCATCAACACCTAAGGAATGTTTATGTATAATTAGATTTCTAAAGTGTATTATTTATATACGAAGTACCTTAGCTTTGGGATCTACAGATTTAATAGCACGGAATGCTGTAAACGATGCAGTTCCTCCACCGATTAGTAAGTAAGGCACGTCTTTTGGAATATCTTTGGAGTTGCTCGGGTTTTTCTGGATCGGTCTCTTCTTTTCTACAAAAATATTCTTATACAATAATATCTATTAATTGAAAGTAGTATTGACTTACTTTCTTCTAACTTAAATTCCTTGGGTTTATTTTTAGTTGGGCTAATGAACCAAATCTTAAAAAACATTCTAAATTAGTCAAAATAAATTATATTGATATATTTAACGTACTGTTCCTAAAGTAAATGCGGTAAATAACATTCCGAATAGTAACGATTTACTTTTTTTACTGCCATCGTGTTTCTGCTCGGAAGATTGAATTGAATCATTCATTAAATTAACAGATGCATCCTTAATTGAAGGTATCTAAAATTTAAATAAATTGCACTTTATCTCTTGATCATACGTAAATTTGTGACTCCTTACCTTCTTATCTTTACTGTCGTTGCTAAAAGTTCTTACACAACAGCATGGTCTATGTTTATATACTAAAAAAATTATTTTCAATTAATTCCTGCAATAATTTAATATCTATTACTTACTTATTCCGTTAAAAGCAGACTGGGAATACTGGGACGTTTGCCTCGATATATTAAGGTTAACAGAAATTGTTTGCAATTGCCTGATTCTCAACATATTATATTTTACCTGCCAAACTTTGTTGTACACTAATGATACGAAAATATTCGATTTTCAATGTTACAAAAAATTACTCGAAAATGATTTTTTTTTAAATCTGAAACTGAAACTTCAAACTGATGAACGTATTTTCACTTGTTTCAGCAAAAATAAATACAAGAGAGGGCTTACTGATTATAATAGCAGTTAAACGTTCGCAAAGTGTTTGGAAATGATTTCTGCTCTCGCGTTAAGAGTCTTTTATTAATCTGCCTTCATAAAATAATACGAATAACCGGCACACGCTTTTCATTCCCATTTCCACAATCCCAACCTTTGGATTTTTTTATAATCAACAAATGACAATGACAGACACGTGATTATGACGTTGTCATTGATGTCAAAGTGGCCTAAATATATTAGCAATGTAGCTACCATAAAAATCATGGGCGTTCTCCATTGGTAAAATAGTGCACACTGAAACTGCACTCAAAGCAAAATTTTTTGGCGTTTATGTGTCCATATAAAAGTTACATTTGTAGTGTATTTGAAATTTCGCAAAACCCAACAATCTCTGATAAATGGCGGTAAATTTAAAAATTAAATATTGCAGAGATATCAATATTAATCCTTAATGTTGCTAAATTTTTATTTAATAACTCAGGATATATTAGAGCACACTTTAGCTATGTTTTATACACATAAGTGCAAATTTGTACATCTTTGTACAAACATTGATATTTATAAAAACAATAAAAGACCACATAACTTTTTGAGTTAAGTACGCAATAAAATCAAGCCTTGTAAATTCATTTAATCATAATACAACACTTCGTAAACTTTTTTTAATAACTGATACATTATTCTAATGAAAACTGAATCAACACCTAAACCTTAACGTAATTTCAAAAAAAAAACAAATTAATAATATAACGACAAAATAATTGAAAGTAACGCAAACAATATAAAATATTTTCCATTTAAATCTGTTATCTTTTATACAAGTATTTGTTAATACCTGCTGCAGGTACAATAAATTAGAGTGTAGCCGAATCCGGATCATTGTCCGAAAATAATAGCGACAGAGTTGCGTTTGCTTCGTCTTCATTAAATTTAACTTCTTCAAATTTGCTAAAACGAAACGAATTTTGAATTAGTCCAATGTAATTTTAACAACTTGTCCCATTGATTATCCTAAAATACCTACCATTTACGCATCTCCTTTTTAGAAATTTTTTGAATGATTTTGCAACCTTTCAATTTTTGAAATGTAGCATACTTATCCTCATCTGTCATGCCGTCTAGTTCTTTAGGTACTCTACCAGTTTTCTTGTAGAAGTAGAGCACTAATCTAAAATATAAATTTAACAGTAAGTAGTAATCGAAGTAAAGATATTTCTCAAATGTTCTTGCCTAACGTAAGCTGTTATTTTATTGTCCATTAAATTTTCTTCTGCAATTGTCCCATTTGCCAGTTCGCAGTCTACGCATAAAATGTTTGCAGACTTCTTTCTGTAGAGCAAACCGTAACAAGGTATATGAGAAAATTGCAGGCACTCGGCGCATTTAAATAGATCAATCTTGGAAAACGTAATGCCACAAATACAATTCACATTTTCTTCATTGTATTCCTCATTTTTACGGAAAAACGAATCCGACGATTCTTCATCTAATTAAGAAAATGGTTACATTGCGATTAATTCTACAGATGAGTGTCTCTTACCAGATATGGTAATACGGCTTGTATTGACAATGTAAGCGGTGTCGAGTATCCGGATTTTTTCCATTTCGTCATTATCTGCAAAAAATTATTCTTAAAAAAATCATGCATAATTTGAACTACAATTTTACCGTTGTCGGTAATTTTTCTCTTGCGTTGGGAGAAAGATTCTTCAATATCAACGAAGCTGGCACTTAATGCGGGTGTTTTAGGACGCTATAAAAACAAAATAGTATGCGATAAAAACCTAGTAAAACTATCAAACGTGTTAAATAAATTTAAATACAGGATGGCCCGCATAAGAACAGACACAGAGCAGAGGCGTGTAGCGGATTAAAATTGTATATTGTTTAACCCAACTTAATACAAAGTTGCATTTCTGAGAAGTTATAGGCCTTCAAAGGGAAGTTACAAATTTAATGTCTCAGTAATAAGCTAAAAACAAGCAAAAGTAATGAGTGTACTAAAGAGCATTAATCGATAGTTAGGAAAGATCAATTGACGCATTTTAAAGGGTTTATCACAAAGTCATGTTCACTATCAATGTTACTTAAAATCGTCAATAATTTAAAAGTTTGTATATATATATTAAGTTAAATACGGGTTTTATAACATATTTTAGGCTCCCCTAAATGCACCCCTGTAGTGTCGGTTCTTATGCGGGACACCCTGTATATGGGCTGCAAGTGCAAATGTGTTTGCAATATGGTACATTCTACGAGTTGAACAAAGAGAGATTATTGAGTACAACAGTTGTTAGAGTAAAAAAGTAGCAATACCACAATATCACTCTTTCTTTTTCCTTTATACAGGGTGTCTCAGAATAACTATTCCTAATTTTCAGAAATGATGAAGGGCACTTAAATAAACATTTTTTATCAATACACTAGTGTCTGAAAGTGTCTCGGTGTCAAGGAAAATTAGATGTCTTTAAAAACAATCTCGGTTTTTACAGCATTAAAGTTTTTAGTTAGCTACTTACTAAATTGAAAAATTTAATCAGAGCAACCTGTCAAAAATGTCGGTCCTTTTACAATATTCGATTTGGTAGTCAGATTTTTAAGTAGCGAAAACATCAAAATTATTTCTATGTTTTTAAAAGCAAGCTACATTAATCTTTAATTCTAAATTATTACACGTGTCTTTGTAATTACTGACCATAGGCCGAATAGCCCTGGCAACTGAGGCCTGTTGTAGGCTGTTGTATTATTTTTAATACTAATGTTCCTGCTTCAATTTAGTAATGTTGGATAGATTAATTTTTAAATATTTCTAGTTATCTTGACACCGAGACATTGTCAGACACTAGTTTATAAATAAAAAATGTTTATTTTAGTGCCCTTTATCATTTCTGAAAATTAGGAATAGTTATTCTGAGACACCCTGTATAAGACTATTGGAAATTGTCGTGGAATTTGTTGCACCCATAGATGATATTGTGTACAACTTTGCAGTTTATATTATGCACCTGTGAGCTGAAAGCTTTTAAGTTATGATATCCTGTGCTTAATATACCCAATAAATGGGTATTTTGAGGGATTCTCCGACAGTATGCATTTGAACTTGCGCCAAAATTGTGTGGCTCATAGTCCGCCGGGGTTCCTAAAAATTTCAAATTAAAATCGTTGTAATTAAACATACATCAAAAAATACCATTATTGTATTGAAGTTCGATGGAAATGGTTGAATCTTCATTGACTTTCCGTTGTTCGGATAACAAATATATGGCTGCCAGTAGAGTCTTAGTGCACTCTTTAACATAATCAGGCGTTCTTTTCTCGCCATTGTGGTTATTCAGATCCGTGTTGTATTTGAATTTCAGAGTGTAGCTTTCGAGAATATGTTTTTCAGGATTTAGCAGAAACAGGTAAATTACTTTCAGCTAGAAATATGTCATCAAAAATTCATATTTATAAATTAATTACCTATACATAATTGTACATTTTTCTTTTAGTGATTTTGAAAAGAACAAACCTCTAAAATATACTTACATAATTTTTATTAATGGCATTTTTAATTCCTTTCAACCAGGATAGGAATTGAGAAATTCTGGGATCCTTCTGCCATCTTGATTTATTATTAACAACAAAATACGGCACCCCTTCGTATTTTCTACACTCAAGCACCGACTCGTCTACGTTCATCCGCTGGCATATTATATTTAAAATAGCGGCCTCGGTCATAATACGAATGTATTTCTTAGAAAGTACAAAAGATTCGCAGGAATTGCTAACCATTGTCCCATTTAGGGCCTAAACAAATTAAAAATTGGCAATTTTTTAATGCGCATTTTTTTCTTGGATAATACAGTTGATGAAAAAGTATTGTATATGGGAATATTTAAATTGTACTTACAAAAGTAACGGCATTTTGAGTAGAAGTCATGATTTTCAGACAAAATAAATTAATTAACTATCTTATAAATGTTCTAGAATTTGCAATTTACAATATTTTTTTAAATTTAAAATGGCTACTGGTTTAGTTATGACAGTATTACCAACTTAACAATATCATCTACATAAGACTTTTTTTCAAATTTATCAAGAAAACAAGCTATAATTTCGAAAATTATTTCAAACATTTCAAACAACCCTATATAGGGACACAAAAGTAGTTTTATGATGGTTTAACTCTATAAAGAATTTTCTTATTATTCTTATTTTCTTTTTTACCGTTTATAAACCATCAAAATTTATCGTTTAATCCATAGCCAAAATAAAAAAAACATTTCTTTATCTATGGTTTAATCTTAAGCGAAAAAGTTAACTTTAGATTATACAGGTTGCTCCATTTTTGATTGCAATATAGGTTATATAGGCCATGGGTGCGATAAAGACAACTTCCATTAGACACTTACAAAGGAAAAAGAAAGTGACATTGTGTCATTACAACCATAGACAAAATAAAATCTTTTTCTCTATGATTACAACACTCTGACAATTGTTATTTTATTAATCTTTCATTGTTCCACTCATAGAAATGACCATATTGCAATCGGAAATGGAGCAAGGTGTATAACATAGAGAAAGAATTTTATTTTGTAAGAATATTATTTTGAATTAGATTTTTTATTTTGTTTATGGTGTATAAGTGGTGAAACATAAAAATTAAAAATTCAATGTAACTTGAGTTACGTTTAAATTCAATTGGTTCAAGAACCCGTTAAACTTGAACAGAAGTAACGCCAGTTACAGAAAAAATTTTGAAGATAATTCATGGAAAATGGAAAATAATGAAAATATCAATTGGGAAACTTTTTTTTATTCCGAACATAAAATTCCGCAAAGCATTACTCCGAACTCGGAACTAATAAACAAACAAGTCTGTGTCAACTGTCAACTATTGACAACCACAAACCACAACTGTCACTGTCAATGTCAATCTATATGTGTCAACCTCACCCATTACACCGGATAGTGATAATAAAATTCATTTTTTAGGTGTGGTTCTGTTTTAGTATTAAATTTGCAGTATTTATAAATTAAATTCAGTTGCAATGAATGGAAAATTGCCAGCCTGTGTGATAGACGTCGGGACTGGGTGAGTAATTCAAATTCGCCTATCCACAATTAACGTTTACCAACTACCCTGTTATTCTACGATTCAGGTACACAAAATTGGGTTTTGCTGCAAATAAAGAGCCTCAATTTATAATTCCATCGGCTATTGCTATTAAAGAAAGCGCTAAAGTCGGTGACACGAACACCCGCAGACTAAACAAAGGCGTAGAAGATCTCGATTTCTTCATAGGCGATGAAGCATTTGATGCCACCGGATACTCTGTGAAGGTATACACTCTCTGTTACTTCCCTTTATAATATTCTAAAACGCTTAAATTTAAGTACCCAGTTCGACATGGGCTCGTGGAAGATTGGGATTTGATGGAAAAGTTCCTAGAACAGTGCATTTTTAAATATCTTCGAGCCGAACCGGAAGATCATCACTTTCTCCTAACAGAACCTCCACTCAACACCCCAGAAAACAGGGAATATCTAGCGGAAATTATGTTCGAATCATTCAACGTGCCAGGTTTATATATTGCCGTGCAAGCCGTTTTAGCCTTGGCTGCCAGCTGGGCTAGTAGGGGCATCGAAGAACGTACTCTTACTGGAATTGTTATCGATAGTGGTGATGGTGTTACCCACGTAATTCCAGTGGTAAGGAAATTTCTATGTATTTACCATTTAATCGCCGGTGATTAATAATTCATTTATGTATTTTATCACACATTGTAATAGTATTTATTATCAGTGGAATATGCGAATGGTTATTTCAGAAATGCTTTGTTAACTTCGAAAAGTGTTTCATAATTTGTAGTATGTATCTCATTTTATTTTGATTATTAATGTGCTTTAATGTTGTAGGCTGAAGGTTACGTTATTGGAAGCTGCATAAAGCACATTCCAATCGCCGGAAGAAATATTACCTATTTTATTCAGTCGTTGTTAAGAGAAAGAGAAATCGGAATCCCTCCGGAACAATCCTTGGAGACTGCTAAGGCGATAAAAGAAAAATACTGCTACATATGCCCGGACATAGCGAAAGAGTTCTCGAAATACGATACTGATCCGGCTAAATGGATGAAGAAGTACGATGGGGTGAATTCCGTTACGAAGCAACCCTTCAGCGTTGATGTCGGTTACGAAAGATTTTTGGGGCCGGAGATTTTCTTCCATCCGGAATTTTCCAATCCCGATTTTACTGTTCCGTTATCGCAGATCGTTGATGATGTTATTCAGAATTGTCCTATTGATGTACGCAGGCCTTTGTATGATAATATTGTTCTGTCTGGCGGTTCGACTATGTTCAAAGATTTCGGTAGAAGGTTGCAGAGAGACATAAAGAGAACTGTGGATGCAAGACTGAAGTTAAGTGAGACACTCGGCGGAGGTCGATTGAAGGTAATTTATTTATTATTTATTGGAAATATGTTTTTTTTATGAAAAAATAATCTTTTTATAGCCAAAGCCTATTGATGTCCAAGTAATTTCACATCATATGCAACGTTATGCTGTTTATTTCGGAGGTAGCATGTTGGCCTCCACTGTAAGTATTTAAATGGCTAATTTTATCTGTAAAATTATAATTTTTTCGCTTATTTCAGCCCGAATTCTACACAGTTTGTCATACAAAAGAAGATTACGAAGAATTTGGACCCCGTATATGTAGGCACAATCCAGTATTCGGTACAATGACATAATTACATTATTTTATATTTATTTTTTACTTTTTTTATACTTCATGTAAAGTAAATAGTTTTAAAGCCGATTGTTAAATATAGGTTCATTTTCTAATTTCATATTTATTTGTAATAATTGTAGCTGGATTTGCCAGCAACTTTTTAAACCCAACTTTCTTGTACCTTGATATTGTTATATTAAGAATTGTTAGTTTTTAAAGATTATAAGATTGATTAAAAATTCTTCGTACTATGTAATATTAGCCAATATTAACCGACTTAAAAAAATAACAACAAAAATCAGTAGAAAGTTTTGTTTTTAAAAATTTACAAAAATAGGAATTCTTAAATAATAAAAATGACTAGATTACTTAATGAATAGGATAAAATTACACAATGTCAATCATTTTAATCAAATTAAAATATCGCTTAGAATAGATATTTTTTCAAAATTGAACCATTCAAATTCTACGATTCTAATTATACAACTTAATTTTAATTCCCTTTAAAAGACTGGTAGAATATCGAATTAGCAAACACTTAAATACACCCCCAAAATATCCAATTATAAAAATACAAACAAATGACTAGTCCTTTTGGTCCTAAAATAAAATTAAGTGAGCACTTAATATGGCCTAATTAACACCTATCATTCTTGATAGATGGATTTAAATCAATAAAATATTGATGAGCCATTGCATCATCTGCAGACATTCGTCCCATCGGGTTACAAATTAACAACTTTTGGAGCAAGTCCCTTCCTCTGTTCCCTAATTTAGGTACAACCTGAAATTTTAATTTCATACAATCTCAATGGATTTGCTTAACTTGATGGATTATACCTGTGACATGCTCATGTTTGGCTGATATATTGGAAACGGTTTGTAATCCGGCAATTGTGTCATTCCGTTCCAAGTTTCCTCTGTAGGGGTTCCTAATAGCTTGAATATTCTTCTTAATTGGTCATCTACATCGGAACCAGGAAATAAAGGTCTACCTACAATAAGTAAATGTTTTGTACAGAGTGGCACAAAATTAATTCGGTTTGTTGATGTATACCTGCGTTAGCCAATTCTGCGAAAATACACCCTGCCGACCACATGTCTATAGAAGTAGTATAAAGCTTAGCACCGTATAATACATCAGGTGGCCTGTACCACAATGTAACCACTTCAGCCGAGTAACACTTAACGGGTATACCAAAAGCCCTAGCCAAACCAAAATCAGCCAGCTTCAATTCGCCGTTCTTATTAATCAACAAGTTTTGGGGCTTTAAATCTCTGTGAAGAACGTTATGGCTGTGACAGAAGGCCAGACCTCTTAATAATTGGTACATAAACGACTTAACAACGTCCAAATCGATGTCACCATTTAAACTGTCGAAGTATTTCTTTAAGTCTTGATCACAGTGTTCGAAGACCAGCGTGAGTTTCTTGTCGCTGTGCAGCACGTCGTACAGACGCACGATGTTCTTGTGCTTGAGCTCTTTCAGTAAACATATTTCTCGAAGGGCTGACGAGGGGACTCCTTCGTCGTCGTCGTCCAATCGGACCCTTTTTAGCGCCACTATCTCGAGGGACTCCCGGTTTTTCGCTTTGAAGACCGTGCCGTAGGTCCCCTCGCCTATTTTTTCTAATTTTTCGTACTTCTGCATGGTTTATAGGCGATAAATAAACAAAAATATCCAGACAAAAATTTTAAATTAACTTTGACAGTAATGAAAAATAATGACTTCTTCTTTTTCATACAAATGACATTTCGTGACATATGACAGTTTATTTTAACTAGCTCTTTATTTAGGTTATTCAGCCACAGCCACCATAAAAACCATAGAGAAAGAAAGATATTTTGTCTATGATAAAAACTCTTTTGCATACAATTAGAAAAATGTACTATATAATAACGGTTTCTTTCTCATTGACTATTAAACTCTTGGCTACTTTAACTTGAATGTCGTTGGAAATTCTGGTGAACGAGAATCTTGAATTAACTAAGTGATAAAAGCTGTCCCCGAATGAAGCTGTAATATAGGCTTTATCTCCATCGATTCTTGTAGTACAAAAGTTTGTAATTATTACCTAAAATAATACAAAAAGTACATTTGTACCACTTAAAAAAACGAAGAATTTAAAATACTTACACATAAATTGTACTTAATGGAAAGATATCGTAACAATTGAATAACTTTGTTGGTTAATTTAAAACGTTCTGTACCATCTAGTTGCCTTAATATATAGGATATACTGTCTACGATTAATAAACGAATCTACAAAATAACTGATTGACTATATCTATAACCAGTGTAACTTTATCGTGTTTATGTACTTCTTTCTGTTGTAAAATGCGCTCCAGTTTGTAAAGACACGCAGTAAATTCTAGTGGGTTGATAACTTTTGTATAGTATATATGATCCAAAATATATTCCACATTAAATTCTTCGAGAATGTTAGGATATTCTTCAAAAAACTCAGTAGCTACTTCTAAAAAAGACATTTAATTCTACAATGAAAGGTACATGTTTAGGTACAATACCTTTTAATTTATCTATAGAAAAATTACTATTTGTACTAATATAAAATGCTTCCCCGCCACATCCACCGTGAGTTTTGGGCATTTGAACGGTAACGCATAGTCTGAAACTACAACAATTTTTTTTAAATTAAGGTAAAATAATAAATATTTAGAATATTACCATACTGGAGTTGAACATTCGAAATGACCGGTAAATTCGATGATTTTCTTTGGAACTAAAATGTTTCTAAATACTTCATCTAACTTTTCGTTGTAACTCAAAATACAGCCATTAATACATTCTTGTTTTAACAAATTAAGAGCGGAATTACAAGACAAAGTGTTAACTGAAGTCTTAAAAATGTTTAATATTTTCTGGTTTTGTGGTAAATCCAAAACTGAGAAATCTAAATTTTCAACACTCATTTTAAAAACAAAAAACAGACATTTAAATTTCTTCTTTTTTTAAATTACAGATTTTTTTGATTGGCTGTTGAATCTTGGTTAAAAACGGAAAAGGCCTGACGGAGCGGATGTCAAATTAAAACCGGTGTTGCCAAATTATTTTTATTGTAAAATAAATTTACATTTTTCGTTATAGATTTTTTTAAATTTTAGTCGAAATAGAATGTTTATAACTCCTACTATAATTAGTTATGATAAATTTTCAAACACGTTCACAATTCGTTGGAAAATATTCCAAATTAAATTTGCATAAATCGAAATCTGGCAACGTCGCATTAAATTTCAAAGTTTTTAACGGCTACTTTGCCAACCTTCATTTTTAAATAAGTCAAATTTTCAACGATGTTATTTAAATAGCGTTCGTCTACATTGTGTTTTTTTGTGAATATTTGTGGTTTTAATAAGTCATTATTGTGCCAGGATTGTAATTTATTCGTGATAATGTTTCTTCAAGTAAGTTTAATATTTGTTTATAAATAAGGTTATTGTTATAACATTTTACATTCCCTCAAAATGTTTTTTTACTAATGGAATTCTTGTCGGTTTTATATCAATTAAATATCAGTTAATGATCGCCTTATTTAAGCGATATGTGAATTGAGCTTTATTTGCTAAATTTTGGTAGTAGTTCAATAAGAGTAATCCTCTATGAGGATTCTGTATAACATTGATATAATTTTGGGGAGATAAATTTGCCACCTTTTACAATGATTTCCTGATAAAATCTCTTTATAGAACACGTACTTATTCTTTTTAGTTTTACATTATTATAGTTTGCTTGCTGACCATGTACAGTGTGCTATTTACATATAATGGGTGTCCAATGAGGAACTTCCAAAGTTCCGTTGGAATGGGTAATTGGTGACTATAAAATATAGTAATTAACCAACTTCACCTTTCTTTCTCTAAAAAGTTACAGAATTAAACTAAGAATATAAATTTTTTGCCAGTTTTCCCCTCCAAAAGCGGTAAAGAAGCAACCTGTAGTGAAAAAGAAGATTCAAGAGAAAACTGAAATCTTATCATTGGCCCCCTTCGCAGTCGTTCCGAAGTTATATTTCGAAGATATCCCCGTTGGAAACACCTCCACTTGCAAGCTGATCATAAGAAATTCCACTGACCAGCAATTAACGGTAAGTCCTTTGGGTTTGTTTCGAGTAATATTAACTAAAATGATTCTTTGTAGATTTTTCTAACAAAAAAATTACCTGCCGATTTTAATGTGACTTACAATTGGGAGCAAAAGGATATAGAAGAGCACTCTGACGTTTTATTTGAATTAACATGGCATCCGATTAGTAAGGAGAGTTCTTATCAAAAAATTTCGTTTGAAACCACAGATGGAACACAGAGAAATGTCCCGATTATTTTCAAAAGTGTACTACCTAAGGTAAATGCGATATACAATTGTAGTTGTGAATCTTGAGCTGATGAATTTTTTTGTTACAGAAAAAGAATGTAGGAAAAACTAAACAATTCAAAAAATCTCCAACTAAAAAATACTATTCGCGGAAATCTTCTAACGTTCCTACAAAACGGTACTCTTTATCTCCCAACAAAAATGCAACGGTTAAGAAAAAAGCAGTTTCATCATCACCATTCAGCGATATCAAAACAGACCCTTGGGATCCATTTATTTCTACAGTCAACAGGGAATTTAAGGAACCCTTAGGGGTAAATTTTGGGGAGAACAGAGAGATAACTTTCCCAAAAGAAATTGACAAACATTTCGATTTTGGACTGACATCAACTCCCCAAAGATTTAACCTAGACATTCCTTCTCCAATGCCGCAAATTAATCAAACATCATCTTTTGCAAATTGGTTTCAGTCTGGAGAATCTAATAAGGAGAATGTAAATGTAGAGACTGCTGATAGCCTCGATGAAGTATTTAACAACTCACTTAGTAGCCTTCGAGCGCCCCCAACTCCTCTCCTAAAACCTTATCTTCAAAACATACGTGAAGAAAAGTCGGAAACTTCCTTTGGTACATATTATAGGCAATGTCTCAAACCAAAATCACCTACAACAGACTTTGAATACAAATTGCAACACCTTGATTCTATGTGCCTTTCAGAACCAAAAGAACTCTTTCAAATGAATCAATGCATTAGTGAGTCAATGTTTGAGGAAACGCCAGAACAGAAGTCTAATACTTACATTAAAGACTCCACATTCCGTACATACGTGAAGGACAGCTCTTTTGGATCAATCTTCAGGAACCCTGCTATCGTCTTAGATGAGGCGAGTTTTATGAACCCTTTGGAAGAGCTAAATACCCAAGCAAATGTTAATTCGGACGGAAGACTAACATTCTGCTTAGATTACAATGCTCCTTTTAAAAAAATGAGGCAAGATTTACGCGTCAACAAAACCAGAGGCCCATCGAACTGGTCCAAAGCCGGAGACTCCGCTTTCAGAGTCCACAAGAGCACCACAGGCTTGAAGCTGAACAAAAAAGACGGCAGTAAGGAAGTAAAATCTCTGTCTGTGGAAAAAACTTGTACTGCTACAACCATAAATCCGTTTTTAATGGCTGCCAGCGGTTGCGATCCATTTCTAACGCAAACTTATATCAATGATGAATGGGTTGCTCAGCAGGAAAATAACTTCAAGAAGTGGCTGAACGCCCTCCTCACGCCGCCTCAAGAGTTCTCCTATGAAGATAAACCCATCGATATCGCTAAAGTTTGGCAAGTAAGTAAAAGCTTTTTAATTACACTTATGTCTTGAACGGTATCCAGTTCGATACACGATCGATATTTTTTTGTTAACATAAATTTATTACTCACAGGAGTGCAAGAATATGGACATCGAATCAGCTTCGAGTAAAGAAGAAGTGTCCAGTAAATACCACGTGAATTCCAAGCTGATCGCCCTAAGAAAATCGGCCAGGACTTTGTTCAAATCCGAGGCTATCAGTAAAATTTTGCTGAAGGTTTCAGAAGCCGTGGAGAAAGGACGATTGAGCGTGAGACAGGACAAGGACATTTTCCTAAATCTCACGACAAAGTCCGAGTTGATGGCTCTCGTTTTGAGTTACACGCCCTTGTGGTTGCGAATCGGACTGGAGACGGTCTACAACGAGACCATTCCGCTCAAATCAAATTCGGACGTCGAAGGATTGGGGAATTTCATCGTTAACAGACTGTTTAAAGATCCGCTACTGTTGAGGCGATACAAATCCACTTACTCGCCGAAATACGTTGAGAATTTCAACAAGTTTTTCTTGAAAAAGTTCCTCACTCTGGTGTATTTCCTGGACCAAGCGAAGAATGGGAAGCTCATCCAGCACGACCCGTGCCTCTTTCGTAGGGCTAGTAAAATCAAAGAAACTAAAGGACTACTGGTGGTTTTAGCTAGAGAAGCGTTAGCAGGAGTCGGGGACATATCGAAGCAACTAAAACTGTATGGATATGTAGTGACCCACGTGCAAACGTCCATTCACGAATTCGACTACACTGTAAACATTTTGGGCGTAGATTTACGGGATGGCGTGCGCCTAACCAAAATCATGGAACTCATTCTGATTAAAAACGATTTGATGAACAACCTAAGAGTACCGGCTATATCCAGGTTGCAGAAAATCCACAATATGAAAATCGTCTTCGAATGCTTGGAACAAGCCGGTTACAAAATGCTCGGCGACATTTCCCCGAAGGATATAGTCGACGGGCACAAGGAGAAAACATTGTCTTTCTTGTGGCAGTTAATTTACAAGTTCGAGGCTCCGCTAATGGTTAAAAGCGCCACGACCATTCAAACGTGGTTCAGGAGTCTGCCGGTGGCGTTGAAGAGGAGGAAAATCGACCGGGCTTACAGGCAACGTTTGGACGCCGCTAAGAAGATACAAAAATGGTACAGGAGGCGAATCCTCTCAAACAAACTACTGGCAGTCGTCGAAATCATCAGGCAATTGCAGCACGAAATTAAATTGGAAAGAGCTGCAGCGACGATTCAAAGAAGATGGATAGCTAAACGACTCATGCTCAAAGAAAGAAGTAATTACCTTCGATTACGAGAATCTTGCATGTGTATTCAAGTGAGATGGAAGGCCATGTTATTACAGCGAGAGGAAAGGCGACGCTATTTACTTTTGAAACGTTCTGCTATTTTAATCCAGCAGAAATGGAGAGCTCAACAACTCATGCTCATCGAAAGGAATGCTTATGTTAACTTAAAAACCACCGTTGTTACGATTCAACGTAGATGGCGTAGCAACTATTTAATGAGAGAAGAAAGGGCACAATATCTTCGTACGAAGAAAGCCGTTACAACAATACAACGGAAATGGAGAGCTACTCGATGCATGCTCAAACACAGAAACGATTTTATTCGCCTAAAAAACGCCGCTACATTGATCCAGAAAAAATGGTCAGCAGTACTGCAAGGTAGAAAGCAAAAGCAAGTCTTCATGCTCTTGAAATCCGCCACAATTACCATACAAACCGCATGGAGAAACAGACAACTCGCTGTGAAAACAAGAAACGATTACATTACCCTACGAACTGCAGTTATAACCATTCAAACCAAATGGAAAGCCGTGTTACTAGGAAGAAAAATTAGATCACACTTTTTGCTTACTAAACAAAAAGCTATAGTAATACAACAGTACTGGAAATGTAGACAATTAGCTGTTAAATCCAGAAATGACTATTTGGAACTAAAGGAAGCTAGTGCAGTCATCCAGAAAAGATGGAGAGCTAAATTATTAGGAAGGAAAGAACTCGAACGTTTTAAGAACCTTAAACAAGCCACTGTAACCATTCAACGAATCTGGAGAGCCAATCAACTCATGATTTCAAACCGAAATGATTATATTAAATTAAGAAATGCTACTTTAGTTATCCAACGTCGTTTGAGAGCTATGCTTTTAGGTAAAAAAGAAAGGCATGCATACATTCAATTAAAACAATCCGCTATTATATTGCAACAAAGGTGGACGGCTAGAAAGCTTATGATTATCCAGAGAAATTATTACCACTTACTATTAACAAATGTTGTAAAAATCCAGAGAAACCGACGAGCTATATGTGCAGGTAGAGAACAAAGGGAAGCCTTTTTAAAACTCAAACAAGCCGCTATCACAATTCAACAACATTGGAGAGCTAGAGAAGCCATGATAAATGAAACGAAACACTACAATCTGTTGAAGAGAGCTACCATATTAATTCAAAGAAGATTTAGGGCTACCTTACTAATGACAAAAGAGAAAAATCATTATTTGCTTCTAAAAGAATCGACTATATTAATTCAAACTAAATGGAGAGCTACTAAGTTAATGTCTACCGAAAGGCAGAAATACCTCACCATTCGAAACGCAATAATTACCATTCAAGCCCATTGGAAAGCTATACTATTAGGAAAACAACAACAACAACATTATACACTTGTTAAAAAATCTGTTATAATTATCCAACGAAAATGGAGGGCTACACAACTCATGCACGAAGAAAGACATCGATACATCCAATTAAAAGCGTCCACTATACGTATCCAGCAAATGTGGAGAGCCACGATTTCCTATAGAGAACAACGAACACTTTACTTGAGTTATCAGAAAGCCGCCGTAATAATACAGAGGAGATGGAGAGCCGCAAAATTGATGATCGAAGAAAGGAACAAATTTATTCGTTTGATAAATTCCTGCGCTTTGATCCAGAACAAATGGAGAGCGACGCTTGCGAGCAGGGAAGAACGGAGGAACTTCCTGCTTCTGAAGCACGCCACCTCATTCATTCAACAGAAATTCAGGAGTAAACAACTCATGATTAAAGATCGAGACGATTATCTCCGAGTAAAACGAGCCGTGGCGATTCTCCAACCCAAATGGAGGGCTACAATTTCTAGTAGAAAACAGCGAGCTGAGTTTTTGTCGCAGAAAAACGCCGCTATAACGATACAAAGATGGTACAGAAATTTCCTCCTCACCAAACGAGAACGCAGGGAATACCTGCTACAGAAAGAGGCCATTATAGGCGTGCAGAAAATCGCGAGGGGGTATCTAATAAGAAGCAAGTACTCGGAGTATCTGTCGGAAGAGGCCAAAGCGAAGAGGAGGGTTGAACGTTTACAAGCACAGGCGGCTGTTAAAATTCAAGTAAGTACGAATTTTCAAATGTGTACGTTTAAAAAGTAGAATAATTGAATAACACAATTGATTTTGTAGTCATTTTGGAGAGGGTACACAGTGAGATGTCGAAATCAACCTAAACTAACTGAAATAAGAAAGAGATTTAAAAACGGTTTGCTCAAACCCAGCAAAACGTTAGAAAATAAATGCGAATTCGCCGTAACATCACTGTTGGGCAATGTTCTCGGATTAGATGATATTCTAGCTCTACTGACGGATATAGGTAATGTATAGTAGATTCACGATTACGTGACGATGACGTCAATGAACTACCTCGTTGTGAACATGTTCTTCGTTTGTCCTCTCTAATTCCCTTTTTGTAAATTTTAGATTACGCTTCGAGAAGATCGGAAAAGCTTTGCGTTTACTTGAGCAATCGCATTAATGAAAAGCTGTATACATTGCTATGTGTAGTAAACAGGTCGCTACCGGACACGCAGATTAGCACGCTATCCGTAAACATTCTGATTAATTTCAACAAACTGGAGAGCACCAGGAAGGACAGTTTCCTCCCGAAGTACATCGACCAACTGGTGGTGCTCATGATGAATTTCTGCGACAAAGAGGCGCAATTGTTCCCGTCCCTGTGCACTTTAATGTGGCTGTTCGCCCGCACGCCCTCTTGGAAGAGGTTCATCTTGAATTTGCCCAACATCCAGCAGAGGCTGAAGAGGATCGAAGCGTTGGTGTTGCGGAAGAAGAACATGGTGTCGCGACAGGCCGGCAAAAAGAGCTTCTTTGCAGCGCAGAAGAATTTGTACGTTCCATCGAACGTGCCCGATTGGGGACTGGAGTACAAGAACAAACCTTATATATTTACTAACTCCGTGCACGCGTTTAATTGTCTCATGGGCGTTTTATTCGACTGATTTTTATTACGATTGATGCAACAGTAATTTTAAGCTGTGATTGTTGTTTTGTAATTATATATTTAAGCTATTTTTTTATTTAATTGATAGTATTAATAATATTATTCTAAAAGGTTCAATTTTTATGTTGCTTTAATAAAATATTTTTAATAGCTAAACGCTTTTCTGTAACTCCTACATTTTATTGATAAAATTTCGTTTTTGTCCAAAATTGGTAAAGAAGTCTGAGTCAAAAATAACTCAAAATCTTGAATAAATTAATAAATAATCCAATTCTGAAGTTACAATAGTAATACTCATTGGATTTCATTCATGAAATCATGTAAAATAATTCAAAAATTTTCAAAAATTGTAAAAACATACTAAGAAGAAAATTAAGTTGGCAACACTTTCGCAAGATTTCTCTGCTGTCAAAATTTATGACAAAATGCTCGAATCAAAATTTGTAATGTTGGTTGCATATATAGAAGTAAGTCTGTTTTTGGCTTTTGTAAGTAAAATCTGTTGATACAGTTTTTGTGTGCGATAATTTCCTACAAAAACTTACTGAAAATCATACAAGCAATCATTAGAAACGGCAAATAACTGGAAAATCTTTTCGACGTATCGCCATCGATTTCTGGAATTAGTCATCGGGACGCAACAAGAATGTAAACAATCCGGAATCCCCTGCGCCCGAGCCGCGCCTGCGCATCCGTCGGGGACGGTCGCATCGCGTCTTCGCTTCGCCTCATCAACACAACTTCGATTCGATTTGATTCATTTCGCCCGACAGACTGCGTAGAGTGGCCGGGTCCGGTGTGCGTTCGTGCAGTGGTGGTCGCGATGCGTGATTTGGCCACTAAAATGGCCGAGCTGAAATTCGAGGCGCCCCTGGCCCAGTTCGAGGAGACCGACGAATGGGGCTCGACGGAGTTCCAAACGGCCAACTACAAGAACGAGGAGAACCTGAACAACATCAACAACAAGAACAAGCAGGACATCAACGACGTCCTGAACGACTTCAGCGAGGACATACTGAACAATTCGGTGCCGAAGACCGTGCCCGCCAAGACCATCATCCTGAAGAACGGGGAGTCCGTGGCCGATAATTTCACGGAGACGTTCTCCGGATCGTTGGAGGATTTAGTGAACACTTTCGACGAGAAAATCACGAAATGTTTCGGCAACTACGAGGAGTCCGTCGAGAAATTGGCACCCGTTCAAGTCAGGACGCAGGAGGAGATTATGAATGAATGCCAGTAAGTTTCGCTGGATCAAATGAAAGTCGAATTGCGTCTTAATATTTTCTGGAAAAAAATTATATAAACTCCCGTTTTCGCGCTACTCAATAATAGTATTAATCCTCCGTTACAAAATAACGTTATACACGCGAAGAAACATCTCTAAGGAGTTATAAATATAAACAAAAAAGGAATCGTATAAACAGGGCGATTTTTCAACAGAGAGAAATCGTCGACATTTCAATCTTACAGGGTGCCTCAAAACTAAGGCGACAATAAAGTAACCAATAGATTATATGGACCAAAATCGAGCTATACCTACAGGGTGGTAATGAAAAGGTTTCAGCCCTTATCCCAGAGGTTATATAGCTTAGAGAGCTCGGGCTTTCACAAGGCGAAAGCTTATAGGGTTTAATTGATCAGAAAATCAAAGATAGGTACAATCATTAATCACTTCTAAGACTTTAAAACCTTTCTTTGAAAGCGAATTAATTTGGGTTAAATTTAAATAGGTCATTGGCCATTGTTGGCCAGAATGTATAGTTAAAGTAAATTTAAAATAATTAAAAAACATTTGGTAAACATAATTACACTCAATACACATTCCTATTGGATAAATATTTAAAAGGTAATAACACTTTTATAATTATTATGAGCATCCTATATCCAAAAATAATAACTTTGGATCAGAAATAAACGGTTAAAACATTGCCAATCTTTATGAATCAGCTTATAATACTTTCCGGAATGATACATTGAATTTAACCAACTACGAGGGATGTTTCCAATGTTTTAAAAATTGTGTTCTAACTAAATTACACCTTGCTCCAGTTCAGTTTGTAATATGGTCATTTTTATGAGTTGAACAAAGACATATTACTAAAATGACAGTTGTCGGAGTGAAAAGTTGCAATGACATATCACTCTTTCTTTTTCCTTAATAATTGTCTAATGGAAGTTGTCTTTATCGCACCCATAGCCTATACAGGGTGTTCCACGGTAGCCGTGATAGATAACTCAAGAAGAGTATTACCATGGCATAATTAATAAAAGTTCGATTATTTCTAAAACGACTGGATTTGGGTAAAGGGAATACCTGTATGGATCGAAAGAGCATAAAATATCCATTGTTCAATGCCTAAAAGTACAGGGCCATTAATTTGAAATAACAAAGATGGCAACTTTAAGTTAGTCATGTTTGTCAGACAATTTTAAACGCCCTGTATATGGACCATGAAAATTCAGTTTAGTTTCATTTAGAACTGTGTTTGAACATTATTGATATCAAATTTCAAACTTCTAGGTGCATTATTAACAGAGATATCCTAAAAAATAGATTCGACTGTTTTTCAAAAAAAAAATCGAAAAAAAAATGAAATAACTTAAAAATGGAGCATTTTTGGCATATGGTGCTGTTATCAAAGTCAAGTTAAAAAGGGCCACAGGATCCAAAAATTAAGTCAAAAATGGTACTTTCCATTTGTAATAACGAAGTTGACATCTACTTTCTATGAGATTATGCTGCGCCTTCCATGGTTACAAAAACAGTCCATATCACTCAAACACCTGAATCAGATTGAACCATGTTGCACTGGATAGTTGCATAAACCTCTCAAGACTTGTCTCCCACCAATAACATTGCCTATAGGTTCTGCTTAATTTAATTAGAGCATCACAATTCCCAGAACTTTGGAAAGATCCCTCGTAATTTCAGTACTTTACTATTTATCAACCCATACATTTTTCCGATAAATACCACAGCAATAAGAGCACAAATGAGTACATACTCAAGTATCCCAAAAGGACTTTTCACTTCGTTCCTCATTCATTATTCATTTTTACGTGGAATAGCAAAGTGAACTGCCGAAGCCGTTTGAACGAGGACAGTAAAGCTCCATTTCCCGCGAATCCAGTTCTCAAAAAAACCGCATTCAATTTACTTTAATTAGCTCAAACGCTTAATGAACTTCGCAGGAAGCGCGCGCCAAGTGAATAACAAATCCAGTGAGTCATGACGAATTGCGTGGTCAGATTTAGATTCCGCCTACTTCGATGGGTTTCAAGTCATAATGTACTTTTCAACCTGAAAGAACAATAATGTCACGGTCCAGTTCCTATTCGGAGTGCCCGTTTTAGCGCGTCTCCGATGCTCCAGACACATTTGATAATAATAGACCGGGCGAGCAAGTGTGTCGCCGTCACAGGACAGTTGGTACTCATGAACTCGGAAACAAAACAAATTAAAAAATATAAACATCTGTCAAGCAGGCTTTGTATGTAGTTTGAACGGGATCAAAATCAACGTATGGGGAATTTTTTTTTTAATGCCTACTTGACTTGGCGTGGAAATATGTCAGTTATCAACTGTCGGAATGTACGAATTTGTTCTATTTTCCAATTTTAACTCCAAATAATCAAGTTGGTTTTATTCACAATTTATCTTGACAGCTGTCAAGAATCAGTTCAGCCACCACAGCGTTATTAAATCATCACTCAATCGGTTTATAAGCTTCCTTTTTAACGAGAGGAACAGGAACAATGGCGTTTGCGATTATCGCTTCGAACGGGCGGCTTTTGTTTAGTATTCCATATTCGATTCGGGTTTTCATATTACATGTCGGAATAAATCCCTCTTAGCTTAAAGGTAAAATAAAATATGATGTTCCTTTGCCAAGAATCCTTAACACTGACCTAGATAGCGCATATTGTTCTCTATGTCGCACAATTTTTGCGCTAACAGATAAATCAATAAGCCGTTCGTTTCGTTTACTTATGTATTGAAGGATTCTCTATGATGTAATAACTAATAACTAATTGGATATGTCAATTATGCGGATTTATTTTTCTATAAATATGTTGGGCAAACTGGAATGCTTAATGAATTTGTTGAAGGTTTCAAAATCTTTTTGTATCAACTCAAGTAGCCTAGTTCAAAAGTTTCTTAAAATATTCAGAGAATTGGGAGCTTGCTTTGTATTTGCTACTTCAAATTGGAATAAACAATAATTGGGAGTAAATAATTAATTATTTAACGGTTCATCATTTCATTAATTTAACTTTTCGTATAAAAAGTTCAGAATTTTACTAGATCACAAAATCACAAGATACTAGATCAAATAATAAGTATAAAAGGTTATCTTCAGTATCACAACATTTTAAAATTCATTTCATAGTATTTATTAATGGAGTAAATTAATGTAATAAATGGATATTGTGGAATTACAACTTTTTCACTCCATAACCACTGTTATTTTAATAATATTTCTTTGTTCAACTCATAAAATTTCAAACAAATTTACATTATCTGTATAAAATTATTCTAGGCTTATTTTTGGAAATCTACATTTGCATAAAACTGTTCTTGGAAATAATGTAATAAGTACAGCATATCATATTTCGTGAATTATAATTTTAAATTTTTGAATGTATTATAAAATTACCTACATAGAGCACAAGAGGGCTCGAGTTAAAAACTTGTTTCTTTGTAGGCTCTTTGATATATCCTAAGTAGGTTTGGAATGGGATATATTACTTAATAATTAATATACATTCTTTTTTTTTGACAACCTTGGTAATTTGTTTGAATACTAGCATTTATATACTTCAAAATATTATACATACACATGTTTAATGATTGGTTATTTCACAGACATTTGCTTTAAAGTTTACCCAGAAAAATTCCAACATTCGGTATGTTGTAATAATATTTTTAAACTAACATAACATTCTAATGTTTATTATGCATTTTTTGTTCAATAAGTTCCAAAATTGCCTCTTAACATCTTTTGAATTGTTCGTTACACTGCAATGAAATTCCTCCATTAGAAAAGTCTCCCGACAAAATAACTCAAACATTTAATACAGAGCCCTTTTAAACAGCATTATTTACTTTAACTTTCCATTAGTTTCAGAGAAACCCCTCGCGAACAATTTGTTCATAATATTCCAGTAATTCAAACATGTTTAACACACTTTAAATATTAACATAAACAAAGACAGTACGATTAGATTTATTAATAACAATAAATTACCAATCTCGACATCATCTAATAATAGATACACGATACGAATTATTGTAAAGAGCTGATTGAGGCCATTGCAGTTTCATTCGCTCCGTTTAAGGTCTGCTCTTACGTAATCGTAAAATTTTAAAGTGAAGTTATCCCAGTAACAAACAATTTACGACTCGCTCGGGCTGTGACTTGAATACCCAAAAGAAAAAGCTACTTTCTAAATATCGTGCGAGCGATATGGAAACGTTCAGTCGGGAGTTTACTTTGATATTAGGTATTCATTCTAAGCCCTACAAAGGACCGAATTTAAATCGGCTCAATTTTGCTACAATCAATTTTAATCGGTTATCGACATGGAACTTGGTCAATTGCGTATTCATTTATTCGCTTAAGCGTGCGTGTGAGGTCAGCAGGTCGAGGTTCTGCAGCCACAACCGCATCTGAAGCAATAAAGTCGTTGTCAAGCCTGCCATCCCGTCGAATATTTTAATTTTTATACTGCAATTTATCGGTTACTCACTGATGCACCTGATGGTAATAACAACAGCTGTAAATAGCGTTAGTGTTTGCCACAAAGTTAGGTTTAGGTGGAAATGTGCGGTATTATCGGGGGCTTCTACACGTTTACCAGAAGTGAATTATGATATACAGCAGTGGTTTGCATTGAAGTCATTCGAGGTTGATTCATTATGGATTCTGAATGAATAAATCGAGTGGAGAGTTTTATGTAACTTTTATTGATTGATCGATTTGTCGCATTTATGTCTAATCTCGTTAGTTTCAAAATTGTTTTATTCAGATCTACATTATTAAGCAATAAACTTATCAACAGATACGTTTTTCCAAAAATTAATTTAAAAACAATTAATTAGTTAATTCCTAATCGAAAAGCTATCCAATCAATTAGTCACATTATTAAAAACAATTTTAATGAAAATATTTTCGTTTTTATCGTCGCTCCTCGTTTGCCTCGCATTCACGTTCAAAATGTTCGTCTCCATCTAGATATCAAAATGAACCGGTTGTTCTATGCGCTATTTTCCCTGTTGGAACATCCCACAATTTATTATACCCTTATCTTTATACGCGAACTTTTCGCTAGTAAACAAATCGATGCGCCCTTGAAGTTTGAATCGAGATGGCCTTTTGTCTAGCACCCTCGCATTGATAATTACCACAAGTAACCTTTTGTCTTTACTTTAATCAATCTCTGTGTCTCTTGTTTAAATTAAAACCAGCTCCCTTTGACTTATTGTTCTACATATAATTGTTTTGTAGGGAAGAATGAAAGTATAAGGTACAAATGAACATATTCTCTTTCAAAAATTGCCACCTTGTCAACTCCATTCCACTTCACTCTACTCTCTTTTATTCTCTGCTACTCTACTCCATTCCATTCTACTCCACTCTCTTCTACTCTGCTATTCTACTCCATTCCACTCTATTCTACACTATTCAATTCCACTCTATTCTACTCTACTCAATTCGACTCTACTCTCTTCTACTGTTATGTTCTTGACAGATTTGACAATTCGACAATCTGAGCTAAAACGAATTTCTAAATTTTATTCAGGACGCTGTAAATAGGTAGGGGAGACTGGGGTTAGTTATTACATTTGAGGTCCCTATTATTATGGTTTCTTTACACCGCATTACTGTTATTCTAACTGAAAGAATTCGAAATATTAAATTTCTCGAATTATTAGGAGTATCCAGATATTTCCGGTGATACAATCGCTATTTTATTACGTAGGTGTGCATCAAAGTGAACTAATACATTTTTCATAGGTAAAACCAATATTTCCACTCCAAAGTAAACATCTGTATCAGATTCGTAAGCATTTCTTTACGTTCTAGTTATTTGTTTACCCACGATGTTATATCATACACTTTATTATTAGTTATTACTATTTAAATAAATATATAAAAACTTAAGAGGCCGCCATGTTGAACTGTGCGAGTCAGAGTTGCCAACATAAGTTTTGACGTTCACGGCCAACTTGAATCCAACTGTCATTTATTAATTACCATCTGCCGTCGAACGACGAGACAATCCGTACAAAGAGGCACGAAAGCGGAGCGGTTTATGTGCCCGTCACGGGGAAAAATCAATAGGGAGAGTCGAGTCGGGCGCCGGTATGTTTCCTTTTTTTCCCGAAACGCGAAAAGCATTTACGAGGCCACGTGCTAACCTCTGTGTTTTCCTTCTTACTTGACGGTCTCTTGTAGCCGGGGACACCCCCTCTTATCGGATTTAAGGGGCGAAATGTGCCTCAAGCAACGCCCTTAACGTTATTACAACCCCGGAAACACTGCGAATTTTTTTTCGCTATTTTCATGCCACAGGTTTTTCGACCTGTGTACCTAGATAAATTGAATTTATCCAGTATAAAGACTACGACGTGCGATGAATTTTTTAATTCACGCCTAATGGCACTTATTCCCTAATGATTTCAACTCAATACTGCATGTAAAAAATAATTGCAGGAGTGTTTGTTTCATTATTTTAATACATTGCGATAGCCCCGAGGTCCTTCGTACGGTGATAAAAGAGAGAATAATAGCCGGGGAAACGGAGGATATTAAGTAATTATGATAAATTAGCTTTAATTGGACGAATCGCTGATGGATGTATGTTTGACGTGAATTAGCGTACATCTTTATCTACAAAACCGCTATTATTATACTCATATAAATGCCCGAATAATGACGTAATCTTTTGTCATTGACAGGAATTGAGCGTTACATTTATTCCTTTTAATTGTTTCAAATTATCTTTTCCTACAAAAATAAATTTATTGTTTATTTTCACTTCATTTTCACTTCCTCTTAATGGGTTATGAGGTACTAATCTGCATCCTTTAAAGGGTAAAAATAATTGGAAGAATTCCAGTAGAGTCCTTTATTTTTAGATCTAACCCTCTGTTTATTGAATAAACTACACCTAGAAATAAAGCACTTTTTGAAATTAATTACACCCCATTTGACGAGAATGTTTTTACAACTAATCCTAGAATAAAATTCTCTACTTTTATTTGGGATCTTCCTAGTTTTGTTTTTTCCCAAATCACAAATTTTTTTATAGACTTTGTCTGAGATGACTTATGGACATTAAAATAGATTATTTCAAAATGTGTATCATACGAGAAACGGTTCGAGTCATCCTCATATTTACAATTTTAGCGTCCGTGACGATTCCCGATGATTTGAAACATTCAAAAAATGAAAAATTTCAACATCCATCGCAACAGTTAGGAATGCGTTGTTTTTTTATTCGTCTCGCGTCGGTGATAATTTATGCGAAATTTCTAATTACTTTCACCTTCGCTCGGATAATATTTGCTGCAAATTTTATCAGTTCTTCGATTGAATCGCGAGAATTTCGTTTTTTTTTGTAAATAAACAACGCGAGGTTTAATGGACTCTTCAATTAGCGAGGTTTTCAAAACAACGTAGAGGTTGTTGACATTGATTGAGAGCCAATTTTTGTACAGACTTGAAGAGCAGAAGCTATTAAATGCCTAAACATGACAATTCGATAGAATTTCTATTAATAATGTTAATCAAATCATAACAATACTTTTTAATCGGCGACGGTAAATTGGGCTCGAGAATATTTCAAGCGGAAACGGGGATTATTTAAGTTCATTGCAAACCTTGAAAGAAATTGTTTAGAGTAGTGTAGTAAAGTAGAGTAGAAGTTAGGGTAGAGTAGTAGAATAATGAAGAGTGGAAGATAGTAATGCATGAAAATACTTTGCTGCATAAATAAAAATTCTCTATCATCAACAGTATTATTTGGGGTTATTTTCCGGTGACTCTACGCCCAATTTAATTGTAGTATTAACATCTATAATCCCTTTCGCGCTCAATTTATATCTGTTCCTTTTAATGAAATTAAATTGAGTATTTGAATTGATTTTAAAATGGCTATATTCATTTCATGCATTTGCCACTGATGCGCATATGACATCTTCAGCTATTTCTCTGGAGCTGTAACCATGAATATATAGAACTATATTCTTCAATGTAATTATATTAATGTTAGTATGTATAAAATGTAGTGCAAAAGGCGACTTAAATAGTGTAAAAATTGAATTCTATGAGAACAAAGAATCCGTAAAAGGGAGAAATAGGGGAGAATAATAGTATATTCAAACTAATAGTACATAATTAAAATATGTCTGGGCGACCATGCTAGAACTAGCGGCGCCGCTTTTCTATCGGTTCTGAACATTCGTGCAGACGCTATACGTTTCAGGAAAACAAATTTACCTAATTTGCATTACCAAGTGCTTGGATTAGCTTTTTATTTTTACTCCATTGGAAATTTATCGATTAAACGCCCGTAATATGACAGAATTTTATCAATTTGAAAGTTTCTAATTACGATTGCATGTTTATTAAGCTCCATTACGACATAATTATGTATATGAATTATTTATACATTTTATTTACCTAATATTCATAAATTATTTTACAGGATGTGGTGGACTCTGACAGGCAATTTCGGAAATATCCTTCCAATAGATTGGTCGAAATCGTACGCTAGGAAATTACAAATCAATGCCCTGCATTTAGATCAGGTATGATAACATTTTTGAATTTATTTTTTACGATCAAATAATCACAGTTATTTAGTATTCAAATAATAACCATTTAGGTATAATAGAAACGTGCATTATACAATTTGAATTGCTTACAAATCTGCTATAATTGAGTGTAAAAAGTCGTTTAAATTTCTGTGGTTAATGAAATAGGTAATATAATTATACAGGATGTATCAATAGCAATGCAGAAATCCATTAACTGAACACGCTACATTCCAAATAAACAATAACAACCAATTCAACTGGACATGTTTTTTTTACATCTTTTTTTACGAGCCATAGAATTACCATCCAAAGGACGAGCATCCCATTGTCTGGTACATCTTTTTTGCCGCTGAACACCGATGTCAGCTCGACGAGTTTTTGTGCAGTTGAACGACAGCCAACTCTCTTGCAGTTTGCAGTTGAAATTCTATTTAGCGAAAGTAGAGCGGCTCGAAAGTTTCACCGGTTTCCGCCATTATTTTTTTCCCTCCATCGAATGCGCCGCCGGTTTTAATTAATTTCGTAGACTCGGCTGCTTTGAAGGACCGAAGGGCCACACGTGGTCCCGAACGTGACTTGAAATAGCACAGCCTCATTTCCAACACGAGCGGATTAAAAACTCGAAACGTTGATGATTGTCTTATATCAGAATGTCTTTTGATGGTTTTTTTATACATAATCGACTAGTTTTCCGAAATACAAAAGGCCAAAGCGGCGGTGGTAAATTGGGCGCAGAAGTGTATTTATTATTTAAGAGGCATTTCTGGATATTTCAGGGTATTTTTAAATGTATAGTAGGTAAATTGGGCGCCAAAATATTTCTGGTAGAAAAAGGGGATTATTTGACTTAATTGCAAAGTTTGAAAGAAATTGAAATTTGTGGCGCTATCTTAAAAAGCAGTGCAATGAACGAATTTACATTTTATAGTAGAATAGAGCAGAAATGATTAGAAAGAGCAGAGAGGATTAGAAAGAGCAGAGAAGACCAGAAAAGTGCAGAGAAGAGCAAAGAAGATTAGAGAAGTGCAGAGAAGATTAGAGAAGGGCAGAGAAGGTTAGAAAAGAATAGAATAGATCAGAAAAGTGCAGAGAAGAGCAGATAAGATTAGAGAAGTACATAATAGAGTAAAATAGAGTAGAATAGAGCAGAGAGGATTAGAAAGAGCAGAGAAGACCAGAAAAATGCAGAGAAGAGCAGAGAAGTGAAGAGAAGGTTAGAGAAAAGCAGAACAGTGCAGAATATTGTAGAGTAGAGTTAGGGAATTCTCTTCTTCTCAATCATGAAAAGTATTATTTGTGATTATTTTCCAGAGACTCTGCGCCTTATTTTCCCACAGGACTCTGTAATACCTTTTGCGCCCAATTTGCATCCGTACGACCAAAGTTCTCTTGTAAATTGCAATAAAAATTCTTATTTTCAAATAGAACACTTTTCTACAAATTCGATACTTGTTACAACTTAATTCTTTGTATGAATTCATAATTTTCTCAAAAATAGGTACCACATTTGTTTGCTTACATACCTAATCAACTTCACAACAAACAGCTGGAACAAACCTATGATATCTTATCCAGTTGCATGATTGATAGTTACAAGAAATAATTTTTTGTGCGCTTCGCAGGAGCCCCAGACGCCGGAGGACGACGTGGACCTCAGCTCGGAGGACGAAGCGGTGGCGAGCGATCTGGACATGCACGCCCTCATCCTGGGCGGCATCAGCCACGAGAACGACGAGCCCCTGAAGACGGCCGACGAGGTCATCAGGGAGATCGACGATATGATGCAGGATCCCGATCTGTGCTCGGTCGACGGCAACCCGGAGTCCAGGGAGCAGATATTGGAAAATAACGAGGTCATTGAAAAAGCCAAAGAGGTCCTCAGCTCGCCGCTGTACGAGGACAGTAAGTGTGTTTGTTTTATTTCGCTGGTGAATTTCACAAGGTGTTTGAAAGTTTTCGGTAATTGTTTTTATTAATTTGAAATTTAAACAACTAAATTTGCCTACAAAGCGATTGTATACTGTTATGACTATGGTAATCGACAATTGTTATAGCATTTAATTTTCTTTTATGGCCGAATGTGAAGAATTTTTATGCTGTTACCTTCAAATTGCATGCAAATCGAATTTAAAAAATAACTATTTTTATACATGCCGTGGGTTCGTTATTAGGTGGGTTAAGTTTTATTGCCTAATAAATTGCAGGTATTATGTTAGAAATTTTTTTAGAAAACGAAATTTCCATTCTTATATTTTTTCAATACTGATTAATTGCGTTGTATCTTTATGTTTTTAATATAAATCGATAAATCCAGGAAAAAGGAAAATATGCGTTAGTATCGGAAAGAATACGAAACAGCTAGGAAAATGTCAAAGGAATATAATTAGTATATCGTTATTGATTTTACTTCCAGTTTAATTCATTCCGCTGAGTCAATTATCAACCTCATTTTGCGCCAAATTAGGTTTTAATATACTTACCGTCTCGTAATTCAAAACCCAATGAACAAATTAGATCTTTCAGTTGATTCATTCGCGTCCTATTTTTGTCGTCAAGTTTTTTATCTGCATACAGGAAGTTGCAGTGCACTGTATAAATATATGTATTGTAAAATAATTCACATAGTATTCACTTATTTAAAAGATTTTAAAAATAATACCTCTTCAAGAATAATTTGGAACGCACCAGAATTTATCTAAACTTTTACGCGTTCTATGTGAATAAGTGGGACTTTAAGATGCATTCGATTATACATTAACAACTGTCAAAATTGGCATTAATGACATTTCATATGACAGAAGTTTAAAAGAGATGGGAATTGTTTTTGGTATAGAGGTGCAGTAACGACTGTTACAAAATAAGCGTTATTTTTATAATAGATTGTCTTATTATAACTAAGAAATATTTAATAATTATTGGCAAAAAATTAAAGCAAATTGGGGGTTACCAAACCAGCGCATAGCTCGTTTATTTTGTTTCAAATAAACTGTAAATCACATTCAACTCTGACCTCTCTTTATCCATGCCAATCATGCCGATTTATTATATTTTAGAGACATGTTCAGAGCCTAATTTATGAATCACCTGCTGCAACAAGGTCAATTTATTGTTCAACTTATATTTTTCCACGGGTACTTTATTATTCGAACTAGTTAACACCTAACTAACTCGTCCGAATCATTCAAAATGCAACGACATTATTAAATTTCCTCAATCCCTTTTCAGAATTGCGCGATTTGAGCCTCTCGCAGCTGAACGAGCTCTTCCTGGAACTGGAAGTGCTGATAAGAGAGTTCTCCGAAACGCTGATCTCCGAATTGGCGCTCAGAGACGAGCTCGAATACGAGAAAGAACTGAAGAACACGTTTATTTCGCTGCTGTTGGCCGTGCAAAACAGGCGGAGGCAGTACCACGTCGAAAAGAAACGCTCGGCCAAGAATTCTTCCAATAAAATACCCAATGGAATGGATCCCAAGGTACCAATATTGCATACAGTTCCGCAGGAATAGCTGCGGACGTGAGCTGCGCATGTAAACCATTGCGCATCGTCGACAGCTATTTCTGTTACATTGGGCATACATTCGATTGTAATATTTTTATTTGTTTTTAGTACTTGACCACAGTAATTCCTTATCACATAGGAAATGGACCGCCGGATAATCAGAGCCTTCAGGTTCTCATTAAAAGTAAATAAAATCGATTGAAATATAACTGCATTATTTTAATTTGGTGTTTATTTTTTAGTACTCAAAGCCATTAATGAAGATAGTCCAACTGTGCCCACTTTATTGACAGACTATATATTAAAAGGTAAGAAATAGTGTGAAGAAGTACTCAATAGAATCAACAAAATAGTTATTATGTACTAAATTTAAAGAAATACGAGTACTTGTAAGGAAGAAACAGCCCTTATAGATATTTTAATACTAACTAATAATTTATTTCTTTTTTATTTTAGTAATTTGTCCGACATAAGCGACTCCTAGCGAATAGACCTTCATTATTTAAAATATTAAACAAGCTTTCGACTGCTACTGCACATTACTACATACAATAAGTACCCGAAAATTTAATTTTACCGTTTCAAATTGGTATCTTTGGGAAGAAGCAGTTCGCCTGCTTTCGTTTCAATGTTTAACCGGATTAGTAGAGTCCTCAGTAACCGCTCGAAATCGTTGGAAGAGCCCTAAATTTGCCAGGGCCTCTTATTTGAGTACTCCACTAACAGTAAAAATTTGCTCGATTTGTTGTTTCAACAAAACTCTTCTTCTCTGTGATACGTAATAGCGATATTTCTTTGTATTTGTGTTCTCTCAGCTGACGTGACAAATATTTATTTATGTTGTAAATACTTTAAAACAAAACGTTCTAGTCTAATGTCTTGCAAGTAAACGGAATGGAATATTATACAATGTGAACCTAAGTAATTTAATTGTAAGATTAAGCGTACCTTTGTCTTTGAGCACATTTAACAATGAGTTTCTGTGCAATATATCATGTGAGTATTTTTTTTTTGTTTTAGATATGTTTAGTGATAGGCTTAGTGTAAGGGTGTGATGTTTCTGGACAGTTTCTGGAGCTATTGGATTTATTTTTTAAACGCACAATACAAATTTGTTAGAAAATAATAATAGTAGAGGAGGTAAAACATTTTGTATCATCGTGGCGTTTCCAAATTTTTAGATAAACGAACATGAAAATAGGGAAGCCTAAGAGAACTAAACCTAGAGGAACATACAGCCCACTTGTCTTCTAGGTTTACTAAAAAGCGTTGTAATGTAACACAATCTCAATTGGCATTAATAATGTAGATTCTATCAATCTATTTCTCTTGAATAGACCTGTAGAGAATCTATTTCATGTCTAGGTCCCTAATTATTAGACACATTGTGGTGGGCGTATAGCATAAATAGACTAATTTGTGATGATTAGATGTGATGAGCTAGACGAAACGTTACCATAGTTAACAAACTAACCGAAATTTAGCTAGAATTATGCCGTTTTAACGTTAGTGTAATGCGAATTAACATTAGATTAATTAACGAGTGTTCGGGTAATAACTTGGAGCGCCACGCCTGCGCGATAAGAGCGATATTTTCTGTGTTCTGAAGCCGCAGAAACTGTCCGAAACGTGTCGTTTTCGGCATCGAAATGCAAATGTGGAGCTTTCGTCTAGATGATATTTTTGTAAGGGAAGGAACTGCTTTCACGGTTTACTTCAGTCGTGTGTTTGAACAATCGTCGAGTACCTAGCCGTAAATTGTGACGTGTAATTGAATTTTACTTAGTTTAAGTGATCAGAGCTGCGTTTTTACTTTCTTGCCATATTATTTTTTAATTGTTTTTTTTTTGTTAACGATACTTGACAAGTAATCTTAGGTATTTCAATAAGATACGTTTCGTCGTAATGTTACCTGTTTCGAAAAAGCAGCCTATATATGTAGATCTCATTGAAATAAATCTGTTCTCCCTTATTTATTGTTTTATTTAGAACTATTTCCACGTCTTATTTTCAGTTTATATCTCACCAAATGTTGCTTGGCAGGTGAAAATTGCTTTAGACACCAGAGCAGAGCAGAGCAGAGCAGAGCAGAGCAGAGCAGAGCAGAGCAGAGCAGAGCAGAGCAGAGCAGAGCAGAGCAGAGCAGAGCAGAGCAGAGCAGAGCAGAGCAGAGCAGAGCAGAGCAGAGCAGAGCAGAGCAGAGCAGAGCAGAGCAGAGCAGAGCAGAGCAGAGCAGAGCAGAGCAGAGCAGAGCAGAGCAGAGCAGAGCAGAGCAGAGCAGAGCAGAGCAGAGCAGAGCAGAGCAGAGCAGAGCAGAGCAGAGCAGAGCAGAGCAGAGCAGAGCAGAGCAGAGCAGAGCAGAGAGTGGCCCACAGGGTGCCCCATGACAAGTTAAAACTTCTTAAATAAAATTTGGTATACAGAGTTATGCAATAAGACGAAGCTCTTTCGTCTCTAAAGATCAACTTTATTATTTTTAAATTAACACCCTGTATATTAATACATTTTTGAAATATACGTTTGTCTATAATACTTTCTTCCAAAAATGCATTGGTACTTTTTGAGATATTAGTTTTTTTTGAAAAATTTTACCCATGAAGAGCATTGTAAATGACTTTATATGAGCATTCCCTTAAAGATTTGGAAATGATTTCTAATGGGTGGCTACTAACAAGGTCAAAGGTATTTGAGCCTGTGTTCAATGTTCAGAAACTGTTAATTGCACACAGGGTGTGTTTAAAAATTGTACAAACTTGAACTTCAGAAATATCAAATTTTTTAACCAAAACCACTATTTTTTTCTATTTTAATGAAATCAGCACCATTTTTCATAAAATTAAAAATGAGTCACTGCCAGTTATTTTGGAATTAGGGCATAGAAATTACAACTTTATACGCATTTATTGGTCGAAATCAAAGGCCGCTACCACCACAGCATAGTGAGGTGGTTCAGGATTGACAACAACTTTACCATCGAGTTTATAATCTGCGTATTTTAGAGTAAAAACGTCTCTAAAGCCCAAAGAACGGCACGCAGCGTTTGTAAAAACGCTCGTACATTCCACCATGACTCTCTGAGCTCCATGTTCCTTCGCAACTCTCCTAAAACCAAACGTTACCTAATCCTAAAAGCATCTCGAAGACATTTAGCATTCCTTACATCGATTCTATTAGCAGTTTTTTACCCAGCCCGCGGCCTCTGAATGTGGGATCCACAGAAAGCAAGTTCAACAGGAAAACTCTGTTGGCATTATCGAATGGATTTGCCATTTCCTCCACGTATTCAAGCAAGTCTTTTACAATTTTGCCCTTATCGGTCAGAGTGTAGGGCCGTTCGACCAGGGAAGAACCTACAATTCGAAAGGGATGAGAGGATTTAAAATTTAAAAGGGTACGCTGCGAATAAAAGGAATAAATTTTATGTTACGTAACTCGTTCGGTTCGGGGAAAAGTTTGGAATCCCTTTTAATTAATAATTTAGGAGGAGTTTGTAGGTATTCGTTAAAAGGTTTTTTCGATGTGTGTGTAAGATTTTATTAACAATGTTAAGTGCTTTAATGAGGTTTTGGTTATTTTATTATTCGTTGGATAATGTATGTTTGTTCTACAAAAATGGAGAGGAAGGTTTTGAGGGAACAAAGGGGATTAAAGAATCAAGTTTTTTTGAGCCAATTTAAATGAAATAAACACTGCATTTAGTAGCCAATTGTATTACCAATATTTCACGGAATTTATAGTTTTTTCACACGAAATTTAAAAAGTTTTAATACATAAACTATTGAAATTTAAATAATAATTTTCAAAATATCTCAAAAATTAAATTAAATAGAAATCCAATGATCAAAGAATTCGCTAGTAAAAGAGATCAATCAAATCATGAATGATATTAAAATTTTTCCATAATACAACCATATTATTTTTCTTTTGATGCAACTCGAATATTACAAATCATTCTTACGGTTTTCTCCCAAATCTTTTCTCACAATTCTCTCAATTTCTTCGCATTCGAAGAAACGAGAGGCGAATTGTTACCTTTTTCTATCAACACATTGGAACAGGATGAACCAACAATATTGCCATTATACTCAGCAACCAAATCAAGCCCTTGTCCCAAGAACCTCAAGCAATAATCCACCACCCCTTCATCGACTGTATCATCAACAACCACTTTCAAAGATTTGCAAATGGGCTCGTCTTTGAAGAACGTCCTCTTCATAAACCTCCTGACCGGTTCAACATCCGCTGGTTCCACCTTTCTTATCGTCAATTCGGGGGTCTACAACAACTAAAAAATTACCAAAATTTCTTCTATGATAAAACCAACTTACCTCAGCCATTACGAATTCTAATTTTGTGGATGCATAAATCTGGTCGTGTGTTTGCATTTAACTGCAATGAGCATCTTATCTTTACGAACTTTAAGATTCGCCAAAATGCACACGCAAATGCCACAGGAAATATTAATTCACACAATGATAGTATTTGTTCAATTTACTAAACGACAGTATGCATAACAAATATACACTATAGAGATAATGATAATGATAATGCTGGAAATATCCAAGCATTTTTCGTTTGCAATGAACTTATCGAATTCTTGTGTTCAGTACAAGCTTGCGTATCTGGATGAACAAAATCCGGGAATCAATACCCGCTGTTCATTTCCAGTCGAAGTAGAATTCTTGGACTCACGTGGACGAAATCGAATGGAAAGTAGTGGATTATTAATTTATTACAAACTATAATTTTGTTACATATGCTGTAACGGCTTTGTGAGGAGCTGGTGGATTGAACACGGGTGTCCCGTTCTTTTTGTAATCGGCAAAGTCTAGCGAAAATATTTCATCGAAACCCAGCGATTTGGCAGCGGCAGCCGAGTAGAAACTCGTGCACTCCACCACAAGTAGCTCAGCTTTGTGCTCTCTGGAAATTTCCCTAAAAAACCGTATATAAGACATCAAACTTCAAACAAAAATATTCAAGCTCACTTGGTCCTAGCCACGAGCTTCTTGGCGATCCCTTTGCCTCTTACTGACGCATCAACGGATATAATTCCTATTGAAACGAGCCTTTCGATGGGGTATTTACCGAAATAATCTACAGTGGCTTCCACGTGCTCCAACAAGTCGACGATGTTCTGGAACTTGTTCCCAGGTGAGCATCGAAACGGTTCGACAGGCTCGTCTAAATTCGTAATGCTTTTTGAAAATGTTTAACTCAATCGTAAGCAAAACGTTCGGAACGTACACGTAAGCGAAAGGAACACAAACTTTATAGGCGAATTAGCATGCAAGCTTTTTATCCTTGGCACTGTACATAAATTTCCACAGCAGTATAGCACCAAAAATTGCTAGCAGAAGAGTAAAGCGATCAGTTTGGAGTTGCTGTTGAAGAAATAAATAAATTTAGCACATCAGAAAAGCTAGATAAGGGGATTAAATAAATAGTATCAATTCGTTCAAAATACTCTTTGAAATGGATCTTTCGATTTGCCCCACAAGCTACGCTCGTACAATGGTCTGCTCTAAAAGAGATCTTTACCTCTTTGGAATAGATTATTCAAGCACACCCCCACGAGTCTCCCTTGATATTCGGCCACTAAGTCCAGCCCTTTGCCGAATGATTGCAACACGAACCTTTCCAGGTCCTCGTTGACGGGCGATTCATCGGTGATCAGTTGCAGGAAATCGTTCAAAGGCTCGTCTTTGAAAAAGAATGTTCTAAAAAACTGCCGTATGGGCTCCTTGTCCGACTCTCCGGCCGTTCTGATCGTTATTTCGGAGGTCTGAAAATACGTAATTTATAATTTACTTGTGAATATTGTGTAGAAAATATATAATTTATAATTAACTTGTGAATATTGTGTAGAAAATATGTAATTTATAATTAACTTGTGAATATTGTGAGAATTTTGTGTCTAGAAGTAACTTTGGCTTCTGAATATTTTTAATTGTGAAAGGAATATATTAATATGGTTATCGACTGGATTTAATAATAATAAATAATTAAATTTTAATTAGAATGTTTATATAATAGCAATTGATTTTATTTTTTGACGAAAGAGATAAGATTTCTATAGGTATCTTTTAGATTAATTTAGACTTAACTGTGCTAATAGATATTTGATAGATATCTCGTATGTTGTTTTCGTACTGATATCATAAGTGCGCTTATCTTTAACTGCTTATAAATTTTGTCTTATATAAAGTACTTTTATTGAAATTCAGTGCAATTATTATTTATATTAAAATTGTGTCCAATCATTGCAAAATTTGTACTAGTTTTGACGAATGGCTGTTTTCTGTTTTGTCCTTATTTTTATGCTTTTTAAAAAGAACTTTATACTGTAGTTTAATCTTATTTTATCCTACATATTCAACTAATGTCCTAAAAGTTTTATGCCCTTACAATATTTTGGTGTATAAATTTCCCCCATATTTTTCTCTAATGGGTTTGGCCTACTTTTGTCGAATAATATTGACATTTTTTTTTTAATTTATGGGGTGGTAAAGGAGATATAATTGCTCCATAGCAAATTCAATTCAATTTTCAAACAATTTTAATTCTTAAATTATTTATAAATAATGATAAATAATTTATCGGGATGGGCCATATTTTACCACCTTCCCTTATAATTAATTAGAACCTAGTATTTTGCAAAAATATTTACAGTAGAGCTACCATTAGTACATACTGACTACCTCATTATTTTTGTATTATTCATCTATTTTATTACTACATATATTGAAAAATTCAGCTTACCGTACTCATCGTTTGGCAGCGAACAGGTAGTTGAAATATTGTGAATCTCAAAAAGTGCGCTTCATTATCACTATTTATAAGATCATTAAATTTTTGAATGATCCAATAATGTATCGATATCCGATAACGATATCAATTAGGTAGAAAAAATCGATTAATTTTTACAGTACGCGGGGTCAATATTTGTTCTATTTCATTGTTTGCATAGCCGACCTACACTTGTGCTTCTCAGATTCATTCGACGTTTTATAAATACATTAAGAGGGCAGGAAATATTAATTTACGCATTATAGGCTCGTATTCGTTACATTTGATTTATTTTATTCTGTGAGTACAAATAGAGTATGTATACAGATTTTTTTCCGCACTCAATATACTACTCTTTTGAGGTATTTTCTGTTAATTACAACCTCTCTTTGGGAGTAAAATTACAGCGGTAGATGTTTCTTTTAGGGAATTATAAATCACTAATTTGCTCTGCTCCATTAGGTAAATAAAGCAGCTTCACTCGCATAAAGGTAAACCAAAACCTTATAAAATACATAGGTACACACGATATGTTAGTATACGTAATTAAACCGCTATACATGCTTTTTGTACGGATTCAGCGCGGATTTTTAATTAGTTAGAAATTTCGAAATCTCCCTATTACGTACCCCCGGGAACGTAATTATTCGTTCGGTGACGCTGAAATTGTTAGCCGGGGCTTTATCGATTCTCGTTTGCAGTATATGCAAAGTAATGTAATATCAAAACGTAATTTTGTGCCCTTCGTTCAGCCATTGTTTCGCCCAGGAAATTGCTGAGAGCTGCGTCCAGCTTCATCCAGGATCTCTTTGTGATGGATTGTACCTAGCTAGTAATGGAAACAATATAAATGAGGCTTTTACTGTTGTTGAGAATAGGTTTTATTTTGAGATAAAGAGGTTTTATTATATAGGGTGATTCATGTAAATACCTAGTTGGTAAATACCTATTGTTATAGTTGGAATATGTGAGTTAAATGTATAAAGTGATTACAACAAAGGTAGTAAAAATCAGTTGAATGTGTTAAGAGAAGTGTCATCAAGGAGTTTTCTAGTATCGAATTATTTTTTAATTTGAATATCTAATAATTACATTGTCATTCTTTATGAATTACCCTGTATAATTTTAATGATAGGCTAATATTAAGTCTATATGTAATCAACAATTAAGTGCAAAATAGATAAATTAATATTTTTGATACGAACGATGAGTAATTCGATAATATGTTATAAAATATGATTATATGGTATTTATTATTAGCTTACACATTTTAATTAAATATCAGTAATTTCTGAGTTTTTCATCAGTTTGGAATGGAAAAGAATTGTAAATTTCTGTAAAAAAATGAAAGAGTGTAACCAATTTTTATAACTATATTTTTTCACCTACATTGCAGTACACAGCCGTGTTAAGCGTGATTCACCCTGTAGAACCCCTAATTCATCTATACCCGTAGGTTGTAATAGTTTACAGTGACGTCACTCAATCTAGCCAATCACAGCACTCGCTTTTAGCTCAATCCTGGTACCAGCCAATAAGATTTCTCGTTAAATAATAACGTCACTGCCAAGCATTACCACCGTTTAGTATACGCGATTCTTCATTACAAAAAAACTCAAAATCCTGCAGTTCCGGACGAGGTCGTGATAAATCTGCATAAGAGGATCCACCCTCGGAGCATATCCTGCAATGCGTGTCCTTCGCAGCGAGAAAAAACGCCTAGACAATAATGCAAACGTAAAATTAACGTGCATTTTTTCGAACGGTAGGCGATAAACAACGGCTTGCATTCTATGACAATAGACGGAAAAATTAATCGAGTCGTGTGCTCGAGAAGGCGGGCTTGGTCATACGGAACCGCTCGGACCGGAGAACGGTTTCCCAAGGGTACCCGGCTTGCATGCGAAACCGAATAGGTGCAACGATAAAGGTAAAAATTCGCCAAGATGGTTATCGGGCCACGCGTCAGAAAAAGATAACTACCGTTTCGGATATGTTGCGAATTGAATATTAGAAGGACGGGGCGTTTGGCTTAACCCTAAAGTCATAAACTGCTCCACAAAAGTTAAGAAAGTTTGCCAATTTAGCGATTATTTTAAAAGCTACAGATTTTTTGATGACCAAATTTTCAAATATGCGAAATTAAATGTTTTCTCTCATATCTGAATGGATTTTTTGTCCCTACCTCTACAACATACTACATTTGGTGATCAAAAAACCTGCAACTTTTAAATTAATCTTAATATTTGTAAACTTCCTTAACTTTTGTGGAGCAGTTTATTATGAGTAATCTGTAGGACTACACGCCAGTATTTAAGGGTTAAAATAGACTACTGTTTGTAGCTCATTCAACCAGCGTGGATAATTTATTATTAGTAGGTATCTAATATACACGAAAAAAAATGGTTAGAAAAAACCTTTGTTTTAATCATTAGTTACCAATTAAAAGTCAATAAAACTAATTATATCAAATACCAATTAGTTGCAGTCTTATAAATAAAAACAGGTGGGTCGCGGTAATTTCTAAATTTTTAATACATATACTTTACATGCGTAATGCATGATTTAAAATTATCATATATTATATTGTAGAGATCAGTTTCAAGTTGAGTAGGTAAATTTAAGTTTTGGTATGTAAAATTCATTTGAACTATTTCGATTGCCAATTAAGATTTACCAAAAATAATGGAGATTTTGAATTTCAAATGTTCTGTGCTTGCGTTAGAATTAGGAATTGCATATTATAGTAAACAATTGGATATACTTAAAAGGAATTTATTTTTAAGATATATTGTACAGAATACGAAAAAATCAATTATTTGGTTACATTTTTAATTAATTTAAATAAAAAAACAGATTAATTTTCTCTAGAAAGGTTGCCCAATTTAATTAAGAACACTTTTAAAAATTTTAAAAATTGTAAATTGTGATCGCTAAATTTATTGTAAAATAGGAAAATTTTCCCTTATGAAAAACTCAACATATTTAGCAGATAGGTATTAAAAGTAGCTACTTTTTGGCTTATATACATACTTAATTTCCGATTAAATCAATTCAGTAACAAAATTCGTAACAAAATGTATTTTTAATTTATAAAATATCCAACTACAAACGGTTTTGTTATTGATTTCGTTAATTTTTTTAAATTTCAATGTTACTTTGTAATGATAAATGATAATTTTTCAGAAAACTAAGTAATGATTATTAAGAATCACCTAACAATTATTGATCATAGTTTAGAAACAATGTGACATAATGCAATAATCTCTCTAAACTATTTCCTAACAAGTAGGTAGGTACTTGAAATATTATGTTATAAAAAAACAGATTTTCTAGCAACTTTATTATTATAAAACATATTTTACTTAAAATTAGTACATCAAGTTCAATACTATGTACAAATATACATTTCAACAATAAATATAGGTAACTAAGCATACATTCAATTTATAATTTTTTTTCAGCGTTAGTACATTTTTTAGCCAAAGAATTTCTTTCAATCAAAAACAATTATAACTCTTCAACAAACACTTACTTTTAAGAACTAGATGAATAAAAACTGCTAGCAGTTTGATGTAAATTCAAAAACGCATTCAAAGCACAATTTATGTCCCTCGTACGGAACAAGCATTGCACTTTGGTGAACATTTTACCTTGAAACGTTCGCTCCATGATCCTTCTGGACATTCATTCGAAACGTCGATTATGCTTCGCTGATGACATATTATTTGACACATTTAGCACAAGGAAATGTTCTGCTACAATATGCATTCTATATCGCGAAGAGACAGACATTCTGTTACACGAAGCAGGAAAATATTTTTTACACCTAAATCGACCTTCTTGGTGCTACGGTAATTACTGTAAATTAGTAATTTGGCGGTTGTTTGAGTATCAAAAAACTGAAAAGGAAAGGAAAAAATTTGTTATTTTTTTTCTTGATAAGATTACGGCTTAAACTACTTAAAATTACTGGAATTTTTTTCAACGGATATTTTAATAGTAGGTATAAGGAAAATTATTTAGCAGGAATTTGTAAGTGGTTATTATTATAATTGGTAATTAAACTCGTTAAAATACGCTGTTAATCCCTTGTAGGATCTGCTCCACCCCTATTAGTAAATTTTAAAATTTGTCATTATTTTTTGATTAATTGTACCTAATATTTATAATTTCCAATTTATTCAAAGGATATAAAATAATTCACCCCTTTTTATTATATCTCTATAATTATTTTCTAAATAAAATCGAGAAAAAATAGCTTATTCTTCAAATATTACCAATATAGAAAAAATATTGCATCACATAAAAGTATTTGATCTAGTTCTTCATAAAAAAATCGCATCTAGTTAATTTAAAGATTTAACTTATTGCACATTTCATTTCCTCCACCTTTTTTTCAACACCCACACGCCAATTAATAAATATTGCATAATTCATTAAATGCACATCCGCAAATATAAACGAAATCCAATCCTCCTGAATCCTAAAACAACAAACAAGCACAAACCAATTAGATTTTTGATCGATAAACGATAAATCGCCTTTTCCTCGGAGTTCCCGGTTCCCTGGGAACGAAATCCACGCTAATTGGTTTCCCTACAAAGAGAATTGTCAAATACAACAAACGAAAAAAAAATATTATGCCGAGTGTGCGTACGGTGGAAGCAACGAAAAACGGTATAAAAGTGGAGAATATTAGGATAAAGGAATAATTGTGCATTCGCCTTTCTAGGCTACGCGTCCTGGGCACCGCGTCGTCGTCGGTACAATTTTCGCGAGTCGAGTCGGTTCTTCGAAAGATTCTAATTCAATTATCAATTTCGTTTGGGGAAAAGTGTGATCGGTGAGCAATGGCCTTACCTTACCCGTCGACCTTTCGCGTGCAGGAGAAATTCGAAAAATTGTCCTTCCAATATGAGGTACTGATTTTTTTTTATTTCAATATTAACCTATGTAAAAATGCATTTAGTGCTATACATTGAGTGCTATTTGTTGCTGTTTTTTGCGTAGAAAAATTTTTTGTTTTTGAACAAAATTTCTATCATTGTTGTAGGTGGGAAATTGATGCTTTGTTAGTTATTTTTTAATTGAAATTGAGTCGGCACTAATTTATTATAAGCAATAAAAATTGCATTCAATTGCTTATTTATGAACTGTGAAATTTAAAATTTTTTATAACAATTTTGAAAAACATTGCCTAACATTATGTAGAAAATAAAAGTTATTTTTTAGATTGGTAAATTTTTTTTGTAGTTTTTTATTAATGCATTTCTCATAGGGTTGCAAGAGAATAAAAAATACATTATTTAATTACTGTGCAATTTTAATGCACTAAATTAGCCCTAGTAACTTTTATTGAAGAGTCAATTGACGTAATTGATTTTATTGGCAATAATAGTAGTTCATCGTATTACTGTAATTATTAAAAAACTAAACTACTATTACTAAAAACAGTACACTCTTTTTCCTAATAGTAAGACCTTTTTCCTATAATCTAACAATTTATTTTTGTACAATAATTTCCTATAATACCTAGAAAAAATGTGCATTAATAGTTAATTAAGAGAGCATTTTAGTGCTTAATAAAATTAATACAAAATCATCCAAAACTTCCCTATATTTCTACTACACGCACCAAACAAAAATCTACCTCAAAAATTCAATTCCCCGTACATTCCCATCTCCAAAACCCTACATCAATCGCAAACATTCCGCAGTGTTTTCGTTTCCCTCACATCCCCTGGCCGGCACATGACCTCATTCTCTTTTCCACGACCCAAATTGTATCATAAACGACTTAATTAAATCCATTAAACATTAAAGGATACGTTTTTAGCACTCCATTTTAGCTGGCCGGTGCTCCTCGCGAACGCATATGGCATCGATGAAAGATCGAATCTCGCTCCCCGAACCCCTTAAACATTGTTTATCGCGAAAACTCTCACGGAATTTACGACGCCCGCGGCTGGACCGTAAAACGGGAGGTTGAGGCAGGGCGTCGCCGTCGCCGGGCGTCCGTGTAGAAACATAATATCCCGAAGGCTGGAGCTGGAGAACGCCCCGGAGAATGTCTGTAACATTATATGGAATCCAATTAAGTTGGGATTGCTTTGCCCTTATACGGATCCGTGTAATTGGGGAATAAAGTGGGTTTTTTTAGTATGAGAGTGTGGGTTAATGGGGTTAGTAACTCATATGTAGGATAGTATGGAAAATTTACTATTATACCTACTTATTAGTCATGTTTGTATCAAATTTATTGGAGGATTGTTGGAAGTTGATTTTTTCAATTTTTGTTGTATACGAATTTATTTAATTTTGCATAATCAAATTATTTCCCCCATTTTATAATTTACTCTTTACCTTTACAATTCAACCAATCAGCTTAATCTTGATTTTGCCCAAAAATTTTGCTTATTTTGTGCCCTTCATCCCTTATATTCCCTCGAAATCTGTTCATTTTAGGTCCAGTTTGTACGTTTACTCAAGAATTTTGAATCCTTGCATTTTATAATTTATTCCTAAATACATTTTTCCATTCCATTTTAATTAAATAATCATTTTCCAATCCAACCAATTAGCTCAATAATCTTCATTTTGCCCTGGCATTTTATTTTATTTTATCCCTTGTATACTCGCTTGAAATCCGTTTATTTTAGATCCAGTTTCCTCGTTTACTCAAGTGTTTTGAATCCTTGCCCCTTACCTGTATTTGCTACATATATAATTCCTCATGAAATTGAAATAGATCTTTAAAAAACAAGGTCGTTTAATTAGTAATCTCATGTTACTCTTCAGTACTTTTACTTTCAATACGTAATTTATGTAATAAAGTGTAACAATGGTTTTTATTTATAGTAAATCCCTTGAAATTATATGAATAAATTGCGCATTTAAAGTACCTATACAATGTAGAAAAAATATACTTTATTAAATATTGTTTAATCGTGAAATTGACAACAATAATTAAAAAGATATAAGTACCTAGTTATTTTCTTTATTATTTTTAGTAGATAATAGTAATCATTTATTGAAAACGTTACATTATATGCAGTAGGTACAAAAACTATTATATGTATATCAGATTAATAATCAATTAATATTAATTAAAGCATTCTGTCAGTCATCGCGCACTATTAAAAATAATACCTTGACAAGCATACAAACAGAAAGTATTGTAAAGTAATTGAAAACTGAATAATTCATAATATTAAGTGTATTAAATGTCTCTTCGATAATAATTTGAGCATTTCTGTACAGTAGACGGGAATTAAAATTTCTATAAGGCAAAAAAACCTAATTAATAAGTAGCTAAAGCCATCTCCTATCCCAGCTAATTTTCTCCAATTCAATCTTTCTCATCCCATCATCATCCCGGCGGAATCGATATCGCATCGTTTTTATACGAAACCGCAGGGAATTGAATTAACCTTGAAAAAAAAATATTCGCCTGCGATTATTAATTGCCTCGGTCGAGCTCTGGAGCTTTCGCTCCGCGGCTTTCCCGGCTCACTGTCAGAACCAAAAGCCTTCCTCAAAGGTTGGGGTTACCCGCCGAATAAAACATAACGAGCGCCGCTCCATCCCTCGCTCGCCTTGCTCTTCGAATCCATCTTCGCCGCAGGGCCGGTTCCGCCCCCGGCACCATTCTCCTTCTGCCTGAAATTTCTTGTTTTTTATTGTTGCTGAAACTACTGAAAAGTTCTTTACGTTTAAGTACAGCTTTAGTCTCGTTTGCGCTGCAAACTCGACAGGTCACTTTGAGTTTGTCTCTAGCTTCTTGCTAGATTTTTTAAACACAGCTTTTGGGGTATGTTAAAATTTTCCTCCATATTCTCTTTAACTCTAATAAGGCTCTTCAAGGGTCACTTTAGACTATTTAAGTGGTATTTTTGATTCTTCTCAGTTTGAATTGAATTGAAACCAACTCTGCGGATCCTGGTAGGATTTTCCGAAGAATATTGTTTGCCCTTGATCCGGATAACGCACTCCTTTCCATTTTCTTTACGGCGATTTTCTCCAAACCGATTGCTTTATTTATCCCAGACCAGCTAACATTTTTTTGTGCGCATTTTCCAAACAAAATAAAACCAATTGCAGTGCTCTATTCTACTATACTATACTAATAATATTCTACTATAATCTACTGTATTCTATTATAAACTGTACTATTAAAACTAGATTGCTGTGCTCTATATTCTACTATATTATTCTACTGTATTCTACGGTTTCTTATAAATTCCAATAACTTTCATCATAGGTTATAGGAAGTACTTATTTATAAAAAAAATTCCGATGCAATCATTAATAATTATTTAATTACTTTAAAAATAGTAAAAACAATTAACCGCTGAACGTTTTTCCATATTTTCTACTGCCATATTCTACTATATTCTAAACTATATTTTACTACTATTTTTACTATTCTACTATTTTTTAAAAGTTCCAATAAATATCATCCTGCGTTGTAGGAAGTACTACTTATTTATGAAAAAATCCCGATGCAGTCATTAATCATTTGATTATTTTAAAAATAGGAAAGGCAATTAACCGCTGAACGTTTCTCCATATTATTATGATTTTCCTACTCATTGCTAATTATTATTGTCGGCAATAAATGATTTGTTTATTAGAATAGTGCAATGGCACATAAACCGCGAGCAATAGGTTACATTAATTTTTTATTTCCTTTCCTGTGCATATGTGCGGGACACAAAATGGCACATTCAATTAAAAATTGCAGTAAAAACGCAAATTCGTTACGCAACTCGAATAAAATAGTGCGTTGAAAAATAATGCCAGCCTGATAATTATTTTAAAGGACAGTGGTAAAGGAGTTAATTTAAAATTGTATGTTAGTTTGCTCGTTTAGATACTCAAAAAAATTGAATCCTGGCATTGTAAATATAATTGTATATCGTTTAAGGAGCAAACTTAAGAATGCGTTTAACTATTTCTATTCATATTTTTGGTTCGAATCATAAGTAATTCTAATAAAAAAACTGTTATGTAGGTATGTAATACATACTAATCTACTCGTCCCTGAAAAAATTCAAGGTGCATTATATAAATATTAACAGAGAGACAGATTAATTGTTATCAAGTAGGACTTAAATTATCCGACATAAAATCAATGTTTCGTGATCGGCTTCGACGCAAACGTGCGCTCATTTCTCTGTTTACCTTTCATTAAAAATTCATTGTAAACGGAGTTCTTCAATTGGTTCGCGTTCGCTCCTCGATGAAAATACAAGAAGGAAATTTTCATCGCTCCGATGGATTTTTAATATTGTATTTCCCCTCGAATTCGATCTATATTAAAGCATTTCTAGGGGGTGTTTTACTGGTAAATGTACGAATTTTAACTGGATTAAATATGGATACTTTTACACTTTTATATAAGTACCAGGGCGGTTTAATAAATTTGTGTATTTGTACTTAGTTGAGGAATAGTGCAAAAAATTTGGGACATTTCACAATAGTACATTTTTTGCCTATCCTCATGATAACAATATCCTGTTGAGTTTATTAAAATTTGTCGAATGAAAGAAAATATTTGTTGAATGGACAATATGAAATATGTATCGAGTTTTTAGAATTTGTTGTTAAACTTATTTAAATGTATAAGGAAAACACACTTATTTATTCAAAAAATTAACAACTATGTCCTAATATGAATTGCAGCAATTAGAATATATGAAGAAACTTCATTGGAAAAGTTTTGTTATTAATATAAAACCTCTAATAGCGTTAATTAAACGTATCTGAGGCGCATTTCATACCACATATTTTTAATAGGGCTTTTTTACATCCTATTGTTAACTTGCATTTCTATTACTACTTCTAAAGTACTATGAAAAATTTCAAAAATACTTCATTATTTTCATTAACATTATTAAAAATATAATTTATTATGAAATAAATACGCTGCTAAAATTTTATAAAACGAGCCATAGTACATAAAACAGCCAATACAATTATTTCTGTTTGTAATGCTTGTTAAAAATATCTCCTAAAATTTACTGGGTGAAAACAAGAAATAACTTTTGCAATATTTCACCTTTTTGATTTTGTTTACAATAATAGCATGTATACTCTCTATTTAGTACAAATAGGTAATAATAATAGGAAACAATTATTTTAAACGGCCATATACTAAGGTTAGTAAGAAGCTTCAAGAACACATCTAATTATTTTGGCATTCATTTGGCCGAAAGGATATTAATTTGTCATAAATTTATAAGTTGCACGTTAATTATCTGGTCTTTTCGTACGATACTTAAGGTAAAAATTCGGATTGTTCAGGTGAAAATAATCCTCTCATCCTCGATATTAAATTTAGTCGAATAATAAGCGTAAAACAATGGCAATTTTGGATAACAATAGTAACTATTTCGAATATCTTTAATATTACCTAAATTACCTTAAACGCAATTTTGCAACACTATGTAAACGATACGAAAATGTACCTACATGCAAAGTACGGTAAATGCCTTCATATACACCATTATTTTCATTATCACTTTATTTGTGTTGTAATTTTTGTTTTAGAAAGTAGGTATTTGAAGATAGACTAATTTAAGTCCTTCGTATGTTCTTTTCATTACAAATAGAAATAATATTTAATTATTTATGATTTTCTTTAAATCAGCTTTGACTTTAATGTTAACAAGCAATTAATTTTACCTAATTAGCATTGCTTTTGCAATATTGTAAGTAATATATATGGTTTTAAAGAAAAAAATCGTTTATCTAATTAATAAATTATACCGGTAGGTACGTTCTCTAACATGAAAAATGATTTATATAATTAGTTTATGTATATTTATAAATCTTAAGGAAACAATAGTGAAATTAATTTATCTATATGACTATAAATCAATAATTTAACACTTGTTTTCAAACTAGTTTCATTTATATGCAGGTTCAGTTTTCATTTTTGTTATGACACTGTCACAGCAGGATTCTCAATGGCATTTGTCATTGACAGTTTTAATTAGTCAAAATAGGGAATTCTCCGAATATAATAGGAGCTATAAATAAAAAGCCCTGTATACTACAATAATGTATAATGAAATAAATGGCTATTAATAGTTAAGATTACTGGTAATCTATGATTACATGCTCTGTGCATAGTATACTATTTTCATTGATAATTACCTTTAATTTTTGCATATTTTTGAATTTTTTTCAATACTTTTATTGATATTTTATTCATATCCTCGGAGGCACATTTGTGTAAAAAATTCGTTATTAATAAATTCTATTACTTCCTTTAAAGGCGTTACTGCTGAATAATTTAATTATTTTTATTTTTATCAAACGAACCAGAAACGCCCTTAACGCTAAAAAATAAAAATTGCATATAAAAATAAAATTTATGCAAATTATAAATGACTTAATAGTTAAATAACAAACTAATTGAAAGGCATTGTTATAGTTTCACTTCTTGCTGTTAGCCATCATTACTTATTTATTTATGTGGGAATGCATATAAGGATTAATCGATTTCTAAGCCTTATCTACACCCATACGACAGGACGTACCTACCTACCAATTATAACTATGCAATTACCCGGTTTAATTTTTATTAAAAAAATTTATAATAATTATAACGCTACAAATTTTTATTTATTACAATGCTAAGGTGTTACCTGCCGTACACCAGCTGTCTCTTAGTAGAAAAACTAGTTCTATAAAAGGAATCATTTCTATGCACTAAAATCATCACTCAAAGGTGGTTTTATGGGAAAAAATCTTCTACAATCAATTTTGAGCTACCTTCTTGATGTTGAAAATCCCTTTGCCTTTCAAATAAAACTTAAATCGGGTACATTTTAGAGTCAAATATCGGAAGACAGCGCCATCTCCGGCTGTTCCACCCCCTCGACGCCCACCAGCCCCATCGACTTCGACATCAAGATAGCGACGAGCGCCGACCAGGAGGACGTCAGGCAGTTCCTGCAGAAGTTCTTCTACAAGGACGAGCCGCTCAACCTCTTCCTGGAGTTGATCACCGACGAGCACCCGCGGTGCCTGGACCTGGAGAGGTTCACCCTGAAGGACTTGGACAGCGGAGTCAATTTGCTGGCCGTGCAGAACGGGAAGCTCATCGGGGTGTGCCTGAACGGTGAGGGATTCAGCCCGACGGGCGGGGGTTGGGTTAATTTTCGATTGGATTTCAGGGATATTGGAGAGAGGCGCAGCGGACGATTTCGAATGCGAGGACGAGAAGTTTTCGAAAATTGTGAAATTGTTGGATTACGTTGCGGTGGAGTCGGATCCGTTTAAAATATACCCCGGTGTGAATAGGGGTATGATAGTCAAAATCCTGTCTGTTGATGGATCGTTCAGAGGCAAAGGTATAGCGAAGGATCTCATGGTGAAAACTAGGTAGGTGAAAAAATTAGTGTTGGGACAGACGCGATGCTGGGACATTTGGGATACTCTATAAGGGTAAGATGAAAAGTTCTCGGCCTGGCAATGAAAGACCGCGATATTTCATAAAATTACATATAATTTTTCATAAGCCGAAATCTTTAGGTCAAGACAGTTCTAAATGATTATGGAGCGTTCCAAATGGTTATATAGATAGTTCTAAATGATTCTCGATAGTTGTAGATTACTCTAGACAGTTCTAAACCATTCTTGAGCGTTCCAACTGGTTTTAGACGGTTTTAATTTATTCTGAAGTGTTCTAAATGGTTCTACACAGTTCTAAATGATTCTGGAGCGTTCTATAAATGGTTCTAGATATAAATAATTTTGGAGGGTTCTAAATGGTTCTAGACAGTTTTAAATGATTCAGGCCGAGAACTTTTCACCCTACCCTCGCAAACAAATACTAAAGGGATAAAATAAAATGACTTACAATTAAATTAAATATCGCTTTCATTGATATCCGAATCTGTACCCCATATCCTATAATTATTACAGGTAGTTGTTGGTTATTTATCTAATTATTGAATTAACAATGCATCCTTTTTATTTGTTCGATTTGCTGTTTTAAGAAGGTTATACTGTTGCCTGATGGCGAATGGAGTATAGTTACAATCGAATCATTTGGACAAATTAAATGTTATGTTGCAGGGAATTGGCGAGACAGAAAGGGTGTGGGTTCATTACGGTGGACTGTTCTAGTTACTACACGGCTTGCGCAGCGAGGAAACTTGGGTTTAAGCCGCACTACACCCTGAATTACGAGGATTACAAGGTCGACGGTGAGGTCGTTTTTCGACCTGAGGCCCCGCACAAGGCATTAACTGTTTATACCCAAAGAATAGTATAGATTGGGTTTAAATTAAGAATTTTCAGAATCGAAGTCGTCTCAATGTAAACTAGGTTTATTTTCACAATGCAAGTTGTTGTTTGACCCGCGCGTCTCTCCACAAAAAGCACTGTTTATACCTCCAAAATATGTATATCTATTTATTCGGTCTAAAAAAATAATATCGGGAATTCGAGTCACTTAAATATTTATAATTCTATTGGTGATATTTTTTATTATTGTTAAAAATTTCTTTCTTTGTTCGCTATTCCACCTTTGTTCCTTTACATCTTGAATCTCGCTTTATATCATCTATTATACAATGTATTACAAGCAAACAAAGTAGAAACTAGTGAAAAGTACTATTATATGTGATATTGTTGTACCTTTAAAAATTTTATTTCAAAAATTGACTTTTATATTTAATAAAAATATATCTAAATTAAATCGTTTTTGAGTTCCAAACATTAATAAACGCCAAAAATAAAAAAAAACTAAATACTTATTTAAGAAATTTATTGTAACAAATTATGCTGACAATACGCATGCTCCGCCTACAGCTTTAATTTTATCTTCGGCTGATTTTGAGAAGAATTTCGCTTTCACTATGACAGGTTGGTCAGGGAGGCGTCCCTTTCCCAAAAGTTTGTAATAACCCTGAAAAAAAAGATACATTAACAATCTCTTAGAAAATTAAAATAAATATAAAATGTCTCCTGCATAATCTCAGAAAATGAACATTCTTCAACAAGTTTAAGACCGCCCGTTCATAAAATCATCATTGAGAATTATTACCCTAATATTTTTTAAAGGTTGGCATTACTTGACAATGCATTTAATTATTTTGACAGGTTGACAAGCCATATATTAGTTATTTTTATGTGGTTCAGAAATAATAATGTATGTACTCAAGAGAGCCATTAATGTAAGAATATTCCTGTTTACTTCAAAAAGGACCTATTATCCTCTTCCTTTGTTATAATAAATTTCAAATCATCAAAAGAAACTGAAAAACAAATCAGTGCTGCAAACACAATTTTTGACATTTACTACCATCTTCAAAACAAAGCTCCTGTCAAAATAAAGTTTTTTAAAATAATTATAAAACAATCAAAGATGTAATATTTACAAATCTAATCCAAAGTCCTGGGAAATTGAATATTTGGTATGAAACAATATTTATTTAGATAACACAAGCGAATACTCACAGCTTTAACAATGTCAATGACTGGAGCCTTTCCATCGGGGTGATTTTTGTACTTTAGCCTAGTTTGCTCGCTAACTAAAGTCCACAATTTGTCTAGGTTAATAGCCGGATTCCATCTGGTGTTTTTTCGTTCGTGGTAATTTCTCATACCCAACTAAAACACGATACAAAAAATGTAAAAACAATGTTAAACATGATAAATTAATGGCAAATTTACCTTTCCGAAATAACCAGGATGGTACTTGTCGAAGTTAATTCTGTGATGGTGCATACCACCAGCGTTACCGCGACCTCCAGGGTGCTTACGGTGTTTGCCTAAAATCAAATAAATTATCAGAATTTAAAGGAAACTATAGATACAAATGTTAATACATGTTCAAAAGATCAGTAAGGAACATGAATCAAGTGTTTCATACCGCCCGTTCACAACTCATCACAACATGTAAATAACAAGAATTTGATGTTACCAAACAAACTACTTATTAATATTGAAAAAAACTTACCGATACGACCGTGCCCGTGGCTAACATGCCCTCTTAGTTTCCTAGTTTTCTTTCTGTGTGTAGACTAAAAGCAAAAATTTATCGTCAACATTTTTTCTTAAATTTAGAGGATTATTTACACGAACGTCACGAAATATATATATAATCGGATAGAGTTATAGTTTATAGAAAGAATTTAATAGGAAAATCGTGAAATTCTATCATGATTAAGAAAATAATTATAATATACGTTAAGTGAACCGAAATAAGAAATTCACTCACCATGTTGACGAAAGTGAAGAATTTACACAATGTCGACAACTAAAGAGGATAAAATTAAATGTCAAAAATGTCAAATGTCAATATTCTGTTTAGGCGATTTTACGCGTACAAAATTCATCACCAAATTGTCAACACAAAAGTGGCTGGATACCTGTGAGCAAAACGGCTTCAATAAAAAGAAGAGAGAAATACAAACTGAAATGTATTTTTATAACGCTCTTATATTTTATCAAATCACTGTTTCAATCTAATTTTATATAAATAGGTCGTAGATTTTTTTTGAGAAAAGAATACAATACAAAAAAACGTTACCGTCACGTCAGCAAGTAAACGTCAAAACAACATTTGACATAAACAGTGACACTGACAGTTCCCTGGTATCAAGAATAAACAGATTTTTGAAGCATAAAATTAATTAAACATATCAAAAAATGTACAATATCAAGCAATTGTCGAATTTACCGTATTTTTGATTCGAACTAATGTTTCTATCGTGCTCGTATGTGGATGTCAACTCGTATAAATCCTAAATTTCATCGAAACGGACCATATATTCACACCTTCGTGACGTAATTTTTATTTTAGAAATTAAAATATTGTACCAATAAACATTTCATAAGAGGAAATAAAGCAATAATGATCTACTTCACGCAACAGGAAGCTCGTATTAATTGAACAATGTCTAGGGAATGAAAGTTTTTAGGCAGATTCGTTAGATTTTTGTACCTGTTACACATACTTAACTCTCGTAAAAATGGATGATTACAAATTTCTATTCAAAGTTGTCCTAGTTGGAAACGCAGGGGTCGGAAAAACGTGCTTAGTAAGGCGATTTACACAAGGCCTGTTTCCCCCTGGACAGGGAGCCACAATCGGTGTGGATTTCATGATAAAAACTGTTGAAGTGGGAAACGAAAAAGTTAAGGTAATTACTTCACGATCTCAATATATTAAATAAAAATACCGAGTTTATCTTTTCAGTTGCAAATTTGGGACACTGCAGGTCAGGAACGGTTCCGTTCTATAACCCAGAGCTATTACAGATCAGCTCACGCTCTTATATTAGTCTACGATATATCATCTCAACCCACGTTCGATTGCTTGCCGGATTGGTTAAGAGAAATCGAAGAATACGCCAGTAATAAAGTGTTGAGAATTCTAGTTGGTAAGCGCTTCTTTTATCAATTATTATGTATTTCAAACTGTATCCTTTTAGGAAACAAAATCGATAGAGAAGACAGGGAAATTCCGGCGGACGTAGGAGAAGAATTCGCAGAAAGACACAACATGTATTACCTGGAAACGTCTGCGAAAGAATCGGATAATGTAGAAAAACTGTTTATGCAAATCGCTGAAGATCTTATGAAGGTAATAATTTCTCTTCTTATTACGCAATATTTCTAACATATTTAATAGTAGTTTATATTAATCGTAGATGATTTTAATATGCTGGTTTGGTATATTTTTATTTAGCAAGCAGCTTCATTTGAAATTGAATGTTTTATTTTAGCAAGCGAGAACTAGGGATCTTCCACGATACGACTCCAATAATCAAACTCTCGATGGCAAAACATCGACCATTAGCGATTCTAGTTGTTGTAGTAGATTACAGTAGTGAGCGTTTTTAATTAGCTCAATTGAATGTGTTTTATAGGCGTTTGTTGATTTTATAACAAGTTAATTTGAATGTAAAATAGTTATAACCAATCAAATTAGAACTTATATCAATTACAAATCACGAAGATATCATATGTGACAATAAGACGAGACTACATGCTTGTACTTGCGTACAATTCAGAAATATTTTTATTCATTAACACGCTACTGTTAGTATTTTTGAGACAGTAAATTTATTAACATTTTTTAACTAGTCGATTTTATTGTCTGGTTATAACGATTTTGTAATTCGTACATTTCGTCTCTTCGACTGATTTTTTACATATTGAACTAGTCGCGATTCATAACGTATTTCATTTAAAAGACACTCGATTAGCAAGCGGGCTTATGATACAAAACGGCTTTCGTAGAATAAAACTACAGGGTGTTCCAAAACAAGTGGTCGTAGAGTAAATCTAGCCTTCAACTGGGCACAATTATAAGAGTACCAAAAGTAAATTAACTGAATATATCTCTAGCTACTCTCTTACTTAAAGAACACCCTGTATTTGAATAAATTTCCAGTAAATTCTCTGTTCGAACCAGTGATGATGTAGCTTAATTTAGTACTTAGCCCTTTCATAGAAATGAGTAGGTTTTATCATTCGCCTTGATCACTGTTCTCATTGCATTTAGATCAATCCAGTATGGAAGTGTCACGGATTCTCAAAATGTTGCCAAATTACTTGAGTATGATTTTTTAAATGTAAAAACTCTTAATCTCCTGTGATATATTTTTTCCAATGCACACGCGAGCGTTCTGCATCACGTAAATCAAATTTATTTTGTGCATTTTAATGATGGTATTATTTATACGAACATTCCTATTTGTGGAGATCGATTAGGTTTCGATTTTACTTTTAATTATTGTTATAGAAATGTATAGGTGTTTGAGGAAATGCTAGATTAATTGATTTTCATGTTAATTTGGTAATATCGTGGGCATTTTGCGGAGATTACAAGTATCTTACAAGTATATGATTTTTATTTGTACATGTTTTCAAGCATATAATTGCTGAAATACATAATTATTACATTTGAATTGAATTGCATTTTAAATAGAAAACTCTGATAAAATTTTCTCTTTTATATGGAAATGCTTGATATAGTTATTATTATTAAACAGTTAATATTGATTTACAATCCTCTGGTAAATGTTGTTTTTGCTAACAGATACATTTGACTCTTTAGATTAATTGTTGTATTTTGTAAGTCAAACATTTGTTGGATTGTTATTTAAAAGTAAATGAAGATGGGGTGTTTCGTCTAAATCTAGTTTTTACTGTAATTTCTGTGAATTTCACGTACTCTAGGTGTTGGGATATTCGGAAAATAAATCTTCTAGAAGGTGCAATATAAATATTAATTTTTAGTGCTTATTTTTAGTCAAACAATAAATGTAACTTATAAAAGTATATAAAAATATAGGTATATTTATTATATTCGTTTGCAAAGTATCTTGCAGTTGATTTTTACATTAGTATTATTAGGTAGTTACTTATTGTGTTATTAAATATTAAATTTATAGTTTTTATAATTTCCGATTTATTAACATAATGTTTTTTTATTATGTTTTATATCTATAATTTATGTTGAAAAGTCCTCTTTTTTATTTATAGTTTTTATTTATTTCTTGTTAGCTTAGGGTTGATTTATTCAGAATATAACCACAACAAAGTTTTATCTAACAGATAAATTTAACAACACATTGAAAAATCCACCCTAAGTACACATTTATGATGTTTAAATGACTAAATATTTCATTTATTTATTAAGTTTTTTAATGTATTGCACTTAATGTGTATAGCAAAAAGCAATCGCTGGTTAATACATTTAATGAAATATAACCACATCACTTAGCTTCGGCTAATTGCTATTAAGAGGAACATTTTTGAATTCAGCTAGAGCTTTTAAATCCATCAATTTATACACAAACGCATCCTTGGCACTTAAATTTCTTTTTTTAATGCACTAATATAAGGTAGAGGTGGTTGTGTTTCTTTCCTTTTATATTGTTACATACGAACCAAAGAAAACTTGTACGAAAAATACTTAAAATATAACTCTTAAAAATCTTATATTGCATTGTTAATTTCTTCGTAAAACAGTACAAAAATTCGGTTGAAATAAAATGGAATAATTCATACATATTTATTTTATTTTTAAGTATGAATTTTTTTTCTATTATGAAAGAGATTGTTGTTGTTGTTGTTGTTGTTTTTATGCGGGCGGTCTTTCCAGCCCCGTGACCACCTAGATCTAATGATCCTCTGTAGTTTCCCGCTGTTTCCCAAGGTCATTGATTCTGCCAGAGGTCGCAAGATGAAAGAGATTAATAATAGAAAAATGTAATGTTTAATACAATGTATTTTAAACAGCAGTATCACAAATATCCGTCAACTTTTTTATCACATACTAGAAAACAATAAATACATAATAGTGGTTCAATGATATAAAAAAAGGGATTCGATGCCTTGTTGTCTATTGTAGTTCAATATTGCGGCATTTTAATAAATAAAATAGTTTCATGGTACAAGCAAATAGGTACACTGCATTTTTATTAATCGTTCAAGAAGTGATAAAATAAATTGCATTATTTTATGTTTATAAATTAGCTACACTAATAAATAAGTAAACCGATATAACAACTATTTTACACGAATCTTTACAAATATTTCTAGCTCGTTACAAAATTCACTGGTAATGCAGCGTGAATAGTAAGCATGTAAGTACACACACAATATCTAATAACGTAAATTCATAAAAAACCTACTCCTTTACAAACCTCTTCGGGTGTATCAAAGATAAAAATATGTACAACTAACATTTAAATTAAGATGACACAAATCCCAAAATTTAACATTTAAATATAACGTCTGCAAATCAGCATTGGTTACTCCAATAACTAATTCCTAAGGAGAATTACGTTTTTGCTAATCTTTTCCTTAAAGTACAGAACGCTATGGACCTGAACAGGATGAAAGTGCCGCAGAGATAAGCGATATCCACCCAATAATTTTGTTTACTCATTCCCATATCTTTAAGCACCATTTCGGGCGAGAGATATTGGCAATAATCTTCGTCCTCCGAGCAAAACAACGGCCCCCTGTGGTACCCGTACACTGCTTGCATTAGACCTACAAATTACAAGAATGTAAAATTGTATTCCACAAATCGACAGGAATAGCAGTAGACTGACTAGAGTATTGCATATCCAACTAGTCTAGTAATACTTGCCTTCTAGAGAGAAACTTATAAACGACACATAAGTTAATAAATACATCACGCTCGACATGTGGGTGAAGATGATCAAAAATCCCCCCACGCACAGCATCATAGCCAATGTAACGGCTCCGAAGAAAATCCCGTTCTGTAAAAGAAGCAATATTAATACTAATTTCTCGAATAAAACGCGGAGAAACTTACGATAGGATCGGTCAGAGTGCCTAAAATCAAACCGAAACCGGACGCCGATAGGCACGCCATTATAAGTATGAGGAATACTCGAAGAAACCGAATCAACTCCATCGGCTGGTCGCTGATAAAGTACGACGATACGCAATAGACGAAGCTAAACAATACCTGAAATTATATTTTAAATTAACAAACAATTTTTTTACCATCTAGTAGCTTCTAATATACCTGCTGGGGTATATCGAATATCATAAACGCGGCGTAATAGGTCGTCAGTTTGTACCAATTGTTGAAGTTTTCTTTCTTTAAAATGGATAATTCCGTTGGAACTGCAATAAATCCGATCGTTATTCGTACGAATTTAGAAAAATACGATGCACTTACACTTTAATACTGCCGGTAACATAGACGTATAACTTAGATAGACTAGACTGCACAACAAAAAACCCAAATTGCTGAAGACTTTGGCAGCGTCCCGGCCGCAATTTTGAAATGTGACGCCCAAAAACAAGCCGATGAGCAGGTGAAGTACCAGCTTCAGTTGCGATATCGTCTGAACATAAAATTTTACAAATTATATTAGCAACAAGGAACGCATTATATTTATATGAAAGTGCATTATAAACTTTAGATTTACTTTTAATTTCTTCTAATCTGAATCTGGAATTTCCCACCAGAGAGATGAGATTAGAGGATATGTGAGTAGAGTATGAGAGTCGAGAGCATGAGAGATGAGAGTTATGAGAACAGCTTCTATACTGTGGTATTAGAGTAGAGATATGAGAATAGGAAGTATGAGAGTCGAGAGAAGAGAGTAGGGAGTATGAGAGTAGAGAATATGAGAGTACGAGAGTACGAGAGTGGAGGGATATATAAGAATATAAGCACAGTTTCTATAATGTGGCATAAGAGTAGAGAGATGAGAGAATATGAAGTATGAGAATCAGAGTAGGGAGTATGAGAGTAGAGAGTATTAGAGGCAGAGAGAATGAGAGAAGAGAGTATGAGAGTATTGACAGTATGAGATTGGGTAGATAAGAGTATGAGCACAGTTTCTATACTGTGGTATAAAATAATGGAGAATTATAGTAGAGAGATAAAAGTATGAGGACAGTTTCTATACTGTGATATAAAATGAGTATGGTAGTAGAGAGTATGAGAGTCGATAGAATAGAGTAGAGTAGAAATACTTTGCTGTAAATAAAAATTCTGGTCCTCAATGTTCCTGTTGGATTAAAATGTATAAGTCCCTTTGGCGCCCAATTTACAACCGTTCGAATTAATTATTTCACATTTTGACAACAAATTTTACAATAATTTTATGAATACTCACCCAGTCTCTATACAATTGTACCGCGCCCCTTTTCAATAATATTAAAAATCTACTCCATTCCGACGGTGTATCAACGGTGTTATTGATTTGATCTATGTACACAATATCGTCATGGATTCTATCTCTCGTATCCTTCATTCGAACTAAAAAAAATCAAACATTAAACAATACACAATTTAATAATTAACAAATTTACTTGTAGGAACGTATTTCCACTTATCCTCCTGCGCAGCTTTCTCTAAAGTATCTGTGTAATCTCCGTATTCACCGCTAACAACTTCCATAACTAAAACATACGAATAATAAGCTTCTATTTAAGCTTGTTTAGGGTAAATCCGCTTACTGAAATCCGCGGGATTGTGGTATTGGGGACAATTTAAACCAACAGAGGACAAAAACGGAACCGTATTCGTGCTGGCTCCTTGGAAAACGCACCGGCCCTTCGCCATCATGTAGATCTGATCAAACATTTCGTATAATTTTGCGTTAGGCTGATGTATCGTACAGATGATTATCCTTCCGCCGAGGGCCAGTTTTTTCAACATTTCTACGCATTGCCTTGTCGAGGAGCTGTCTAAACCACTAAAAAGGGAAACCAGCAATCAAAACTATCATCTAATGAAGCTTTAAAAAGGTCCGTTTACAGAGTTATAGGCACCTAAAAATTGGTCAAAAATATTTCTACGCAATGAAGCTTCAAAAAGATTCTTTTACAGAGTTGTAGTGACTTAAAAATTGGCCAAAAATTATGGTGTAATTATAACAGATATTATTCTAATTAGTCGAGCTTCATTTAAGTTTAATATTCATCATTTGGAAATATTTGGCTGGTAATTAAAAAGAGCTATTTTGGTGTACGTGAATATTATTAATACCCACCTATATAACTTGTTCGGTTACCTATTTTGTGCGGTAATTAGAAAACTGCCTTAGTCTAATGTACATATTTCATTTTAATATTACATTAATCACCGATTAGGAATTTAACATGCGGTTAATGAACGATCGCCAGATTGCGCATTCAACAAAGTACGCGGTGCAAAGTTTTAGCAAATACGCGATAACCCTTCGGGATGTGTTATATTTGATTTTTGTAACCCCGAAAGATTATGTTTCATTATTAAAATTTTGCAATCAAAGATTTTTTTTAATTTTTGCATGATTTTTTGATCCTTATTTATATTGTAAAAGTAACGGAATGCATCGACTTAATGTAGAAATTTTTAGTGTTGGGGAAAGGAGGAAATTTTCATAAGGTACTTACGTGGTGGGTTCATCCAGAAACATAATAGGGGGATTATCTATCAATTCCAAAGCCACTGAAAGCCTCTTTTTTTGTCCGCCTGATAAGCTTTGTACTCTCGTATTTTTCGCTTTGTTCAAGCTTAAATTATTCAGTATATCGTTTATCTGAAATAAATAACAAATTTATGCAATCGAAATATACAGACTGTCCCTAGATGGAGTTTACGAAGAAAAATCATTCTTCAATCAAAAAGTCCCGCTTGGTGAAAAAATAATTTCGCCATAATATGGAAATCTGGATTCTGCTGTATAAGGTTATCGCTGAAGTATAAAAATCGTGAAAATGAGTCGAGGGAGGAGTTTAATAAACATTTTTAGAGTAAAATTTTATAGAACAAATTTTTGTTTTTCTAATTAATACGTAGATAGAAAATTTCAAATTGAAAGTCTTTTTATAATTCATCTCTAATAATCCAAACTTCTTTATACCATAAGCAAAGACTAAATATAATTTAAAAAAAAATTAAGTAGATACTAGAAATCCCAAAAAAACCAGTTTCTAAAGCGCCCAAATCCTCTCCAATCGTCCTGTAGAAGTTGAAAATTATAATTATTCTACTCCAAATTTTCGATAGAAAATAAATTATTGGTCATAATAATAATAAACAATAAAATAATGAAATAGTCTAGAATTTTAATGTGATTCAGGTAGCTACTTATCGGCTCCATTCAAATTAGAAACGCAAATAAATTTAATTATCCATTGACCAAGACAGCACGAATTTTTTTCGACTGGTTCCTCTCGAAGAACCGCTTCGTGCTCAATCAAGGTTACTAGCAAACGCTAATTGGCTACAACAAATAAGTAGTACTAACCAAAAATTCCTTAGACTTGCTGGTGAGATTCGCTATTTTCAGGTTGCAAGCCATCATCATGCATTCGTACACGGTGAAGAGATTGGGCAAATTGTCGTCCTGCAGGATGTAGCAGGATTTTTTCGTGTACTCCAGATGGCCGGATTTGCTTTTGGTAGGGCTGCTGCACTTTATCGTGCCCGAAATTCCCGTTACCCTAAAAATTAAAAAAAAAATCACTTCGATTAGTTCCTCGTCAATTAAACGGATTGTGGTGTACATGAACAAACAGTTTAATAGTAATTAGTACACCGGCTAATTAGTTTACATAAATCAATGACAACACCATTAGCAGCGTGTCTTTTAAAAAACAATTACCTAATTTTATGCTTCGAGTATGTAATAAAAACTTGTAATTTGGAAATGTTTGGGCTTTCACTACATTTGTTTAGTTAGCAAAATTGCTCTAATGGAGTTTTATTGTTTTTTTATACATTTGTATACATAGATTATTAAAAAGTATACAGGGCTTTTCAAGGATTCCATTAGAAGTTATAGGAGATTTTTAAGAGTTACAAATCTGAAAATTTAGGAGTAAAGAATAATCATTAATCAATGTTGTGAGTTTCTCTAAAATATTTTCAATCATATGTGACTTCCGGTAATACCGGAAGTAGATGTCAACTTTGTTATTTGAAATGGAAAGTACCATTTTTGATTTCATATGCTAAAAATTCGCCACTTGTGAGTTATTTAATTTTTTTTTTCAGTTTTCATGGTCAATTATGCTATTATAATACCCACCCTCTTTTTTTATCGTTGGAGGAGCTGAAGCTACGTCAAGGTCAACTTCACTATTTTAAAGGGAACCAGAATGTTTAAAGAATGACCATGTGTTGCAGGTCGCTGAATTCGTCTTAAAATCGGCAATAATATCATCGAATAAAAACTACATGTTTCCAGTTTGACGGTTATTGCTCTGTTTATGTGCCTCACCCTGTAGATGGCTATTTGATGCTTTTATGATTCACTAATTGAACGAATTGTAGATTCCGTTTATTGTTATTTAACTCCCATTTTATAATCAACCTGTTTAAGTATTATCTAACTTTTTAAATCCCTTTTGTTTGATATTTCCTGAACCAAAAAACGGTTGTTTTATTCTTTTAAATTAACCTCTGGTCATTCTAACTCTTTAGGATCTCCTACAACTTCTAATGGACGGTTTCCTTGAAAAGCCTTGTATTCCGTTAATTTAATTTTGATTAGTTAACTGGTACATTCATTTTTTACGAGAATATTTTTACAATATTCGTTGTTTTCTAGGCATTTGAGCATTCCCAAAAGCTTTTATGAAAGCTTCCTCAAAAATGAACAATAATTTACCAATAAATTAGTTGCTATTTTATTCTTTTCTTTATCAATTAGGGCATTTGCCAAACAATTCCGATTCGACTTTGAAGCAATAATGCCACCCAATTAAGCAAAAAATTACACTTCAATTAATTACAATCAAAAACAATAATCTGCATAAGAAGCGAATTTATAAGTACTCTTAATTGTGCCATAAAATGTATCGAGTGCACCTGCAACTAATTCATTTAAATACTTACTGATAGCCGGTGAGAATGTTGAGCAAGGAGGTCTTTCCTGCCCCGGATGGACCCATAATCGCCGACAATTGGCCAGAATAGAATTTTCCGGAAACTCCATCTATGATCTTCTTAACGGCTAGAACAAATATGGAAAATTTAAAATATTATGCATTTTTCATGCTACAAATTTTCTATTACACTTTTGATAATTGTTGCACGATTTTGCACGATTCTCTAATAATTCCTCCTAATAATTTCTATTTTGGCAAGATTTATTTCATTGGATTTAATCGGACTTCATGATAATTACACCGCTTTTGATATATTTCATGTTCTATAACTATAATGGCATGCAAATTTCGTAATTATGAAAATTATTTAGGTAGGTATGCATTCAAAGTCTGATGCACAGATTTCAAGGTTCGTCAGCTTCAAAGTGCATTAAACAGGCCCGGTTTTGTATATTATTCTAGTTTTCTGCAGTAGGTAGGTAATTTAATTTTTTAACAAGTACTGGCACTTTATTTAGCATGAAAGCGAGTCGATACAAAATTTTGTTTCAGTTTTTTTAATACTTTAATAAAAAATTCAACCGCTCATTAATTTTTGGATAACCAAATTAATAACTCTATGTATATCATTAATATTTCTGACAATATCTTATTTCTAGTATAAACATCAGATTCGTAATTTGCATGAAAATTACGTTATAATCTGGTTATAAATGATTTATAGCAATTTAATTAACCTTATAGAAAAAAAACTAATTAGTTTAATTAATTCACTTATATATGTTTTCAGTTTTTCTACTAGGAAGTTTCGAGTTACTAGAATTTGAATAACCACAAAGTGTCTCTAATGAACTACAAATTCCACTAACAATTAATTTTAGTTAATGATTCTTCGAATGTTGGTAATTTCTACAATTTCATTAGATACTGCTAATAAAAAAATAATAGCCCTAAAACGATATTTTCAAATCAATTGTCAGGTATAAACTATACAAAGGACGTTATCGTACTAACATTCCGTATCACAAAACAGCAATTAATTAAAATTAAACTGTACATAAAAGTTGATTAAGTGTTAAAGGGGCAATTAAGCCAGGCAAGTTTTTCATTGTGCATATAATGGAGTGTCGAATTCGCCTTCAAATAATGTGTTTATCTTGTAATACAAAATATATTATTTTGCTTACGGAAACTTTTGCATTTACATATGTACATGTTACTTTAATTGAATTGATTTTTATTGGCCGTTTGAAAGCTACATTAATTTATTTAAACCACGTAATTTATTATAGCACGGAAAAAGTGAGAGTGCTGGAATTTTTTATTCAAATGTTTCGTTTGAGTAAAGTACATAACTTTTTCTACGACGACAATATTTCTTTATCTCCAATACCAATGTGTGTGTGTATTTTTGATACATGCGAAGAGAAGAAGATAAGATTGTACGTGTGTGTATATTTGTTATTAAAAATATTTGCGAAGTTTCCATTTCGATAAAAAAATTTTATGTCAAAATTAGTCACAACAAATTTGTTATCAGTTCGCCCGCTATCTTCAAACATAGTGTTATAAAAATTGCTGAAGAAATATACGATTTGATAAGTTTATTAAGTAGTACCTACTTTATTACTCTAAGCCTACCTGCTAATTTTCCCAAAAAATAATATGTATATTTTAATTATAAAAAAAAATCTTCAATTATTGTAGAATCTGCCCTGACAATTCCACGCAATTTTATTGCAACATATTGACAAATTCCTAAAGAGTGTTAACAGTAGGTATACACTCTTCTTACTAAATTGCATTGTGCAATTCTTAATGATGCTGCATCTAATTGGAGATTGGAGGTAATGTTAATCAGAAGGTTTCTTCAATTTTCCATACGTACAATAAATAATACATTTTATTTCTTAACTAAAGATATTTAAATAACTTCTATTGTATAAAAAATTGTCGCTTTTGGGAAGCAGCAATCTTGTCTAGACCTTTTGAGATAACCTATATTAATAATTAATTAAACAGTTAAGAAACTGAGTTTAGTTTGTTAAAAATTGTATACTTTTTAGAATTAAAAAAGGCAAATTTCTTATACACCTGCCGTTGCAATTTCAATTGATAATTTAAAGTAAAACCAGTTGCAATAAATGGTATATTAAGCCTAACCCGTAATTATTAAATTAAACAAAATTATCACCAACAATGTATTTTACTTAAAACATATCACCGGTTTTTGTTAGGCCGAAGCCTTTATACTTCAATTACTCATACACCGCTCAATTCGAATTTGAAATATAAGTAATTGCCTATAATTTCCGCCATTTTCCGAACAAACAACTCAATTATTCGATAAAATCATAGTCATAAGAACATTATTGTTTGTTCGTTTCCCTTGAAGTCTATTCGTGCTAATTTTTGCCCAGAAATTAAAATATTGGTATTTTCGCCAAGCGGAATTTTCTTTTACATTTCTAGTGGAACTAATTATACATTAAATAAAACAACAATGTTATTAAATAATATTTTGCTATGATATGAAATGCAGGTAAACAAACAAGAGGGCTTGTTTGGGCTCAAGTGAGCTTGAATCACTGAAGGTGGTTTTTATAAAATAAAACTGAAACGTTTGGGTAATTGTGAAAATTTGTTTATTCACACAGAACTACAATTAACAATGAAGAGATATTTGTTTGTTCCTTAAAGGACTTTCGTATGTTATGGGCAAAGGTAAAGGTATGGGAAAATTGGAAATATTATAATACTGGATGGTGTAAGCAAAAAATACGAATAAAAATAGTAGTTCAAAGGTAATAGTTGTGCGTATGAACGATATTTTTAGCATTAGTTTTCTATTGTCGATGGCAATTTCCGTTGGAAAAATGAATTTGTAGTAAATGTTCAACGAAATTTGCATTTTTTACGTCATGCAAAAATTATACCGTCATAAATACCGTCATGTATTTAGGTAATGGAAAATGAAAATATTATGGAATCTTTTAAGAGAGTAAAAATGATATTATATAGTATATCATTAGGAAAAGAAAAAATGGAAAAGAATTATAACATGCATATGATGCAAATACGGTTGTAACTTGCAATCGAATTTAAAACAATATTTATCTTCATATTATACAATATCCGATAGTCAAGAAATATTTTATACATAATATATTTTTGTTATTATATAACGCCATTATCGAAATTAAAAATATTTAATTGATAAGTGATAGACATACATTTTTAAGTGAAGGTTACTAATTTTCTAATATTTTAATTAATCAGATTTTATATTATCACTTAAACATTCAAATTTCTAATAAACAATTTCATTTACTAGAAAAAAATTAAATAAAGCTGTTATAAGTACCAAAGCTATAATTGAAGCTGTCAATTTATATTTGTAATATTCAGTTTTTCTTAAGGATCCACTTGGAATTAGTATCTTCTGCTATAAGAACTTCGTTATTTTATATCATGAATATTCATTACAAATTATTACTTATTAATTCAAAATTGCTCATATTGCAAGGAAACTTAAATGCAAAAAAATGTAAGGATCCACTTGGAATTAGTATCTTCTGCTATAAGTGCACTTCGTTATTTTATTTCATGAATATTTTTTACAAATTATTACTTATTAATTCAGAATTGCTCGTACAATGGAAATAATTAGGTACTCTATTACAAAAGTAAAAGAATATGTCTGAACTTTGCTCAATTAATACATAATAAATTCAGTATTAAATCAAAATCATTATGTAAATGTCAATAAAACGTCCCAATTTGATTTACGAGTCTGTTTTTTATACTAATTTATAAATCACCAAAATGTTTTGCCTGTAATTGATTCGTATACCAATGTGTTGACTACATTAACATTTATTACATATTATTAATTCTTTTTTTGCAAAATAAATAATCAAAGATTGCCCAAAAGAATAATACATAGCAAGTTTTTTTATAGTAATAATAATAAATAATTTCATCAGAATTTCGTAAGGGGTAATTATTGTCAATAGTTCATTCTTCTATTGTGTAGGTGCAAGAAAAAAAAACGATGATGAATGTCAATGAAATTTTAAGGTCATTTTCATATTGGAACCATTTCAGACAAGGACATGTTGATTTAATCACTTCTAAATTGAATTAAAATCGCGTAAAAACGATTTTTTACGCACTCGAAAATTTGGTTTTACAATAATAATTATAGTTGGATATTTAGTTTTTCAAATTAGGTTTTTCATAATGTTCGTTAGTTTCTTAAAATCGTAAAATATTGATAAATTAAACGGTAGGTTGTTTCATAATTGGTTATTCCAGTAAAAATTAAATAAAACTACTATAGTAAGTACCAAAGTGATTGAAGCTGTCTTTCAAGTTATATTTGTAATATTCAGTTTTTCTTAAGGATCCACTTGGAATTAGTATCTTCTGCTATAAGTACTTCGTTATTTTATATCATGAATATTTATTAAAAATTATTACTTATTAATTCAAAATTGCTCATATTGCAAGGAAACTTAAATGCAAAAAAAGGTAAACAACATGCTTTAGGAAGAAAAATAGATGCAGAATGACTCGAAAATACAGCGTAATGCATAATTATTGTAATATCGTTGAAAAAGTACCTTCATGTTTTATTCAAACTGAATATTAAATTCATATACCTACATCACGATGAATATTGAAAATTCTACAAAAATCTAGGTATATTCGAAGGAATAAAAAAATACTTAAATTCTTATTTTTTACAAGAAATTCTTGTTTTTATTATAATTAATCCATAATATTAATTAATACATAATTTAATATAATTTCAAAAATTAGCAAACAATTTTTAAACTTGTACCAACATGGCGACTTTGTGATGACAACTCTAAGTTTAAATAATTATTATTACCCATTGTAGTCTAGACCCCTATTGATTTTCTCACAAACAAAATTATACAGACCCGTGGAAAAATGTTTGTAGGAAAATTATGTAGAACAAGTTTACATTTTGTTAGTAAAAAAACTATTATTACTTGATATACAGTATGTCTGAAAAAGTTGGCAACATATGGAAAACTTTTTTATTTGTAATGTTATGAAAAAAGTTATTCTTTATAAAAACTTCTGCATTGCCAAT